TTTGGGGGGGGGGGGGTGGTGATGTGATTTGCATGTGCATGTGAATGTGAATGTTAACAGGAATCAAGTAAAGTCAACAAGGACCCCAAGGAAGTTTTCTTCCTACCTAGTAACCCAGGTAATTTAATTTCCTCGGGGGTCCGTAAAAAGAAGCCTTTTTCTTCTTCTTAGGAGACCTGGAGAAGGGGGATGGGATGTAATTTGTCCCTCCTTGGAGGTTTCCTTAAAGTAGGTAAGGTTTTTCTCCTTGTCTTTTGCTTGTCTTTCTTTGGTAAGGTGAAATGGGAAGATGGGAAGATGGTATAATGGAGATGTAGCTTGGGTTAGGGGTAGGGGGGAGGAGGGTAGGTGGGTAGGTAGTCTTGATGGTTAGTTATAATATTAATCTACTTATACTCTCTACCCTGACCTACCGACCTACTCTGACCTACTCTGACCTACCTACTTAGTACCTATTTATACCACTCTTAGGTACGTAGGCAGGTAAGCCAACTCATTTAAGTAATATTATAGTTAACTAACCAATCAACTTAACTCAACTAAACTAACCTAAATCATTTTTACCGTTTACGTATAGCATAGTATATTATTAGAGTAGATGTAACACTATACTAAGAATATAGTAGGTAATGTAATAAATCTAATCAATCCACTCACCCCTCCTTTTCCCAAATTCTTACATCCTCAAATACTCAAATTCTCAAATTCTCTCCAGAACCCCTTACCCTCTTACCACCTCCCCCTTTCCCCTTCCCCCGGCCCACGAACCCCATTCCCCAAAAAGTCACTGTAAGAGAAATCCAATTATACAAAAAAGGAAAAAGAATACACACATATACACATACAATAACCCCCCCCCTCCTCTCTCCTAGAATCCTCCCCAAGAACCCTCCCCGAGAACGCAAGGATAAGACCAGAACAGAATAGACCACAAAGTACTCCGTACTAAACCAAATCAAAACCTGCCAACCATATTCAGACCTACAATCAAACTTCAATGCGCGACTAGGAGATGCATAAAATGTAATCAAAAGACAAAAGAAAGAAGAGAGACAGGCAGTGAGTAAGTAAGTGTTAGCTAAGGGAAAATTAAGAAAAGTAATCCAACCCACTTCTTCTAACTCGACTCGATTCTACTCCATTCGACTACATAGCTCAAACAAATAATAGATTGAGAAAAAAAAACATCCTACTGCCAAACACGCACAAATCTGTCGAGAAACAGATGTGAAAGGTATCCAATAAATATCTTACAGCTCACAGCGTATATCATACTCCCCATATCAAAGAAATGATTTGCTCCAATTGCACACGAAACATGTCACTTGGGCTGTTATCCATCCAAGCAAGAAAACTTAGCATGAATTCATCATTGATTCAAAAAAAAAAGTATTATTTTGTCATTTCTTGTCACTACTAAACTACCTATGAAGTTAACATCCGCCGGAATCCGCCGAATTTCGTATTACTCCCGGGATCTGATTTGAGGGTTATGCAACTCCGAAAAAGTGCTCGAAAGAACCGTACCGACTCGCGAACCTTGTGGGAAAAGGATCAAGGATCTAAAAACACAGGGTGAAGATTCATAAGTAGAAAAAGGAGAGATCAGCAACCCAAGAAAGACGAATCAAACTTTTCCGCCCGAAAACGTGTGCGCCGCCGCCCCGTAAAATATGAAGTGCTCCCTGTTTACTCAGCCGTGTCAAGCTCGTCGTGCTGAAGAGGGGATTCCAAGGCAACTGGAGCTTTTCGTATTAGCGGGTGGGGATGCTTCATTGTCCGTTCGGAGTTTCCAAATCACCTTTCCTATCATCTCCATTGGTTCCATTCTCCCGGCTGTCATCACGGTCTCGGTCTCTCTCCTCCTTGACGTCACGGTCGCTGTAGAAGTGTTAGCATACCATTGAACTTTGATGAATGAATCAGATAAAACTTACCGATCGTCTGGGCTACGAGAACGATCACGATCACCCCCACGATCACGTCGATCATAATCGCGGTCCCGATCACGCCGAGAGTCCTTGCGAGGAGAGTAGTCACCACGGCTACGACGAGGAGAAGGTGAGCGGCGACGTGGAGAACGACGACCAGCTGGTGCACGCTCACGCTCACGACCAGAGTCAAATCGCCATGAAGCAGATGGAGGTGTACGAGCCCACTTGAAAACTTTAGCGTCTAGTGTAACACAGCAAAACAATGGGCTTACCTCAATCTTCAACAAATCATCATGTCCAATACGCTTGTTGTGCATCTCGTGATACGCATCGTCAGCATCGCGGCGGCTCTCATACTCAACGAATGCGAATCTACTTCAAGTGTCAACGAAATTAGAGCGCACGCTAACAAAGAATTGGAATTACTCACAGACGGCTGGCAGCGGTTCGAGGCGCTGGAATGTCACATCGAACAAGACGACCATAGCTAAAAAATAATGTCAGACTCAACGCCTTCTATTGCGAGGGTATAGAGGGCTGTAAGATGAAGATAGATTAAGAAGCCCCATCAATTTGTATTCGAACTTTTGGTGGGGAAATGGAATTTGAAACAACGCCGTTTTTGCGCGACCGCTCGATCGCGATCGCAGGAGAATGGAGGAGGTATGAAGCGCAGGTAGAAGACGAGACGTATAAGAGGGGAGTGACAGCGAAGTCTCGACGAGGAGCCGCGAGGGTTGGGGATGTGGGAGATCATTGGAATAGATGATCATCGACAAATCGAGGACGACGACGATTGGTGGACATACCGTTCGAATTCGTAGGCTAGATCGCGTGCTCGAGTGCCCGGTCCGAACCCCTACGAGAGATGATATTAGCAGGATCCAGAGATGATGGGTATTGGTGTTGATCAATGTGGTTGAAGGAAGGGCGTCAGAGGGTCTCGCAATGGGCGCAAACCAATTCGGGGCAACTTACAGTAACATAAAGAGTAGTTCCCCCACGAGACGACATCTTGTTCGTTCTGACTGTAACAAATGAGATGTGGTTCTCTGAATCTTGACTCCTGTTTCGCGATAGAGATAAGAAAAGGGATGTCGGTTGGAGGTGGAGGCTGTCGTGGGCAGCGAGAGCGTGAGCTTGAGCGTTTGCGATGGCTGTGATGCAAGAGTGGTTGAAGTTAACATCCGATGCGGCGCTAAACCGATTTGGATTCCCAGCCACATCATGTGACCAGAACCCCTGCATCCGTTGAAGGCTCGCAGCAGGTCCTACTGACTTCTGCTGCTGCAGAGAAATATTTAGTATGGTTCCGATTCACGTGGAATTTGATTTATTATGATGCATACTGTATTTGATTCTAGATGCAAATGATAAACTAGGGAGTTACGCTTTAACAGCTTGCAAAAATATGATAACATCATCTGGAAGCAGGTTTGATAACCCTTTATTGATACAACCCACACATCTGAACCAGTAGTCTGTCTCTCTACCATACCCCTTTTTTTGAGAACCAACCAGGCAACCAAACCACCAAGGAAACAAGAAATAATCTAGGCCTTTCTTTCTACAAGACATCAAAATGCGCCCGCTCCCAATGCTTACCCAAATGCAACCCAATGACGAATTTCCGTCTTCATATACAAAGCCTTTTTGCTTGGGCACCTTCATATTCCCTTACACCAAATTTGGGAGGCAATACCCTGAATTTTGAAGCAAATCTTACAGATCTTGGGTATCCGCCCTAAGAGTAAGTAAGAAGTCCCGTGTCATCTCAAAGCTTAGCCAGCTGCTTGCCATGCTTGGAGCCACCTTGAGAAGATTAGGAACTATGCCTTTGTACATGCCCTTGATACCTTCTTGAGCTATAATTGATCGTACAGCATCAAAGATGCCCTTGTATTGATAACCCATTCCTGACATGGTATTAATTTGGAAACGTCGGCGAAGGACATCACTACTTATTGTTAGTTTGCTTCCTGATGGTTCTGAAAAAAATGAAGTCTTACAAGGGGTAGGTGCATGTTTGGGCAACTGCACCCGAGATCGCACCAGCGGCAAGCTTGCGTACAGCACTAGGATTTTTATCACCTTCTGGAGTGAGGTATTTTCGGACAATTTCGTATGTCATAAAGTTGAGGCCAACCTATTTGGCAATAATTAGCTTTGACCCAGTTTGAAGGGGACATTGTGAAGAGGCTTACATATGGGGCAACACCAGCAACTGTAGGTATTATGCCTCGATATAATGCTAGAATTCCGCCTTCTGTTTTGTACATTGTAACTAGGGTCTCCCACATCCCTGGCAATCGAGCTCTTTGTGCTGTGCTAAGGGCTGCAAATGAAGCAGACTGAATAGAAAGTCTTGTCCGAATGATATCAAGGGGATATGTAAAGAAGACTGAGGTGATCCCGGCAGCACCACCGCAAATCAATCGTCGGAGAGAAGAGAGATCTTGTCCGGGCGAAGCTTCGAAGAACTTTTCAACATTAGCTTACGTCACAATGGGGCTTTTTTTTGCCAGCAGGGGTATGCAGCCTCTAGATGCTCACTTTCTTGTAGAAGTTGTAACTTCCAAACTGAACTGCTGAGTATGGCACTATTCGTATGCAATTCGTGCCATTTCCTCGCATGAATCCTCGCCATCCCTCGTCTTTCCACATTTTCATGAGACCCTTTCCAACGGAAAGCTTGTATTCCTCCCTTCCCACACTCTGTATCTGAAAAAGGATTTTTAAACGCTCGAGAGGGGAGACCACTGTCCGCGAGACTGCACCTGCCACTCCTCCGGCGCAGAAGGCTGCAAAGACCGGCTGAGCGATCATCTCGCGCGCTTGCATCGTTCGCGGTCCATATTTGGGTATGATGGATCCCTGAGGCTAGTTCAACACCCGGATTAGTAGGTGCGCATCAATTGAGGCCAGAAAGCATACAGTAGACATTTTGGGGTCTTGAGGCCTTCACGTAGGGCTGAACTCTCGACGCCTGCAAGGCTCAGCGCATACAGGCCGCAGAACCTCTCCAACAAGAATACACGATATGTGTCGGATCAAATAAACATTCCCATCCGTTTACGAATGTTGCTTGAACGTGGTGGTGGTGGTAATGGCGAGGTTCGTCTTGAAATTGTCGCAATGATCTGGGCCCAGCTGGACGTGGATGTGGACGCGGGAGCTATCGTGGTATCTCAGGCGCAAAGTTACAGGTATGTAAGTAAGTAGGAATGGTCAAGGCTTTTTCTTGGGCGCAATCAACTCGGGATCCATTCAACGAAATTGGTTACGAGGTAGAGCGAGTGACATTGGTAAATTTATTAGATTAGGATGAGTGTGGAGGGGGTGATGGGTGGTGGTAGTGGGATTGATTGTAGGTAGGTGGTGTAGGTGGATTTCTGACGTTGTGTAGATGGAGTAGGAAGGTGAAGGGTCCGGATGTTGATTCGCCTCAGCGTTAGGTTGGGTTGGGTCTACTACTGCAGGTGCAGGTAGTTCATAGGCATTCGTAGGTACAGTACTCCTTCTGTAGGAAGCTGGAGGGGACGGCCGCAGTTGTAGAGATAGGTAAGCATCGCAGCGCAGTGCAGTAGAGCGTGCTAAGTACAGGTTCCGGAGGAGCTAAAAGTAGAGATTCTAGAAGCACTGCACTATCCCTCGCTACTTCACAATGCGTTATTTTCACATCACGGCGAAAACAACGTCATGCAACAATACTCGTCCAAGAGGCTTTGCGTAGTACATCCCTTCCCTCCCGACGCTGCAAAGATATCAACAAGAAACGGGGCCAGCCAGGTGACTTTCGCCTCACTCTCCTGGACGGTGTCGGCCATCACCACTCTCAGTCACCCTGGTCCCACTCCTGGCTCACGCTCCCGAATTTCACTCGGAATGACCTTGGCAGGAGATTAACCCCAGAGAGGGTCCGCTAAGATGATATCGTGAATCGTGATGAACGAATCCCATCATTCTCCACTCCAGCTGAGAGACTTGCCGAGCGTGGTATATCTGCATCGGAACCTCGGAATCTCGGAATCGGCCAGGAAGTCGGCCAACCTTCCGAGTCCCGGTCAGTGTCACGTGGGCACTAATCCCAACGCGGGATCCTTGGAAACCCACACAGACAGGAAGTTTAGCAAAGCCTCAAAATTTCGTGTGAAATTCCAATCCTCAACATTCGACAACCGACACTTTTCGACCAACCGCCACCATGGGTACGTAGCCCAATATCCTCGCCTTCGTATGCAAGTGGTAGTCCTGTTACTCTGTCCGAGGCCGTCCTTGCTGAAAAGCTGAAAGACTCGTTGATGCGGTTCAGGACGCTGCGAACGCAAGAAATTGCAAAGAGCATGCTTGATCATAGGCTGACGGATTTCTGACTTTAGGTATCGATCTCGACCACCACCACGTCCGCAATACGCACCGAAAGGCGCCAAAAAGTGACAATGTCTATCTCAAGTTGCTCGTGAAGCTCTATCGCTTCTTGGCTCGTAAGTTTGCCCTCCATCTTCATTTCCATATTCGCGTCGCGCAAAAAATCTAACCAAATTTTCTTGCACAGGCCGAACTGATGCCTCCTTCAACAAGGTCGTTCTCCGAAGACTTTTTATGTCCAAGATCAACAGACCCCCAGTCTCCATCTCCCGAATTGTTGCCAACACTTCTGAGAAGAGCAACAACAAGACCGTTGTTGTTATCGGTACCATCACTGATGACAACCGTCTGTTGACCGTCCCAAAGCTCAGCGTTGCAGCTCTCCGCTTCACCGCAACCGCCCGTGCTCGCATTCTCGCTGCCGGTGGTGAGACTTTGACCCTCGATCAATTGGCATTGAGAGCTCCAACCGGAAGCAATACTCTCCTCCTTAGAGGACCAAAGAACTCCAGAGAGGCCGTCAAGCACTTCGGAATGGGACCACACAAGCACAAGGTAATTTTCATGCAGAAAATTGGGCCTCCAAAAACTAACGTAATTTGTAGAAACCATACGTCGAGTCCAAGGGTCGCAAATTCGAGAAGGCTCGTGGTCGTCGTCGTTCAAGAGGTTTCAAGGTCTAAACGCATTTCGACTAGTCAAGATAATTTTGCAAATCTCGATAATCTCCTGCGAGGGATATACTATGGGATTTGCAGGTGTCTGGCGAAAAGCTTGGGGGGTCTGATTGAGGGATGGACATTACGATGTGCATGATAGGAAGTGCTATGATACTTTACAAAGCCTTGGGTCTAGCAAATAAAAATAAAAGGCAAAAGAAATGAAAACGAATCATGCAAAAGAGCCTGAAGTGCTGGTCTTACGAGAGAAAAAATGAGATTTGATGGTTTACCAGGAATTTGCGATACTGTAACTGTCTAGAGCCGCAAAAGACCACCAGGTATAGAGCGTCCATTGATTCATCTCCGCCAGAAAAATGCCTTCTCTCAACCCAACTCGGTATAATAACGGATACAGCACTTTCGTCTAACCAACCACCAATAAATAACCAGCCATTTTCATATACATGTTATACAAACAGCAGAGATTTCATTACAATAATCCTACATCCTCCATCTTCTACCCAATAATATCCTACATCTTACACATCCCTATTTCTCCCCATAAACGCCGTGTCTATGTGTAGTAATAATACAATGTTCATATATACATACATCTTTCTCCCTGTATTGTACTGTACTGTAGGGGAGGTGTACTTTGTACAGTAGATGGGAGTGCCTATAATCAATCCCCTTCTTTATTTCCGTATTTCTATGTCCATATCTACTTTTCTCTTTCCTGTTTGGGTTCATGGCGATGGTGATGGGGTATTTAGGTGATGGGTATTTACAAGATCTTGCGTATCTTTGATGAGTGAGGAGAGTGTTTACTGTATACTCATTATTTCCTCGAGACTTGGGTCGTTTTTTCGGCGGAGGGCGACGAAGAAGGCTTCTTTTGATTCCTGTGCGTGCGGTGTCAACTTCTGTTTCTGTTGTGGATTTGTGGGGTTATTGGTCTGGGGGTGAGATGGGAAGGGGAATGGGATATGGAAGAGGAGACCTACACTACGTGAGGACTCGGGTTTCTCTCGATGTACCGAGGCGAAGAGTTTTCGGAGCCGTTTTTCGAGCGTTTTGTCTTCGGCGCCTTGGTAGAATTTGCAGACTTTGGGGGGAGGTTAGCTTTTGTTGGTGAGAAAGGGGAGGGTATTGGGTTGGGTTGATGGGAAGGTATTGGAAGGGGAAGGGGAAGGGTACCGAAGTGACCGCCTATTTTTAAAGTGTCGAAGGCGAAGAATAGGGCTGCGGAGCAGAGATCCTATATTGACTCAAAGTTTAGCCCAAAGTCCTTAAGAAAATATCAAATATCAAACATAAAAAATTGGATCCTCTCCATTTTTGAGGACCTAGACATAGAGGATTTAAGGATGGTAATGAAAATGGGAAGAACACGTACCATACTCCCCGCATGATCTTTAAAATTGATACCCGAAGTATTCATCATCCTAATATACGGGTCACTTAGACTTCTCTTCCAAAACCCCGTCGTCTGGTCCCAGGGAGCTGACATGTCACTCAATACGAGATCCACCACCCTGCCCACATGGAGCGTCCTTCTTTTCAAGCTAAATCTCATCTCGTTCCCATTCCCCTCCTCCCCCTCCTCTTTCATTGACGTATCATCCACCACCGCTCGCTCCAAATCGATATAACTCGGCGCATCGACGGCGAATGTGTCATCTGAAAGAACCGTATTCGGCCGTCCGCGATCAGGATCCCGTAGAAAACGTTTTACTTCCTCCCGCACTTCGTTGGAGAGGAAGTTTCCTTGGATGGTGGATACGCCTTTTGGGGGTTGCGCGGGGATGATGTCGATTCCTATTATGCGGCCGTTGGGCTTGGTTCTTTCGACGGCTACCTAATCATCAATTAGCTTCCATCCAGCATAAATTTAACATAAAAAGAGGAAAGGGGGGAGAGGAGAAGGGAACACACCTGCGACCAACTACCCGGCGCATATCCCTACACACAATTACCAAAACCGGCCATACCATTAGTTTTCCCAAATCGCAGGATGAATGAACTAACTAAATCCACGACCGTCTGTCCCTTTGTAAACAACTTGTATTTCGCATCAATCTATCACGAGTGAATCAGCATCTCTTCCCCTCCCAAAAAATTCCATCCCATCCACCCCCCTCGAAATGAAACCCATAGGTGCGCACCTCAAGTAACTTAAAAGCCGCCCGACTCTTCAGTCCCTTAACCTTCGCATCCCTCGAATACGAATCACTCGACTGTCTATTCTTCCACCTAGTCGACGAGGAAGATTCGCGTACTTGTATATGATCCGACTTGTATATGGCACTAGTGGCGTGGTTCAAAATGGCGGGCAAAAGACATTGCGGTTCGTTCAAAAGAGGGACACTGGTACGAATCCTTCGAAGGGGCCTTCGGAATCCCCGTAAGGCGGATCGGAGAATCATCCAGGGGGTTTGTGGGATGTTGTGTTGTTGGGGAGGTTGTGGAGAGACGTAGAAGGCGATATGTAAATTATTTTGACGAGGCTTACGGACGAGGCTGCGAGGCTACGAGACAGTGGGATGGAACATTGTGCGTGCAGTCTGAAAGTATGAAAGGAAACTTTGTCTTAGAGTAAGACTTGTGATTCAAGTGAGTACAGTATAAGACCTTCCTGATGTCGTTGACTGAGATAAGTTGTTGAATTATTTACATCTGAAAAGAAGTAAGTGAAGTACATTTATTCCAAGGTCATAGACCATGTTACCACACAATAACTTTTGTAAAATGAATCCAACGATTTTGCTCAATGATCAATTTATTCCTAGAAAAATACCCTCACAGCTCTCATGCTGATTTATATGCCCAATACTCCATGCAATGTCCCATAATACAGTCACTCCAACCTTTGTTCATCCAACCCAAACCATTCCCATCCAACAAATTCAGCCAAAACGCCCCAAATTACACACCATGTCCATTTCCCACAGAATACTTGCATAAACACCATCCAAATTACGCGAGAAAACTCGCCCCAACACCTCGCTTGTCTTTCTTTAAAGGAGAAAAGGTTCCAAACCCACTACCAGCACCCAAACCACCTCTCATTTTTCCACCAGGTCCCATCAGTCCACCCTTCGCCATCAAACGAGGAGCTCCAAGAGTAACCTTTGGTGGTCGCTTCGTGACCTCAGCATCTTCTTCGTCAAATAAAGTTCCGCCAACCAACTTTCTCTTCTTGATCTTCGCACCTGCTTCCTCCACGGCACTTGGCTTTGTTTTCAAGGCAGTCTTTTTAGCAACTACCTTTTTGGTGACTTCTGGTTCAGGAGCTTGGTCTTCTTCTACGTTCTCGTCCGCCTCTTCAATTACATTCTCCAAAGTGCTCAAAGGTTTTGATTTCTTAGCGGCCGCTTTACTCTTCCTGGGATTTGAGGTTGCTTCGTTGAGAGTGGCTTTCGTGCGTCTTGCTGGCTTCTTTTGAGCAGGCTCTTCTGTAGTCGATTCTGCAGCTTTGTCGGTTGCCCTTTTCTTTCCTTTGGCTTTTGAAACAGCTTTTGGAGACGGGACACTAGCAACTTGTTCCTCTTCCTCCTCAGAAACTTCTGCTTGCTCTTCTTCCTGTTCAAGCTCCTCTTCTTCGGCCTCGGATTCGGGTTTCTCAACGGGTGTCTCGGGATTAATATTGGCCGTGCGATTCAAGAAAGGTGTGATGGAAAACATGGACTTCTCTGCCATCATGACTTGATCGGCTCTTGCCTTCTTCATAGGACGTTTGGCACGAGCAGCAATTCCATCTGGTGTACCGATAGCATCGTCAGCACTCATTTCCATGGCACCTCGCTTTCGTCCCTTCTTGGCGGGAGCATCCATATTGCTGGAGGATTTTGTGGCCTTTACCGCGGCAGCTCGTAGATGGTTCGCCTCCTCTTGAGCCTCCTTGAGTTGTTCTTTGGTAGCTCGTAATTTAGTGCGGATCTGCTCGTGTTTGCTTTCCAAGACGGCGTGGCGGGTTTCGAGAGCCTTCAACTCCTTTTCATGTTCTTTGGAGGTTTTTGTACTTTCCCGTTTCTCGCGAGCTAAATCTTTCTGAATCTCCTCCAGCTGGTCTCGGAATTCAGTCTCAACCTCCTCCCGGCTTGTGGCAGAATCTGCCTTGTTCTGAGCCTGCTCTTTCTGAACTTGGAGTGTCTTCAGTTCTTTCTCGTGTGCCTTGGTAATCTTTGCAGCTTCTCGCTTTTCACGGGCCAACTCCTTTTGGGCCTCCTCCAGCTGACTACGGAGATCCGCCTCAATTTCATCGCGGTTGCCTGCTGCCTCCAGCTTTTCCCTGGCGAGATCCTTCTGAACTTCAAGTACCTTCAGCTCCTTTGCGTGTGTCTTCGTTGCTTTTGCGCTCTCTCGTTTTTCGCGGGCGAGCTCTTTCTGAGCTTCCTCCAACTGACTACGGTACTCATTCTCCATCTCGTCTCGGAGTCTGGTTGCCTCTCGTTTATTTCGTGCCAAGTCCTTTTGAAGTTGATCCAGTTGCTGTTGAAACTCTGCTTCTCGTTCGGTGTTATCGTTCTTTTGGGCTGCACGTTTCGCAGCTCGCTTTTCGGTCTCCAATTCGACCTCTAAACTACTAACCTGGCGCTGCAAAGCTAGCTTCTCTGATAAGATGGTTTGGTGATATGTCGCCTGCGATCGAAGATGTTCGAGTTCTGGTTTTAGTGTCGCAAGTTCGCGTGCAAGGGATAGTTTTTCGGTCAAAACCTTGGTACTGTCCATAGTTACGCCATTCATCGAAGCCACCTCAACCTGGGAACTATCAGCTTGGGCAAACCCATAGAAACAATAGCAATTACCCTTAAATTGTTCACCTCCCTTGTCTGGACTCGTAATTCAGATTCATATCGGCGTGCCTCCTCTTCTGCCGCCTCTATCTGAGCTCTCAGACTGTCCCCTTCGATCTCTAATAGATCAATGCGATCACTCTCCAGCGCAAGTTCCTCCTGTAAATCTTCATTCTCGTGGCGTAACAATAGGATATCGAGTCGGAGTCGGCGCGCGCCCTCATCCTTAACAATCAGGTCGGCCTTGTGGAATGCTTCCTGGTAGGCCATCTCCAGGGCTTGCGATTTCGAAACATACGGCGATGCTTCAGAATCCATATTGATGACTGGGGATTGATGATGTTCTGGTATTGAAAGTTCGTTGTCTAAGAAAGAACGGATGGGAAGGGTGACGCGAAAGTCAACAAACAACCCGAAGTGGATTAGGCGGTCACCCCACGGTTTCAGCCTTGGTAGCAAGGCAATAAGGCACCATGTGAGAGGACACTTATCGAAAGCTATCCCGACCTCCGACCTACGACCTACGTAGTTCAACACCTCGAGGAATTCTTCCAACATCTCCTCAGGATAGACTCCACAACTTTTCAAGATGCATTTTCTTCGAGGGCTCCTTCTGTCGCTCCTCCCGGTGGCTGCTTTGGCAGCCAAGAACGCTCCGGTCGACAAGTTCACCAAGTTCCAGACCAAACAGCTATCCTCCACCCCATTGAAGCTTGACGATGCTATCTACGCCCAATTGACTTCGGCGCCGAGAGACTATTCAAGTGTTATACTGTTGACAGCTATGGAGGATCGTTTTGGATGTCAGCTGTGTCGAGAATTCCAACCAGAATGGGATTTACTGTCTAAGAGTTGGATCAAGGGTGACAAGATGGCAGAGTCCCGTCTGATTTTCGGAACGTTGGACTTTATTAATGGAAAAGCCACTTTCCAATCTGTTAGTATATCTGCGGATATCTTGAAAAAAGCCTCCAACTAACCTTTGCGAAGCTCGGTCTCCAAACCGCTCCAGTCCTTCTACTCTTCCAGCCAACTACTGGCCCTCATGCCAATCCCGAAGCTGGTCCTTCTAGATTCGATTTTAACAATGGGTATATATTTCAAACCGTCGGAAGGATACAGAATAATGCTAACTACAAGTCAGAGCACAATCCGCTGAACAAGTCCACAGATGGATCGCGCGTCAGCTTGCCGATAGACCTCATCCTCCAGTTGTTAGACCCATCAATTGGACTCGTGGTATTGCAATTACTACAACAATATTGGCTAGCATCACATTCTTGACTGTTGCTTGGCCCTACCTATTGCCCATCTTACAGAACCGTAACGTTTGGGCTGCAATTAGTCTGATTGCCATTCTCCTTTTCACCAGTGGACACATGTTCAACCACATCCGAAAGGTTCCATACGTTGTCAGTGATGGAAAGGGAGGTGTCAGTTACTTTGCAGGTGGATTCTCAAGTCAATACGGTCTGGAGACTCAAATTGTTGCTGCTATGTGTAAGTTCCAAGTCTATTTGGGAGGTACTTCAATTTTACTGACACTCATTGTAGACGGCCTGCTCTCATTTGCAACTATTTCATTAGCACTCAAGGTTCCACGCATAGCAGACCCAAAAACCCAGCAGATTGCCGTCATCGTCTGGGGAGGAATCATCTTCGTCATGTACAGCTTCTTACTGAGTGTTTTCCGCATCAAGAATGGAGGCTACCCATTCTGGCTACCACCTTTCTCATAGATTATCAATACCACAAAGACGACTGGCCATTTTGGCCTCTGCCGGGTGTTCAAGTCGTCGCAGTTATGTAGAGTCAAAAGTCAAAAGTATTTTGTGTATAAATAACCTGGGAGGACTGGCATTTTTCATTGATTTGGAGTCTCCCGGTGTAGGATTATCCGGGTTTCTACTACCCTTCCTGTGCGGATAGAATGTATAGAAAATGCGATCGATCTGGAACCATCCATTTCCTGTCGCCTCGCCATGAAGTGATTTTGCGAGGAAAGCACCCCCATTTGGGGAACTTACTGCATAGGGATTTTATGAAAGTGAAATCATATTGTCAGTGAATCTCACCAGTGACGCATTTCTTCATAGTGAATCATTGTACCCTACAACGCCTGCACTGTACTCCTACGCAAATATGAGCGCTCGCTTAATGATAAAAAGGTGAATAATCTCTTTGACAGAGATCTGAGATCATGATCTAGATTTAGATTTCCGAAAAGTGTGCTCGTGAGGGGTGCTTGGCTTGGTTCCTCTACTCCATGGGAATACCCGGATAATGCTCAGACACAGGGCTTCTCATGATCTAATTGTATGATGCCTTCTCGAACCATTGGAATCAGAAGGTAAGTAATCTACCCTACAACACGATATCTTACCTACCTTCTTCTCTCTCCTGTTTCTCCCTCTGGAATCTGGATGTAAACTTTACTGTTAGTAAGATTCCATATCCTCGTGTATAATAAAAGAAGATCTCAAGCTCGATTAGACGATCGAGGCGGGAAATAGAAACAACCAATCTCACTCAAATCACTCCTTGAACTTTCTTTGGGGCAAAAGAACGAATGTCGAATGAATATGTTGAATTTGCAACCCAGGTAAGTCTTACCTGTAGTAGAGATCCCAAGGGATAGATAGGTTCGTGAGAAGAGACTGGTTTGGAAATTGGTTTTCCTATCGGATCTTGATGTAGGAGAATTGGGCGCAGATGGTCAGTCTACGTGTGAGATACAGTACAGCTTGAAAAGGAAAGCAAGACTCGGTCTTCTGGTCCGCGACTTCGCTTGCAGGTCGATTTAAAGATCCACATAATGCACACCCTACGCTACAAGTCCCATCTTCATCCTCTTAAATCCCACCAAATCATGATGACAACAAAGACATCAAATACATTTCTAACCACAGTAGAAATCCAACAAAAAAAACCACCCCTACAAAAGGTACACAAACGATCTAGGTAGTTCAAAATCTTTCAGAATCTCTATCCCCAATCTATGAAATCAGACTACAAAAAAAACCATCCAAGAAAATGTATTCTCCTACTCCCACAAAAAGATATCCATCCATCCAGTTCGAATCCAACTAACTCCCAACCAGCCAATCCAGCACCCAACCCCGTTCTCTTCGTCTAATCTAATATCCCACAAGTTACACATGTCGCAAGATCTAAAAATCTAGAACAAAAAAAAAGAGAAGAAAAGAAGCTTTTTCAACCCCCGTTCCGAAATGCGCGGCACAAATCTTTTCAACACTTTTCTTATCTCTTAGTCTTCTCATCAGCACGCCCAGAAGGGCGATTTCTCGAGAGTAATTGCGACATGATGAAGTGACTGACATCTTCATCTGCCCAGTAACTCAAATGACTCGCGATTGTACTGTCAAACGTAGTTAGCATGTATTTTAGATTTATGGAGCTGAGACGGGAGGGTGAACAAACTTCATAGGATTGAAATCGAGAACACTCCTGTAACCAATTAGTACCAATAACACAATATGTGATGTATCATAAAGGAAGGCTCACTCTTGAAGAGAGTAATCTACTCTTCCATTCGAATTCAGTGCTCGGACTTTCATCTCATCCTTCTTCAATTTCTTGCCCTTCTCCTCAGCCTCCACCCACTCTCGTTCTGAGCCAAGCTCAGCATGACGGGTCTTGGCCGACTTTTGAAAGTTCGCATATAGTGTCTCCATATCATCGTCAATCAACGTTGGAGCATTAGCACCGCTGCCATCTCGATCCGCCTCTGCAGTCTCCTTGGCCAATTGCATTTTCTTCTCAATCGTGTTCTCTCTCTGTAATGTTGGTGGAGAAACCACGCCGCCGCCTGAAATATTAGTGCCGGCCCCGACTGTTTGAGACACACTTCTACTTTGAGGGCCGGCTTCCATTCGAGCGACATCATCATTAGTAAGTCCCAGACTGCGATTGAGAAGGCTGCTTGCAATACCGGAGCTCAAGCTCGACCATAGACCGCTGAAGCTCTGTCCGACCTTAGCACCAATGCCGCTCACAGAAGCTGACAAAGTATTTCTTGTGTAGGGTAGTAATTGAGGCTTCATAGATGACATGGATGGTGCGATCAGGGGCTCCAGACGATAAGCTATCGGATCAGAAGGATGGAAAATGTTGTATAATTGACCAACTTTCGGCGATGAGATTGTGAGTGGAAGACCAGTAATGGCGGATATGCTATCCCCATTTGAGAAGCCAGCTGCACTACCAGCAGCTAGGAAAGGATCTTGCATATAATCGGGATCCATGGGCGATTCTGAAGCCATAGGACTATCACGGCTACGTCTTGCCATTATTGTTCGTCCTTTGAGCATCTGATCATGGAGAAATGCGTTAGAATAATGATTCAAGAAAGCCAAAAGTTAAAAGTTTACGCCAATTGAGCAATTTCATATGGTGAAATATAATTATCCCAGCATGCTCTCTCATGAAGGTACAATGTACGTGTCACCGTTTACTTGGCCTTGGAGGGAAAGTAGCGTATATAGAAAAGAGTGAAAATTTTCCTGGCAGCACCTGATATTTTGGGATCCGCTGAATGGAGAAGGAGAACAGTAAGCGCTAAACCACGTACCTGAAAGAGACCTATCGGTGAGCCAAGACAGTAAAAGTCATCCACCTCAAAGTCGAAACCCATATGATTCTGCTGAGCTTGAGCGACATTAGGTGAAGGGTACTTGTCACGCCTCTGGTGAGATCTCGATTTAAAAGGCGTTTCCTTTTGTCGACATAGTAAATCGTACATGATTGCAGATCCTAATGAATGACCTACCAAGTGGACCTTGCCTTTGAATTCGGGATTTCGTTCCTTGAACAGTGCGAATATCCTGTTGCATTCGTTCAACACCGAAACCATAATGTGTTCTCGATAAGCACTTTGATATAGTAGGATATCGAGTGCAAGATCTGTGATCAGACTTCGTACAAAGGGTACTAAGAACTATTAGCGGCGAAAATGGGACGAAACGAGTACTACAAACCTCCTTCAATGGTGATATCCTCAAGACTGGGATATTCGTCTTCTGCATTATCGGCATCTCCAAGATCCTGTTCCTTTTTTGTTTTGCTCTTCTTGGGAAAGTCAAGAAGATGTCTCCAGCAAACAGGCAATACTTGGATTCTGCAATTCTTCTTCGGTAGTTTGTCGATCTCAGAATTCAAGGCTTGCAAATCAGCAGACCCGCTGTAAACATTCTTGAACGTTTTTCGCAGAGAATTACAATCTCCAATGAAATTGACAGACTCAGTTCTGTTTTTCAGTTAGCACAATCAAGAATACGGATAATCTTACGAACCTCATCCCAAGTCGTTGCCCAATTCCATGAGTGACTAAAATCAAATGTTCGATGGGTCGCCCTTGGTTCTCTTCATCTCTGCCATTGTAATCGTTTTGCATCATAGACTCGTCACGTTTTCGAACAGACTCTGATTCGGCATCACGATCTCGTGTATCTCTTAACATTGAGGCCGCCTCTTCGGCAGCAGCTTCTATGCTTCCTTTGTGATCTGGGCTTCCAGTAGCACTGACTGGAGTGGACTTTCTTTTAAGAAGCAGTTGCTGTCTCTCATCGAGCTGTAAGCCAGGAATCTTAGAAGAATCGGGGTTTGCCGTAGAGGTGGGCGTAGATGGAGTTTGGGGTTTATCCGCAGCATTTGGGTCTTTCGTTTTGCGGGATTCCGAATAACCTCTAATAAGCTTTACACCACCAAGATATCCACCACCCGCAAATTTTTGATATACGGTACTACTCATTCTTGCCATAATGCTGTCAACAGACAGCCCTGTAGGATGATGAAGTTAGCAACGCTCAAGAAATGTTCTATTATTTTCAATATGGTTTTACAGTAGCACATACAAGCGACAGTAGAATCCTGGTATGTTACGACAGAATTCATATATGTTCCAAAAAGACGATACGTTTTCTGCGGTTGCTGAGTGGAGGATGAATCCTTGGAGCTGTCGTCGAATTCCTGCGCCATTGGGCTTCGAGTACCATCGAGAGAATCTCTAGGGGTCCCATCAGCAGAACCCGACCGGTCACGCCCAAAGGCCCCCGACGTGGCAAGAGATTTTGGTTCTTCGACGGGCTTGGTAGCCGTGGGTCGTTGTTTTGATGGAGGTGGAGGATATCGAAATGGTTTTATCTTTAGATATCCTTGCTCTAACTGGGATGATAAATTCTCGTCACACGGCCTTCCATCATCGTAGAACCAGCTGCCTCTGGTGATATGAAATATTGGCCCTAGCCAGTAGACTGGTGATAGCTCCCTTCGCTCAATATCCACGTCGAAAAGATAATCCTCGTGGACAGGTATTCTGATGCCTTGGTGCTCCTCCTGGCTTGTATTGGTAACCCCTCCCTTTGAATTTTTGCCTACGTGTTGGCTCCCGCTAGTTATATCTTGAACTTCGCGACCAACATCTTTCCTACCGCTGTGGTAATCATCCGCAAGCTTCTGATATGCCACTTCTATTGCGCGAGAATCGTGTCCTGAGAATGCAACGAACTTTTTGGGTGGTGGTGCAGGTTTCGTGTCTTCAACTTTGTCTTTCAATAACTTTGGCTTCCTTTTGGGGACCTGTAGATTTTCGTGGTAGTTAGCAAAAGCTCGGCAGACATGAAAAAGAGACATATGAGAGGTCAAACATACATCAACAGCATAGAACCACCTTGGATTGGGAGGAGGACCTGGCCCATGTCAGTAAAACGTTGCCTTTCGCTCCTAATGCTGCTCACAATCCAGTGGGTAGTCTTTCGGCCTCAATCCATGCCATGGCTGTGGTGTACTATTTCCTCCATATTGGTTCTTCAGTCCCGAGCCCTCACCTGGACCGGCCGGTGCCACTGGCTTGGGGGTTGAGGATCGTGAGCTGACCCCCCATGGACTGATTGATTCCACGGCAGCGGACAGATAGGACTTCTCAACCTTCTCGGACTTGGGATCGGGCGCATCCATCTTCTCGGCCTGGCGGTCAGATCGACCTGCCACGCCTTTCTGCCTCTGCCAGTTGAAGAAAACAGTGTTTCGGGGAATGGATCCGTCAGCAGCGTGCCTGTGCAACCGGGCGAGATTCCTCAATAACGCGGCCAATTCGTTGTTGGAGGAGATAGGGATCAGAGTAGAGGACAGCTTTGTCTCTGCGAGAAACGACGATGGAGATGGAGAAGGAAAGAACAGGTATGGAAAAGCTACTCCGTACGAGTACGGAGTACTGTTGGAGAAATTAAAGTGGAAGTGATAGGAGCCGTTTCGGACACATCAATAAATGGCCATGGTGGATTGATTGCCTGAGAGCTCCGTTGCTTGTCGTCTCAAGCTTCAGAACAAGCCGCCGCTACCGTATAGTAGCCCCGAACTGGCGCCCCTTGCAACATACGACACTTATTTATATATATATCAGATTGAAATGCACCAATTAGACTTAGACAATCTCAAATATAAAGTGATGTACGAACATTCAAACGTGTGTAATACAAGATCTACTCAGATGATAGATCATTTGTTCCTGTGTGGTCAATTTGGCTCAATTGCTCTCCGTCTGCATGACATGACGTAACCGAATCTGAAAAATCGGGTCCTAGGATACTCCTCCCAGGTTCAGATTGATTGGACCAAAGAGCTACAGTATCAGAATGGTATTTTGACAACTCGGAGCGGAAAATCTCATTTTGATTGGGGAATCAACGGTGCGTTTGCAAGGTAAGATGTTTGGAACCAAAACTATCACCACGTTTGCCAGACTCTGTTTCTAGCAACTTCATGAGGCAAAGAGAAATCTGGTAAGCAAAATCATTGTCAAATTCCCGATGCTTCGCTTGAGTTAAAATCTCATGAAAATAAACATCAAGAATCAGCATATATTATGCAATCGGCATAAGCAGAACTAAGTCTATGAAAGTGAGATTAGACACATCATGATTCAGATAGCCTCCAAGTGGAGGCTCATATCGTAAGTTGTAAAATTGGGAAGCTATGAGCTACCCAAGTAAGTTGAAACAGCCTTGGATACCATAGTATTCCAAGTTGAGATGCAAGTTTGCTTTAGATATCAACCCTCAATTATTGAGGGGCATGAAGCTGTAAGACTACGGTAACCATGCACCTGCTTTCCTACCTGAGGAATATGTTGCTGTATTCTTTCATAGAGTTAGTTCTACAAGAATTTTACTGCCAGCTTCATCTACTGTGCTCTTTGAACCAAGAAAACACAAGTTGATCCAAAGGCTTCATAACGTCACTACTAGTTATCCGCGCCCAAATTCCCACTTCCGTAAACAGGACAATGCAAAGCAAACCAACTTCCATCTCTTTATCTAATCATATTCCCAACCGGAATATCGGTGTAAAGAGTAGCGAACCTCTCTAAAGTGAATGACAGAAGTACAACGTGATTGGAGGAACGTGGTTACTGCAGGAATTATAAGCGAGATGTTTACTCAGGGGGTAACATTAGTCGAACAGCAATTCACAGATAATCGACATTCATTGGTCTTTCTGAAACCAATAGATAAAGATCTATTTTCGGTATTTCGATATTCCCCTTCCCCTTTCTAGAAGAGATAACTGAAGACATCTCATTGGTGCATCCCTCCCTAACTCCCCAAAGCATACAACACCCTCAAAACTACGTAGTATATCCAGATCCACACTAACCCACCCCCAAAAACTTGCAACCCAAAGATACCCACCAACAAAAAAACTGGCAAAACTAGCAAAAAATAACAAAAAAGAAATTTATTGCAATAGGGGAGATTCGAACTCCCGTCTCCTGCTTGGGAAGCAGACCGGTTCTGCAATCCTCGTTAGCTCGATTAAATAACCCGCAATTGTGAAATACTTACAAACCACTACCATACTATTGCTTTACCAGCTTTGTTTTTGACCTCGATATATGTTATTAGAACTCTTATGAAATGTGGAGGCGGTGTTGTTTGATATCCGGGGATAGCCGAGAAAGGGCGAGAGGGCTGGTTGATGGGAGGTGTGGTTTGGGTTGGGCGCGGAGTAGAGCCTAAGTGAAGTGAAGAAATGAAAGCTAGAGAGGCTCGAGAAGGAGGAACAGGTCAAACATGGGGATGGGTCCGAAATAGTGGTTTTGCAAGTATCGGTACCTGTACTATCATCTTGATTACCCTAGAGCAAGTTTTTCAATTATACTTGAACCTCTAAAATGCCCCAAAAAATGTTCTCAAGATCTTACCGGAGCGATGGTCGGCCCCTTCAGCCTTTACACCTCTTACCCTTCCCCTTGCGCTTCCGGAGGGCTCATACTTTGACATGGGCTCTTCTTTCCTCACTCTTGTTCCCAGTTTTTTTCTTCTCTTCACAAAATAAATTATCATCCTCGTGACCTCTGACAGAAGTCTGATTAGTACTCGTGATGAGGTCCAATTTAAAAACCTTTAGGACAAGAAAAGAGCACGGAATACTATAACCGAATTCGCAAAGGGAAACCCTACAGCTCCAACACATGTGACCCAAAACAACATCACGCAAACACTGCCCACCCCTCTCGAAAGAAAGATCACAAAGCCTACATTCCAGACCTAAAAGAAACCTCACCGTCCCAATACAACATCCCAAATCACACCTTCCATCCCTCCTCACCAAAAACCCCATAACACACCTCCAACTACAACAGCACCTCAACCACCTCAGTAACTCCACCCCATCCAACCATCCCACCAAAAACCCATCCCCTTCCCCAACCGCAAGCCCACCGCCAAAGCCCCAGCACCAAAAAAAACTCCCTATTACGCTAAACAACAAACAAGGCTTCCCCGCGTTTGACATACACCAATACCCTACCTTTGTCCAGTCCAGCCCCGGGCCTAGCCGGAAGGCGGGACCCTTGATTTCCATTACGTCATAGCGCCATTCTGTGAAGGATATTACCTTTTTTCCCCAGGACCGCTTTGATCCCATGCGGGCCCCTTGAGCAATGCGGGGATGGGGATGGGGATGTTTTGTTAGTCATGGAAATTCGGTTAGTTGTAGTTGTGCTAGGCTAGGACAAGTACGAGGAACGGTAGTGCCTTTGCTTTGTAAAATCTTGAGGGTGCGACATGTTCCAGTTAGTGGGCTTTCAGAGCGGCTTGTAGGGCGAGCTTACTGTATAGGGCTCGTACTCGTATTCTTGGGATGAGAGATGGAGTTGTGAGATTCAAGTAGAGAATCATGAACATATTTCGAGACACAAAAAGAAGGGCTTTAGTAAAGAAGAACTTTTATTATCTGTTAACTTCATTCCGCTATCCACTTCCACCAATTGCTTGTCCGACTAATACATTGTACTGCACAAAAGAAAACGTAAAAAGTAAACAACGCCGGGTATATATCTTGGGGGTATCATGGAAGAAAATCGATAAAAAATCACCAAGACAAAAGAAAGAACACGAGAAATCCAGAGTCATACCAGCCAGATTCCACCAAGCCTTTTTGTCCTGAGGTCCCAAAGTTTTGTTTTTATTCCCTGCCTATAAAAGTATAGAAAAACAAACAAAGTGAAATGTAACCAAAAAATTATTGCAGAATTAATCGCCCGTCATAAAACAATGCTTTTTTTGGGTTCGCTTGATGAAGTTTCGTAAATGCGCCTTGAGATTATGAGATAGTGTCGTTGTTATCGTGAAGTTCTTGGGAGAATAGAAAATTAAATAAACGGGATTCAGAACCAGCCCCGTCCAGTTATTCTGCCGAGTAATATTGTGATGACTCTTGAAGTGGTAAATTCGGAATGAATGCCGCTAGAGCCGTATTAAAGTAGAAGTTTTGGAGAAGCGAGGAAGCCGAAACGACTAAAGAGAGAAGACCATTCGTCTAGACACGATCGAATGAGCGGCTGAGTCTTCGTAGTAATCCAGATGATCGAGAGCTACCATTCGAGGAGATAGATTCTCTGCGGGAAGAGCGTGAGAAGGGGCGTAGAATAGAAGAGCTCCAGTTTCCGGCTCCTCCTCGTCCAATATGCCAGGCATTGTCCATTTGATCGCGGGTTCCTTGACGTTCTAGTTCTTCATCGAAGGAGAACATGGCACGCTCTGAGTTGTTGCAGATATTGCCTGCTCCTCCCCGACCACTACTGAATTTGTTGCTGGATTGAGGGCCGAACGACGAGACTGGGCGAGAAGACAGTCTGCTCGTGGTGGACTTAGGGGCCTTGATAGCATTACCAGCTCCTCCACGACCAGAGTAGGTGTATTTGGCGATGGTTGGGTGTGGCTCGACGACGGAGTAACGCATGGTCATTGTGAACAAGTTTGTTTTGGTAGGTTGGGATAGGGTAGTAAGTCGTAGTAATCTGATAGTAGTAATATTGTGATTATGAGGGTAGAGCGAGAACTGTAATGTTATTGCTGCTGGGTGAGAAGATTGACATTGAGTTTTAGCAATGAGAAGGAGCGTGTCCTCTTATACCTTGGTGGGCATTAATAATGGCTCAAGTCCTTTGTGAGAAAAATTTCACACATAGTTGGATTGTCCATGTTACGGACAACCGTTGATTCATCGGCTCCTGGCTCGCCTGGTCAGACTCAGACTCGTGCGGTTCCTGGGCACGCTAAATAGCCCTGTGGAGCGATCTCGCCCTTGTGAGTGGTTCGGCGGGACAGGCCAAGAGCCACGATTAAGTAACAGGATTCCTTTCCAGGCTCAGTCAGACGGTCACGTTGACGCCTCTGGTCCATTTCGAATTTCCTGGGGGTAATAGTTATCTCACGATGCCCCAGAGAGCCGTGTTTAGGCCAGCAAGAGGCCTGGAATTGCCGCAAGAAAATTTGCATTGGGTTTCATGACACCTTTGTGGTCTTCTGGACACGAGTTGCCAACAACTAGTAGTACCCCTCTCGAGTATGCATTAATAATAATAATTCCAGCCTTAACTTAGCCAAAACGTGTGTTTGTCCGTTTGCCTCGCTTTAGGAATCGGACCAGAGACGACTTCGGCTCGCATGACGCAAGTGCTTGCAATTCTTGCAACTTATTCCAGTGACCTCCAAGCCTGTCTGGCAGTTCGGGCAAAGCGATGAGTGAGCAATCGACGACATCATCATGGTTACCGACAAGTGTCTGTACGAGTACTCCATATACAGTAACCAAGATTACTTTTGACCCAGCCCTGTTCTTCTCAAACCTAAAATTAGAAGTCCAGTAGTAAGGAGAAGCGAGAAGTCGAAGAACACTTGCAGAAAACTCTGCTACATAGATCCGTCATCCACCATCCATCATGCTTAATTTTCAGGTACCGTGGCACTGTATCGTAGCCACCTCGGCCTACGACAGCGTTGCCACGCGCCAGATGAGGCTCTGTGCCAGCTCTCCTGATGTAATTTTCTGGGGAAATTTTCTTCGTGGCGGACTTGGCAAGTAGATCCTCCACCAAAGTGCCTTGAATCCCTTAGTGCACCGATCCGTTTGGTCCACAGAATAAAGATTTAAGACCTAAATTTTCCGTGCTAGCCCGAAAGGGGAGATCCTCTGCCCTACGACTTTTTACCTGCTTCCCCGCAATATCAAAGGTTGAAAGCGCTGATGAGTGGCAGTTCGCAATTCTCAGCTTGTTTTGGTGTTCCGAGTTTCCGTAGCGGTGAACAAAAAAGTACAGTAAAGAAACAGAGAAAACCATCCAGACCAGACGAACTTTTCTAGACCGGTCATGAGAAGAGATGATATAACCTTAACTTAAGCTGATATTGGAATGAGGAAATAGAGCTAAGCTTACGTGGTTCAAAAGTCTTTTGACGTAATCTGCTGGGACCTTTCTGGCAACTTTTGGGAAAGGCCGATGCGTGGCAAATCATCTGATCATTATTGAGTGATTGGTACCGAGTGATACCAAGTCAACACTTTTGGCGCCGTGTTTAGTCAACTTTTCTGGACGTGAAAGAGGGAGAAGTTTTTTGTATAGTCACTTGACCTTCAGGTTCATGGAGTTCTTTGCAAATTACTCGTACTCGTATCGTAAACTTGGAAGCCAAAGTTCAGTGAATAATGCTGCTTTCCGCGGATTAATGTTGTTCCAGCCGCTGGCTAAAAGGTTACCTACGGAGCAAGTGGTTTGGCGCCCTTCACAGAAACTCATCCATCATGAATGCTTCTCGACATTCAAATCGCGGCGGCCAGCCCTCTCAACGAGGCAGAGGCCGCGGTGGTCGTCGTACAGGCGGGTTTAATGATAGGCGTGATTTGCACCCGGTACCAAGCATTCAACAAGTTATTCCTGGAGCAGCCGTTTCGATCGTATTGAAAATCGACCAAGGAAGTGGCCGTGAAATTCAAGGAACTGCCGCCGATATCTTGACTTCAGGCAATCACCCTAGAGGTATTAAGGTGCGCCTACAAGATGGAAGGGTTGGCCGAGTACAGCGAATGGTCAGCGAGCACGAGGCAAAAGCGGCATCGGCAGGGTTGAATGGTTTAGGGAGGAACGGCGAGAGCGAAAGAGGCGGTGGTCAAGTGACAGTCAGCGCGAGAGCAACTCCCATGCCCAGCAGATATAGCGATTTCCGCTTAGATGCTCCGGACGAGCCACCAGCCGCGGAGCTGTCTCTTTCAGACTATGTGGTAGTAAAAACGAAGCCAGCAAAGAAAGGAAAAGGGAAGAAAAAGAACGAGGCGACCGATGGCCGAAATGGGGAGGCAGAGGCAGAGGCAGGATTGACCGTGGAATCCTCGACAAGTAAATGCCCGGTCTGTGGCGAATTTGAAGGCGATGAAGTTGCCGTTGCGCATCATGTCAATGAGCATTTTGATTGACGGCAGCGTCTCATGGAAGCTGCCCCCATGATTCATTGTCGTCGACAAAATGGAAAGTATCTGGAGGTACCTATGGGGGGATTCATAGTACATACAGTACTATGAGCTAGTCCGAACTGGGACTTGTCTAGCGAGCTATGCCTTCCCTTCTTGACCACAACAATGAGAACACACCGGCAAAGTTTAATTGGACCTAAGTGCTTGGGAAGATATGGAAGGAGCCATCCACAGCAAAATCACCAGAGCCCACCGGTCATGCTCTGAAGCTCAATGGAAGTCAGCGGGATGGGAGGAGAGAATTTGAACCTACTCTGCTCAGGCTGAATTGCCCGAAATTGTCTTTGGCCTCGAAGACATAAATGCACCGAGCTCTGATGAAAGTCTTGATTCTGAAGCAGGAAATATTCATTGTAGGTCTGGTATCCCCAGGAAGGACTTCCGGAGTACCATTCAAGACCCGAGGCCTCGTATGTTTATCTTGATACTCAATACAGTCTGACTTCTAAATATGTACTCATGAAATTATTACTTCCTCTATTACTTTGCTGATTGTGATTTTCCTGATGACCGGCAGAATTTGGCACACATTCAGTGTTCTTGACACTGTTATTCGCAAAGACAAGGGATATTGACGTACTTCAAACGGCAGCTCAACCACCACTTCCATTGTCTCCGCTACCGGAACCACATTAAGTCTTCAGTACAGTAGGATGTGTGACTGACCTGAATGCGATTTCGCAGGACTCAAGGCCGTCTTCTTTCCGTCTTGAAGAAGCTGGACTTCTGACGTTGAATCATGGTTATCATACTGGACTTCCATCAGCTGTGAATGTAATCCGACCGCATTAGTATCTCAACATTTTTAACCCTCAATTTCCTTTGTTGCCATCGTTTTATTCTTATCCCAAGGTTTAGACGTTTCTCAAACGGCAGGAGTGGTGGAGTTGATCTCAAGATGCCACTTTATGCAAGGGAAAGAGCCCCCTACCTCTACAGCAATGTCTCTGGGAGATCTGCAATCCGAAATCGACAACAAAATTGGACGCCAGGTTCTGGCCTTACCTCCAAGTACCCCGTCCAAAGCAAGCTCCGTCTCAATGTTGAAGCAACCATGAATGAAATTGTCGGGGAAGATCCAGAGGCACGACCAGATTACTTCAAAAACAACTTTGAAGAAGTTGTGTTTGTGTTCACGGTTATGATGGCCACCGCTGCCACAACGTTTCTTCAAGGCGTGACTGTCATCAATACAGCCGCAATTGGCAAAAGTCTTGATATGACTGCTTCCCAGATAACATGGATAGCGGCATCCATAGGGTATGTTTGTTATTCAACCTTGGTTGTCATTTCCTAATAGTTTACAGACTTGGTAGCGGTTCGTTCATGCTGCTTTTCGGAAAGACAGCAGATCTCTTTGGTCGAAAAGCACAACTTCTCTTAGGGATGACCTTTTTGGGATTCTTCTCCCTCCTAGCTGCCTTCGCTCCCAATGCTATGGCTCTCGATATCATTTGTGGTTTCTTAGGAGTCGGCACGGCAATCATCTCACCTCCTGCTATCGGCACACTTTTCGCAGCCTATCCTGAAGGAAAACGTAGGAATAAAGCGACTGGCGCATTGGGAGCTGGAAACCCGTTGGGCTTTGTGTTAGGAAGTATGTCATCGGGACTTGCCACGAGAATATGGGACTGGAGAGCCTCATTCATCGTCATTTCAATCTTCTTTTTCGTTATGACCGCAATGGCCATCTGGACGATGCCTTCAATACCTCGAATTGGTAACAGACGGGAGATGATGAAGTCGTTTGACTATCTCGGCACCGTCTTGACAATCACAGGTGTGGCTTTGTTTTCTGCCGCATTGACGTAAGTCCTATCAAATTCTGCACTCTAGTTATCTAACATATTCACAGCCAAGGCCCAGATATAGGTTGGAGAGCACCTCAAACGATAATTACTTTGATCCTTGGCGTTCTCTTCATGTGTGCTTTTGCTTGGTGGGAGAACATTCATGCCCACCCGCTTCTTGATCCATCTGTCTGGAAAAACACCAATTATACTCTCTGCGTACTTTGCACAATGTTCGGTTATAGTAAGGATAATCTTTCCTTAGGTTATCTCTTATTTCATACGCCTGACGTGCGAAGATTTTCGGTTTCCATATTTGTTTTCCCTCGTCAATCTGATTGAAAGCTGAAAGAATATGAAAAACTGACTTTGAATGCCCAGTGTCATTCGTCACCAACCAATTTTGGATACCATTATACATGCAAGAGGTTCAACGTTTATCACCACTCAACATTGCTTCTCGCATGCTACCGCAAGTTTTAGCAGGTCTCGCGTGGAGTTATATAGGACAAGCACTCGTTTGTCGACTTCCGGGAAGAATAATCATGGCCATAGGGGGAATTGCATATCTCACAGGAGCAATACTTTTGATCTTCATTCGACCAGAGACTTCTTACTGGAAATTCTTGTTTCCAGCAATGGTGATTACTGTGATTGGAGCAGACTTTCAGTTCATCGTGGCCAATGTTTGTTTCCCCCCTCTTGTTGCTCGATGCAAATCTACATATGAGATTCTGTTGAAGAGTGCTGACTAATAGAATAGTTGTATGTGGCAAAACAAATGCCCAGTCAATCCTCTCTAGGTGCTGGTGTTATCCAAACTGCATACCGTCTTTCTGTCTCGGTGGGACTTGGCATTACTACAGCCATCTATGGCACAACACAAAAGACAACCTTGGGAAGCACCGACGCTACATTTCCTTTTGAACGTGCCTATCTTGGTGGAATAGCATTTGCTGCCTTCAGTCTCCTTTTTATTCCCTTCATGAAAATCGACAAACAAGGAAGCGGAGAACAAGCACCCCCAACGACATCTACAACCCTTTTTGACAGTGAAACCCAGGAATCCTTGCCCCGGTCCGCAGGCGAATACCGTGATGACGGAGGAGACCCAAGTCTCACGAGCAAGGCCAGCCAGAGTACCCTTGGGAGCGCAGCTACATATGGCAGTGAAGCAACTTATTTCGACAGATGGAGTTGGGAGAATGGTCAGGTATGGACTCCCACGCCTGGGGAGCATCATCATCATGACGCGACTTCGGAAGTACTCTATGAGGTTTGCGTCAAGTGTCTTGAAGAGAGGAGAGTAATTCTCCCCGTAAGACAGTCGGCTGTGGATACCCAATACCAGAATCAGGCTGAACTTTCGGGGTATATGCGGAACAGAGTTTTTGAAGGAGGTCCTGGCTGGGTATAGCAACTGCTCTAGATCTCAGGGACGGTGGACAGCTGACGCAGGCTCAACATACCGAAAGCATCAAAGACGAGTAGAAGCTCGCCAGGACAATGCGAGAAGAAATGAGACCTACACAACCAGACCACAAGACGCGAGAGGAAGAGTATAGATCGAGAGCAGCATGAAACTCTCTAGCGAGGATGGATATATACAATCTTGGAACTTTTGTTGCTCACGGAAGCGGCATTGAATTTACGGGTTATTATGGATCTTGTTATGCCTGCGATTAGAGGTCCTCGATAGACTAGACGGGGCATAGACAAAAGATTATAGGAAGAGATGAGGTATTTTGGGAGTCGGATTTGTAGGGGGGATTAGATGTGTTAGGTGAGTGGTGGGGGTTTTCTATGGGTTGAGAGGATGGAAAGGTGTGTGAGGATGTGGTGTGAGGTGTGAGGTGGTAAGGTGGTGCGATGTCAGTTCGCTTTATTAGAAGTTTGGAGTGGTAGAATTCCCTTGTTGTGGAGAAGTGGGTAATATATCTTTTTGGGCCCTGGTAGGCCGTGGTGCTGAGCATAGATCGTAGATGAGAGAATATAGATTGTTTTTCTTGCGGAGGTGGACTTTTTGATGAGATGTGGTGTTTGATATTAATGCTTTTTCCACAGCTGTAAGTTTCCCGTTTTTTTTTCTTTTGGACAGAAAGTGGTGTTGGGAGGAAGGTCCCTCGACAGCTTTTGAAATGCGAGGTGTTTGGATGTTAAGGCGCTTCTTATTGAGAACTGTTTTATCTGTGTCAAGTGGACTTGATTGTATATCTGTAAGGGAACTAGCGTGGTGCGTGAAGTGTTTGTGGGGTGGGAGACTCGCTTAGGGAATTGAAAAGGGGCGGGTTTTCGGAAGTTGGAGATTTCCGAGTTGAGAGCAGGGTAACTTGACACATCTAGGGATTAGATGAAGAGAATACTGGGAAGATGAATAGCTGCAAACTGGGTACCTCTCCATCTAATGATGATATATCTTTATTAGAGGCTCCTGATAAGTTTGCTAGGTGGGCTGCAAGTCCACAAGGAACGGTATATATCGGAGAGAAGGGGAGCAGAAGGTTGCAGAAAGTACAGCTGGGATTTCCAATAGGAAGAAGGCTCAATTGTTATTGCAGTGAGATTGTTACTGTTTGCGACCAAGAAGTACGTACCGGCGCGGGCCCTATGCGGCAGAGAAAAATGAATGCTTTTTTACTTTGCATGCCCTATAATCTTACTAAAACACAACTTATGAATATTGAGGAAAGAAATATCGTTGCTATTGTGCAACGCTACGAGTTTACAAAAAGAGAGCCTTTGTAGGGGAGGTAATACGGTCAGTTCTTCCATCCCCATAGGAATATCCCATAGGGCTGCCTGCACTTCAACACAGGAGATCAACAACAAGAATGGGACTAACTCAGTTCTGAACTCTATTACTATCAGATCCCGATGCGACGATTCGAAATATGATATCTTCAAGTATATGGGACCCGTGGATACGAGGGACTGTGCGAGTCAATTCACGTCTTGCGGCTTATCTTGTAGGATACAGATATCTGAAGCCTATGACTTACGGGCCTCGCTTCCATTGCTTTCGGCTCTTTGCGCCTTTCCCAATTCGAGGTTGGAAGGGGTACTTTTCAAGCCACCCCCGAAGCCGGCATCTTGGATACATAATCTTCCGAATGGAATTAAAAGGTTGCGGTAAGTATTCTACTTATCCTCTTTCGCGAGTCTGGATATTATATCAAGAGTTTCTTCACATATTAACCTAAGCTTAGCCTTCAAATTGCGTTCTACTTTTAACTACGTTGAATAAATATTCGTTGTAACGATAAAAATCGGCAACAAAATCTACCTAATACAGTGCTCAAGCATACCATTTCACACGAGTAATGATTTTGAACCTCTGGTCGTTTGTTGCACTTCGGAATCCCAATCGGAGGTTGGACGGATTTTACGACCTCGAAGTTTTGGTTGAAATAGTTCCTCAAACATACCGGAAGTGGAAAATTATCAATGCGGGAGCGTCTTTCGGCTTTCGGGTTTTTTGTACGGTACGTGAAAATACCTAAGCGTAAATACATATGGTTCATCACTGTGTCAGAAGTTATGACATATCCTTAGTATGTGATTTTTTTGGAACTCTACAGGTAACGTGGTCTGTTCCGAATGCGAGGCTGTTGCATATCATTGGTAGGAAAGGCCAATACAGTACGACATCGCGTGGGAGGTTATTTCCGTAACCGTTTTTCGAGGTTCAAACGTCTGTGGGGTTAAACTTACGGTGAGCTGATTTTGAATTCAAAGTTTGATATGTTTACGAGTACCTCTTATTCACAAAGTATCTAAGCGATCGGTCTTAAGAAATAATGTTAACCGGCTTGGCGTTGCTTTTCAGGGAATCACGATTGGTTGATACTTCGTTGCAGACATAATACTTTAGGCTTCGGTAGAGAAAAGCCTTAGTTGTAACTTCTTATACGCGTCCCGAAGTATACCGCCTTCACTCAATTCTAGGCGATATTACCTGCCATTGCGAACCCCTTTTCTGGAAATAATGACCTAGCGAAGACTCGCAAATCCTCAGGTCAGGCCGGCAAAGGGTTTTAACATTCCAAAGAGGCTTCGGATCTCAGAACTTTGGTACTTGAGTTATCTTGGTTTTCACTGAAGGCCAACCCGTAGTTGAACAAACACCTTCAGCATATTTGCTCGGATACGATAATGCGAGTAACTTAATGCTGTTGGATTCTTCAGAACTGCTTCAGCGACCAAATCTGGCTTCATGTACGTAAAGGTACAATAGGAGTTTTATTCCGCCAACAACTGTCGTTAGGCTAGCAGGGAATTCTAAGGCACAGGCTTCTTCATGTCTGGTTAATATCTTTAGGGGGCTGGCTTCAAAAAATTGAGCTCTGGTAAAATGTTGTTTTACCCGTATTCAAATGCATTGATTGCACGCTCTCTAGTAGCATGTATATTGAAATTCGGAATTAGAATAGAACATGTAATAAAGAAAACGAAATTAATGTGCAGTATTGATGTACTGTCTGCCTTGATATAACATACAGTTACCAAGCGACTGGGTGGTACTGTCTCAGCCCAATGCCCAATTCAGAAGTTGAACCCCAAGGAGAACCTCTGTTTCCCCGTAAAAAGTACATCAATCCTACACCTAAACATCATCTGACCAGCCATTCCTGTATTATTTCGATTAAACGCCATCCAGAACATTAAATATCTTCAAGAGAATAACAAAACTTCCAAATAAACATTAGTCAGAAAGCCTCACTGCTTCTGGGGAATCCCCCCAAGTAGGTAATCACAAGAGGCAGCGCCCACCATCGGCGGTCTGCCTCTTGGAGGCGAAATCGCATTTCTATCCTCTTTCCCATGCATATCTTCAACCACAGCCACTGACTTAGTCTTTTCCAGATTCGCAGAAGAGCCAGAATTAGACTGTTTCTCCTCATCTGACCTTTGAGAACCCTTCATATTTGACTCAAGCGTTTCCTTCGAATCCCTCCTTCCCAAAAGCCTCATGATCAACGCATTGAGAGCTGGAAATGAAGCACAAAGAATCCCTAAGAACAGCTCCAAAATACCTAGCATGGAAAACTCAACAAGAGTAAGCGTCTTGTCCGGATCCGTAAACATGGTGGTCACCTTGCGAAGTCTGGCAACACTCGCAGCTGCAGCTAGACCACCCGCACCAAGAATCCCAAAGAGTTTGATCTTCTTCACTAATGAGACGTGAAGGTCCCATATGAGAGGTATTGGGATGACCAGGATCGCGATGTCGGTGGTAACGCTGACGATGGCGTCGGCTAAGAAAATCCCGTTGATGTCCCAACAATGTGCTCTGACATTCAAGTCCCAGAACGCATGAATGGGTTCGCAAATCATGACCTTGATCACGAGCATCGTGATGTAATAAATCAACAAAAGGACCATGAAGATATTGATACTAATGACAGCAATTCGAATAGGTGCCCATATCCGAGTAAAGATTAAAAGTAGGGTGATTTTGATAAGAAGTGCAGCGGGACCATAGAGGAGTGTGTTGCGCCACATGCCCTGATGATAATAGTTAGCTACTGTGTGCATCGGGGTAGGCTTGGGATATTTACAAATAAGAAACGTCTGTACTGAGTGTTGGATACGTCCCATATGTGCATGCCACCTCCATCATTACTCACTTTAAAAAGTTAGCAAGCCCTGTAATGCAAAGACGGATATACACGTACATGTTGTTGTATTTGCACAATATGCTATGAAGAAAAACTAGTCCAAGGTCAGAAGTGTAATCTAAACAAGAAGAAAAACGAATTGACATACGGTAGCAGATATGCAAACCCCTAGACGCAAAGTCAGAATCTTGTTCAGCGAAAATGATAAAAGTACAAGACTTACAATCTTCCAGATGCATTCCACCTTGTAAGTTCCTTCTGACCCATATCCGCATTACCACAACAGGTACAATTAGAACTACAGACAATATTCCCACCACAGCATTGAGCTTACACACAATATCACTTGGGTGTTTATTACCCGGTATCGAACTTTTTGGGAGATCCATCGCCATTTCCGTTTTCGGCTATTTGAGTAGTAGAGGAAACGAGTCGGAAAAAGAGCACCTAATTAAGTGATATGGATAGAACTTCTCTCACCACATTCCGAGAAGTGGGTATGTATGGAATGTAACAAAATGAGCCTTTGACAATGTCGAAAAGGTGTGAATACTGGGGTAGTGGGACTGATAATGAATCTTTGGAGCCATATACATGTACGTAGCCGAGGAGGCCTAGGCCACTGGGCAGTACGTGCGGGAAACCTTCGACCATCATGCACGATTTTGACAAGGCGTTGAATCTTCAAGCAAGAAGCCTGTTCTCTGAGAAATACAAGATTACGAGTAGACATTAGATGGTACGAATGCATAGCGATTTGTAACAATGTGAGTAGTATTGAGGCGTCGACAATCATCAGTCCACGTCCCACTCTCCTTCGGGTCGTTAGGACGAAGAGTGCATAGTATATACACGAGGGTCTTCGGAAAGACTTGAGCTGAAGCTCGACAGTAAAGTGAGTTGCTTGACAATACTGTATAATAATGAAAAAGCTACTGCATTATGCTACAATATGTTTTCCTCAATGGGAAAGAGTTGTGACGTGTATAAATTGCTCTTGGAGTCAAACTACTAGTATCAAAATGACAAAAGGTTCACTCTGAACGTTTAAGGAACTACGTTATGGAGCCTCTGATTCGATACAATATTCCGTGCAGTTCTTTCCCATGACTCCCAATAGATTCCACAGCACGTGATACATGCACCTGACAAGGGACCATGAAGGACGATGCCCATGGATTACTGTATGGTTACCATAAAATAAGGTTAAAAGGTTCCGATCGACGCAGGGACTCCACGTTTGTTACATTGGGGTAGCTTGGCCCTGGAGTACTGGTGCACAGATGAAAGTACGCTTTGATGTCTACGGGATACATCGCTTACGTGTCCATTTTGCTATTTACTTCATCTTAACTTCCGTACTCGGTACAGGCCTAACTATCAGCTTTTGGCGACACAATAGAAAAAGATACCAACTAACTATGTGGAAATTTGACACTTTTTTGCTCAGGAATAACAGTTATAATCCCTCTATTCAAACCAAGTATATAAAAATATGGTTGCAGTACGTTAAGCGAGCCCAATCGGACAAGGATAGTAGTTTTTCCCGGCCATTTGACCTCAAACTGCCTGGGTCTCATATGCTCGCTTGCGGCGTAAAAGCCTATTTTGCCTACGATTACTACTAGTACAGTGCCCCTTGTGTGGCTTCTGGAAAAGGTATGGACCAACTTTTAGATGTCCGGCTTTAGTACTGTACGGGGTACTAAAGGTCAATTCACTTATAATATAGTGTTATAACTGCCAAATCGCAATTCTGAGAAAGCCGAAAGTCTTACGGTATAAAGAAATCCCGCTCGTCATCTGAAAAGATCCCTTTTCCGGAAAAACCCAGGGCGGACTGCACTATACTGTGGAACCATGTAACTTCAAAATACCAGTAGTTGAGAATAGCTGCTTGCCAGGGATAATGTCAGCCAGTCTTAGATTGTTCCTCGATCTGTACGCAATGGGACAAGGGGGCATCAAGATCATTAATCTTCAAGTTCATCGGAAACTTTCATCGTCAATCTTAAACACAACCCTTCACGCGAGTAAAGGAAGCTTCCAGGTCACAAATCAAACATAAAAAACATAAAGTGAGATCAAGAGATGCTAAATAATATGTAACCCCTTCGGTTCGCTTAGGTGTAGGTACGCTTCGTTGCATACTCACCACGAGTCATCAGGCGGACAGACGAAGTGGAAGCACATTTTGCGAGAGTAGAAACAGCGTTGGGACATTTTGTGAAAAGATCTCCGTGTATCGCAAGAAGATGACAAAGATATAGGCTAATAGAGACAGGCACAGTCTCTTTAGTGTTATCGCCGCTAAGGCTTTGACATCCAATCGGGGAAGGGGGGGTAGGTCTGCGAACATAGTCGGAGTGTAACTCTTTCAAACAACTCCCTCTCACCAAGGCTTCGGAAGGAATGATCTAAGAATGCAGAACTATAGCATGAACACTCGCGACCTGTCCAAAATCTCACGATTGCGTCTCGACAGGAGGATTGAAAAAGTGACTTCGACAGATACATTATGTACAACTCGTGTTTCAGGTTTAAAATTGGAAAGGAGGCTAGCAAACGGAAGTGAAAATCCTGTTCCATCTGTAAGAAGGAAAAGTACATCATAGAATACGGAACTATCCAAGTTATAGGTGGAGATGCATGAGTGTTGGTGGTTTAGAATCAGGTGTACGATGTCTGAAGTTCACTGTGTCGACTCTGGAGTTCACTGTGTGGAAAGGGTCGAAAGTGGCAAGACCGCTATTTGAGAAGAAGGACGTCTATATATTAGGAGCCTCCACCGAACACCGTTCCGAACTCCATCCACACGCCCTAGCATATTTCTTAAGGACTGTATATTACGGTACTGTCGCTACAGTCCTCTGGGCGAAGTTTCCAGAAAAGGCATATTTTTACATGAAGACTGGGGGTGTTTTACCAACACCCTCGGCCCTCTAAGACCCACTATTTAGCGGTATTCTAATTAAAAGACTATATTATACGTGAACTAATCTTTTGTATATTCGAGCCGGGTGTAAAGAAGAGTCTATCTAAACCTTTTCCGGAAAACCCGCGTAAGGGGGACTGTAGATGTTCAACTTTCATAAATTGGAAACTTGTGACAACTTACTATACAGAACCCCTCGCGTGGTTTCCGGCAAAGGTTTGAAGAGACCAATCTTTAGAAACCCAGATTGAATATACCAAAGGTCAAATCACTTAATGTGTAATGTAGTCTTCTAAGTAGAAGTCCGCTGACTAGCGGGCCCTACAGGGCTGAGGTACTAATAAAACACTTCCGCTCTTCATCTGAAAATACACCTTTTCTGGAAACAACTGTTCTAGGTCTTTCATGAATAATGCAGTCCTTTAAGTAGAAGTCCGCTGAACAGCGCGCCTTACAGGGCTGGGGTACTACTAAAACACTCCCGCTCTTCATCTGAAGATACACCTTTTCCGGAAACAACGCAAGGGGACTGTACTGCTACAGTACAGTAAGAATTGACTCTTCAAACCCTTCAAACGAAGGAAGACTCGAGTGGGAGTGTGAAACCCGGAATTGGAGGGTGTATATGTATTAGAACTAAGCAGTTTGCAGATGTCATTTGGGACAGTTGGGCCAATAGTTATCAAATACATACACACATTCATCCACATATCTTCTACTGGTAGTGTCGTCTCAAAAGATTGAAATAAAACCAGGTCTGATAATCCGAAGGCATTAATTTTACCAGTAATGGTATTTTACCAGTAATGGTATTTTACCAGTACTGTAGTTTACCCCAGAAAATAAGAAGATTGGACCAGCAAGCTTGAAGGAGTTCCTGCATCGTTGCCACCAATCGCAGCACGTGGAAGTTACCAAAAGCTACCTTCAGTTCATGACTAAAGCAAATAGCTACCACCGTAAGAATCCGTCTTGAGACACAAAACCAAGACAGAAACCAGAGTGTTTGGGTATCATTACGCTTAAGCAGTCCACAGCGATTTGTCGGCTAACAACCTGTCCATGGCTTTGGCTTCCAAATATATACTGACATCCACACCATTACGACTCCAATGTCCCTCTTTTCGTTCGCCAAGACTCTCCAAAACATCTACCAGACCATCACAACTAGGCATAAAGGGAGAAATATGTTTTAATCGTCCGGTGGCACCAAAGTTCACTTCATCCAGCTTCAAATGTAGCCAAGGCGTCAAGAGGACATGCTTCTCTCCAAGAAAACTTCGCCAAAGGCGTTGAGGCGAGACCTCAAAAGCCGCATCGTGAAGAATTGCGACTGTATTCTGAGGCGTAAACTGCTTGAGTAAGGTACGGATTTGCGTAGCTGTGGCTACGAGGGACTGAGCGACGTCCGAGCCAGAAGGCGTGGACATGGATATAGCAGCAGAAATAATAGGGCTGCCAAGGAATGAAGAGGGCAGAGGAGGGTCCAGGCGGTTGCGAAGGCCTACTGAGAGGCCTAGAAACGTTTTTGTGTCCGGTGGGAGCTTTCTAGCTGTGTTGATGAGTGCCCATATGTGGGATAGTAGTGTCGAGCTTGGATATCCTGGTGGCTTGAACGCCTGTGGGAGAACTTACAAGTCCATGGATCCTATCGACGTCTGAGGTTGTAAAGTGCAAAAGCCGATGTGCAACTGGAGCATGAATATCCCATTCGTTCCAAGGAATGGGGATGCTTGGCGAGTGGGGGAGGTGCGCAACAATATCCAAATCCGGGGGAAGCTTTACTTGCGGCTTGCCAATATAATTATCATACCTATGCAGTGGAAGTTTACGGGCCTTTTCTTGTATCGATGTGTCTGGCATTTCTGCATCAATGTCGCCAGCAGCGTAGGCGTCAAGAAGGCTTGGGTCAAACAGCGGCCTGAGAGCTGGTAGAGTCCTTGAGTTTAACATGGCAGACGCCGTAGAAGAGTAATCTCTAGCGAATTGAGAAAGAGATTGGGCATCCGCAAGACTATGCGTGATGCTAATGGATAATGCAGCACCTCCACATGCAAAGGTGGTAAGTTGAACGACGAGGTTTGGCGCATCAACAGGAACACTTTCGTTGTTCAGGGACAGTTCTGTGCGGGGAAAGAGACTTTCGGAAGGGATAAGCGAGTCATCCCAGGCTTTGGAAGAAGTCTTCCGGATTTCAGGCTCTGGGATGAAGTCCGAGAGTACTTGGGGTGAAGTAGCTGTAACGAAAAGAACCCCTATATCTGTTGGAGAGTTATAGGTCACATGAACTCTTCGATATCGGTTGGTATGTCCACAGTTTGGTTTGTATCTGGCATAAGAGAGACGACCGCACCATTAGGATAAGAGTTCAAAGTTTTCGAGAGAGCCGTTTGAAGGTGGTCGCAAGTAAGCGGATTCGCCTTGCTCTGATTGCTTGGAGGGTCATAGTACCAGATTGCTGCACAACGAGAGAAGTAAGAAACAGTACTGACCATGATGGAAAGCGGAACTGTCATCGGTTGTCCAGAGCGCGACTCTGGGAATATTGTTGTCGAAGAAAGGACATCTATGTCGAATGAGGCGCCTGTCATCATGTGAGCGCAATCAAATAACAAAACAGAGGCAAATTTGGGGAAAGAGGAGGAAAAGGTGTCTGCCTCTACTGTGTCTTTACAGCTTGCCTGAGAAAATGAGAGGATTTGAATGAAGATATAGATGAAAAGCAAATGGAAGGAAAAGTGTTCCCATTCGGGAAGGTGGATGTGCCAAGTGACTCATCATGGCTCATAATATCTCATCGTCCAGTAGTGTTATATATGGTAAAGTCACATCGTACTATGCCGAAAATTGATCACGTTTCAATTGTGATTTATTAAACCACTCATTGCTAAGTCTAACAACTCCATGCCCAATTGAATACAGCAGTCCGAATACTGATTCTTCGAGATCTGTTGCACGATATTTTTGTCATATTGAATCAAATCGTTCACCTATCCGACCAGGACCTTCATACAAAGGTCAAAATCCAACCGTTATTCTCTCTCTCGTTTTTGATATTTAGTCCTCCCCAGAGCATGACGCTTGTGACATCGATATCACCCAAAGATGAGCTAGGGAACCAGCCTCTTGCTCCCGGTACCAAGTTATGAATGTCTTCTCCCTCAACACCTTCCGCATCAGACACAGCGACCTGACTCCAAAGACCTTCGCCAGTCTCTCTTCCAAGAGCCTGCCATGTTGCATCTTTAAAGCTCGCTCCGGTCATGCCTTGAGGTGGACACTGAAAAGCCCAGATGTCGTCCCAGAACTTGCCAGCTCCGTCATGACCTTGACTGCTTGGATCTCTCTCTCCCATTAGCAGAATTAGGTATTCTCTACCCATTCCGGTTGTGATTGTTTGTAGACCAGCTACACTTCTCTCTCCAGGGCATTGCATGCTCTCTTCTTTGAAATTTAATGTGTGCCATGATCCTTTGGCAACCACAGCCGCCTCTTCTGAGCCGCCTATATTGTTGAATTGATCCAAACCTAATTCCAAAAAGCTCAATTCTCCGCCTTCTTCGTCGTCACCGTTGAATCCACCATATCGATAAATTCTTTGCTTTGAGACTGCAAGGGCGGTGCCACCTCTTGGCTTGCCAGGACCAGCTGGAAATTCTTTCCACGTTCGGCTTCGTACATCAAATCCCCACAAGTCATTTGTTCGTCCAGAATTTGGACATCCTGCATGGATGAATAGAGTTCCGTAGCCACCTTCTTGCTCGTCTGTTTGTGCTGATTCCGCGATGCTGCCTGGTGCTGGTGACTCGGTGGCGTTGTCTATTTTCACACTTTTCATGTTACCTGGTTGTGGCTTCTCGATTGCAACGCTCGAATGGTAGGATCTTGCTTCTGGAAATGGGGTATTTGGGAGAGGATCAAGATAGGTCCAGGCATCGACTCTCGTGTTATAGATCCAAACCCGACCATTTTCCTCGAGTGGCTTCATATCTTTTCCACCTCTACCACCAAATATGAAGATTCGCTCGCCGATAACAGCTGCGGTATGGCCTACTCTCTTCTCTGGGATCTTTCCACCAGGGAGCTCTGGCTTGGCTGGGATAGCTCGATAGTCAGCCGAGGTGACGGTCCCGGAAGGCAACGTGATAGTATGCATATCATTATCCACTGGTTCCCGGGGATTTATTTCGCCACCAAAGATATAGCCTCGTCCAGCAATGACGGAGAGAGTATGTGATGAGCGAGGGAGAGGAGGGGCGTCAATGCGAGTCCATTTGGCAGTGAGGGGGTGTGTCTTTTTGGCGAGACCTTTGGTGATGGCCGTAGCCGCTTGTCCTAGTTGCATCATTTTGTCTTTGTATTGCAGGTGTTTGTATGTTTGATATGTGGTGTTGTCGAGGAGAGGGGGGAGTTCACTCTTTGGAGTACTGAGTACTACGTATATCTTTATTCTAGAGCTTCGCCTATGACGTATGTGCTACAGGGTGTACAGCATGGTCCAGGGACGAGCCTCTTCGGCACTCGGGATGGATCTCGGCAAGGTCCCGAACCCACCTGGCCCACTCAGGTCCTTCATCCCTACGAGTAGAATCCACCCAGTGCCACCAGACTTTGAGGGTCAGAAGGGTTAATCTTTGCCCCGCCCTCCACCTTCAAGAAGATGCTTTCCAGAGTCCTTCATGCCACATTCCGAGCCTCCAACCGAGCATCTCCTCTTACTCTCGCAACACCATCCGTACCTCTGTTCTCCAAACCTCCACGCCCTCTCCAATGGCAAGGCCTTCGATTCCAATCCGAATTCCGTCGACCCGGAGGTAGAAGGCGCCCGCAAAGCTCTTGGGGTCGTCAATATGATCCATACGCTCACCGAAGTGCGAAGCCTTTCCTCACAAGCGAACAAATTTTGAGAACATTCCGAAATCCCCAAACTCATGTCGTTGGCGCAGCCATCGCTGGGGGTGGAGTCATATTTTATGTTACACACCAAGAGGAGGTGCCTGTGTCAGGGAGAACCAGATTCAATTGCTATAGCGACAAGACGGTGGAAGAACATGGGGAGCTGCTGTACCAGCATGTGATGGCAGAAAATGCGGGAAGAATCTTGCCAGAATCGGACAGAAGGTCTCGAATGGTTAACAGGGTCATGTCAAGACTAATAGCAGCCAGCAACCTAGAAAATGTGAATTGGGAGGTTCATGTAATCAAATCAAATGGTAGGACCCGCTTTACTTCTGAATACCCCCTAGGCTAATCCTTTGACAGAAGTCAATGCCTTCGTCATTCCAGGCGGCAAAGTGTTTGTTTACAGTGGTATACTCCCAATTGCTCAAACTGACGACGGTCTTGCTACCATCCTTGGTCACGAAATCGCACATAATATTGCTCGACACGCGGCAGAATCCATGTCCAGGACAATTTTATTAGAGCCCGTTCGATGGTTTTCCTATGCTCTGGATGCTACTGGATACACTGCTGGGTTTGGCCGTATCTTGGGTGACTTGGCTTTGGACCTTGGTTTGACACGACCGGCATCTAGAATGCAAGAAAGCGAAGCTGATTATATTGGACTTATGATGATGTCGAAGGCGTGTTATGACCCTACGCAAGCTCCTGGTGTCTGGCAGCGGATGGAAGCTGCCCACCCAGGAGGCATCCCAGCTTGGTTGAGCACACATCCTACTGTTAGTTACTTCTTTCTCCATCTTGATAAACACCTACTGACCTGAACTAGAACATGAGTAGAATAGAAACCATGCAGGGTTGGTTGCCCAAAGCTGAGTCTGCCCGAGCAGAAAGTGGTTGTACAGCAACGATAGACTATGCTCGGGGTTTCCAGGGCGCATTGGGCGATTTGGGTGCATTTGGTGGCTGGGGATCAATGAGATAATGCTATTTTCAAGAGGACTACTAGTGAGTTATGACAAATAGGTGTTAGATAGCGTGGTTGGTATGGAATGGAGTACGATAGGATATCGGTATCCGTGGGATTTGGTAAGGATATTCTCAACTCCACCCTTAGACACTTAGCTGGGCATCGTGATTTTCCGGTGGTGTTTTGATCACATCTCACTAGACGCCCACCTCTTCTGCATGGTAATGATAATTATCTGAGTCGCATAGCGAGATGGGAACTCGAAAAGGGGCATATTCGCTTTTCGATGACGGATATGTATCCGAGCCCCCGTGAATCGACCGACTGACCTTTTGGCTTTGGTGAAGCTGATCCTCTTCAGGCAGGCCAGGTGGAAGCGTCCAAATCAACGGCAACTTCCACTCAGGCTTCCATCAGATCATGCAGTCCATGGTTACCTGTTGGCTTTCATCGTCTGACGCGTAACCTGTACCAGGCGCAGCAGACAGCCGAGGTAGGTACTGTAGGTGCTGGTGTAGATACGGTACTCCGTACCTGTGATGCTAGAAGTCCCTTCGTATACCACGTACTCGAGTACCCAGTACTACGTACAACGATCTTCTTTCTTCTGCTCTACGAAGTACTTTGTACATTAGTGTTGCCGTCAAAGTGTTGGTCAACCTTACTGGTTCCACCTTACTCCACTAGTCGCAAACGTTGGCAATTTGCGCTGCACCAGTGACTTTGACAGGGCGCTAAAGAAGAATCGTGCGCACTTCCCCCTCGTCCCCCTGCCAAACTTGTACCAAGGTAGGCGATCAGCCGCATCACCATCACCATCTTCAACGTATATTTTCTCAAAAGACATCAAGAGAGAACTGCTTCGATATCAGAAATCCATCATCTACCATCTCATTCAAGATGGACTACTACAATGGCAATCTCGCATCGATGGAAACCTCCACGACGACCAACAAGGTGCCTTTCTCTTTTCCCTACCGACGAGAACCATATCCTCCATTTTGGCAAGCTCAAACTTCCCAGGCAAAGTAGCTTCCCCTTTCTCTGGGTTTTCCCTCTCGAAATTTGCAAGGATGTTCAAGCTAATCTTTATGAAATTCATAGTTTTTGTGAAGAGGTACGTCGTTTTCTGAGAATACTCGCAGCGTCTCCCAGTGCATGGATCTTATGTGAATGACGACTGATAGCGTGATAGGATTATATCATCACAACTTACATCGCCGAATTTGTGAATACCCTCACGAATCTCACTTATAGCAAGCTTTTTTCTCCTTCTTTTTTCTCATTTTCTCCAAGCTCGCTTTTGAGGCTTGTCACGTGTTACACACATCTACCTATCTGCTCTGGCAAATGTCAAAAATGATAAAGATGCTCAAGTTGTCTGGAACTGTTGCTGACTAATTCTTCAAGTATATTATGCGTACCATGGAATAAAAGGAAACAAGAACCGCCCGGATGCAGTCTTGAGAAATATGGGGTACCTGGGTATCGCGGGTGTTGGAATTGGGTCCGGACTTTTCCATGCGACATTGAAGAATTATACACAATGGTGTAAGTCTCAATACCTTCCCTAACCCTGAATACGCCTTGCCGTCAAAACAGATTACTAGGCGAATTTTGGGGGTGCCTCTCTGCAGGAAATGAAGTGACGAATAGCATTTCCTGTCTCACTCTCCAAGAGAGCGGCTTTGGCGAGAGATAAGCTAACGTTCTCGGTTCTTATAGGTGACGACCTATCAATGCTTGTTGCAACGGCAACCGTCATTCACAGAGTCTTCACATTCGACAAATCTTTGACCTACACTGTCGTCCATGGAGCAATACTGATTGCATGTTTCACCGCATTCTCTACTTGGCACTGTATCAAAGATGAACTCATTATGCACTCTGTCATCTTCGGTATAATGATAGCCGTCGTTGGACTGAAGACTCGTTCCATCATAAATGCACGTGTCACTGACCCGGCTGTGCGAAAAGATGTGCGACTCTTGACTGCATGGGGTGGTCGTATGTATCTCTTCCCATGCCTCCTAAATTTGCAACTAATCTGTATCAGTAATCTTTGTGACCGGCTTCGCAATTTGGAATGTTGACAACGCCATGTGTAGTCAATTGACAGCAATTAAACGAACCATTGGTATGCCGTGGTCTTTTGTCATCGAATTACATGGATGGTGGCATATTTTCACAGGGATGGGGGCGTATATCTGTAGGTTTTCTTTTCCTTATAATTATTCAAAATAGCGCTTACTATATAGTCATTGCTCTGGTCGAGTACTTGACTTCCGAAGAAGCAGGACAGCCACTCGGAACACGCTTCGCCTGGCCTGTAGGCTCTATCATCGCTGGCCGGGGAAGTGAGACCAAAGAAAACGGTAACGAAAGCCTCGAACACGTCAACGGAAGTGGCAACAGCATTGAGAATCTCAAGCACACCAATGGCAATACTAATGGAGTTGTTGACGGAAATGGGAAAAGTACTGGTGGGGTTAAGAAGAATCGTTGACGATTCGCGATGTTTGCTTTCTTGCTGCTGTGAGCTTTGATTTTGTTTTTGCGTCTTGTTGTAGAAGGATCTCTTTTCGGAAGACGTATATATGGGTTTTGTGGCTTGGCTTCAAATTAGCTTCTTGAGGCTATGTGGGTGAGATGCTTGAAATAATGGGAACGGAAATTCGTAAGAACTTCTCCCAACTGATATAGTCATCAAGCAGATCTCACAAGACGGTGATTTGACAGCAGTCCCGATTTAGTACTGATTGTGACACGTTAGAAGTCCCGAACTGAACACGCTCGATGGTCACAAGTAGCCGCATTGCTAGATAAGAATCTGACTGTATACCCAGTCGAGACATCCTTCTAACTGGTGTATGTCCCACGAGATTAATTGCCTCTCCATTATAAACATTCCAATTGGCCAGAGCTTCATCTCGAAATTATATCTATAGCTCAATCGAATTTTCTTTAGGAGGTCACTTGTACGACCTTTCATGGACCACTTTACTAATTGACACTACCGTTTTTCTCTCGATCTCCCAATGTGTCTTAGCACTATCATATTTCGGCACTCTTGCTTTTCGGTAGTTAAAGGGTATCACCATTTCTGGACACCAAGACCACCGTTTTGAAGAGGGAAAGAGATACATTAATCTCCTGGTGGCTCTTGATGGCCACCTGGAATCCATGTCCCAATTAAAGGTTGTTGAACGTAAGATTGTTGGTATAGATAGATTGCACATGTATTATGGGGTAATTAAGTCCAGTGCGGGGTAAATTTGAGGACTTGAAGTTCTTTGGTCGCGACTTTTGGATAAAGGATGGATAAATAATCTCTGCAATCTGTAGAAGCACTAGGGATACCGGCAGTTCCAGATGGCTTGGAGACGGGTTACCTTTGGAAGTCTTGGAATGATGGGTGGGATTTTGATATATACATGACTTGCTTGGCATCCTGGCATGTAGTTGAGTTCATCCCCTTGAAAACTTATCTTTTCCGAGAAATCATCAGCTATCTTCTACAGCAATCATGAAGTGGTTTAGTTCTTCTCTTACTCTTGCGCTCATCGCGCCTTCTCAGGCTGCCCTCCGCTTCGGATGTTCAACAATCAGTATCCAACGTCTTGATCCTCTTGTGGAACCGGGAAAGATCCCTTCTGCACATGTCCATCAGATCGTTGGTGGAAATGCTTTCAACGCTACAATGCCATCAACCGATGTTGGCGACCATGCTGATTGTACAACGTGCGTCTTTTCGGAGGACTTTTCTAATTACTGGACCGCAACGATGTACTTCAAAGCTCGTAATGGGACATACAGTAAGTTCTTGATCCAAAGAAAAGTAAAATTACAATAGAAGGTTACTCAACTCCGACTAGAACGGGTTCCGATCATTGCGAACGCGCAACTCACCAATGGTATCAAGGGTGGAATGACGATTTATTATACACAACAGGATTTCAACTCCAATGGGAAGCAGAAGATTACTGCTTTTCCACCTGTGAGTCTACGAAATCCCTTTGATTTTATGAGCTAATAAGTCCAGGGATTCCGAATGACCGTCGGCAGCCCTACCACAAACAACAGAGCTGATGCAGTCAAAAACACAGGGCTCAGATACACCTGTTTGGACACAATATTGACCAGAGGGGCCGAGACTCCGGACTTCCCCTCCAAGCCATGCAAAGCTGGTATCATGGCAATCCATCACTTCCCAGCGTAAGCCATTCCAATACCTCAACCATAAACGCCACATTAGCTAACAAAACCCCAAGATGCTGGAACGGAAAAGACGTAGACTCCCCCGACCACCAAAGCCACATGTACAACACAGGCAAAGGCGGTTTCCAAGTCGCCGGCGCCTGCCCTTCCAGCCACCCCGTCCGAATGCCACAGCTGGCATACGAAACCATCTGGGACACCACCGGCTTCAACGACAAATCCTTATGGCCAGCTGACGGCTCCCAGCCTTTTGTCTGGAGTACGGGTGAGACGAAGGGATACTCCACGCATGGTGATTATGTTTTTGGGTGGAAGGGAGATAGTCTCCAACGCGCGATGGATAATTCTTGTATGTTTCAGAATTGTGAGAATGGGAGGCCGTTGAAGAGTCAGACTGCCGAGGCGATGAATAAGTGTGCGGTTAAGAATTGGATTCCTGATGAGAAGGTTGATGGTTGTGAGTTCCCTGTCTGTCTGTTCTTTGGAGATGGGATTGTGCTAATGAGATTTTGATAGGGCTTATGGAGCTTCCTGGTAACCCAATGCCTATGTGATTATGGAATATTGGATTGGAGAGGTCGTTTTGTATAGGCTCGATGCATATGGGGTTACATACGCATTCGCTAATCAGTTTTCGTTGGTGGACTAGGACTCTGTGTGTAAGATGTTATTTCGATTAGCTTCTTGTTCGTCCACCTAGTCTTTAATATAATTTGCGTCGATTTGAGAAGCAGCTCGGTCGCCTGGATGAGATGAGTGCCGTACTCGAGTGCCATTCAAAGTAACTTGATAGCTCTTAGTAGCGAACCAAGAATTAAGTAAACGATGAAGCATTGAGTGGAAGGGCCAATCTATATCTCTGCCAATCCACACACCCTGTTGTTATTTACCAACCTCGTCCCAACCCACAGACATGGGTTCTGGTGGGGCAGTGATCAGGGGTGGTGAAAACGCTGCCATCAAAGAGCGGCAAGATTCTAAAAGTAATAAGTCTGCCTTCACAATAATCACAACCAATCCAATTGCCAAAGTCAAAAACTCGGCAATAATGACATCGATACTTCGCATCATTTTCAGGTTTTCAACTGTCTTAATACCAACACTGGCCACTCTCTACATCACCCTTCTCGGATGTCTCACAACACCAACCTTCCAATCACACGTAGTCTATCTCCACAAGATACAAACAACATGGTTCAAAGACTTCGACATCCCCGAACAATTCGGCTTCTTATACAACTAAGTTACCCCTTTCTGGATAAAATCCTCTGAGAGCAGGTGTTTATATGCCTGGCACCTCTTGCCCATCGAATTATATCGTAGAGACGAGACCGATTTGATTTCAGAATCCTCTGGTATAGCCTCCAATTTCGAGTCTCGTCTTGCCTTCAAGCTGCTTCGAGATGACCCCGAGGCGCGACTTATCATCCATTTCCACGGCGCGGCTGGCACGGTGGGATCAGGCTATCGAACATCGAATTATCGTGCGCTCTCAGCGGGTTCACCGGGGATGATTCATGTCTTGACGTTTGACTATCGGGGGTTTGGTAAAAGCGATGGTGTTCCTTCGGAAAGTGGACTTATCCTGGATGCCCTTTCAGTCATGGATTGGGCGATGGATATAGCTGGTATCCCACCCTCTCGCATCCTGATATTTGGCCAATCTCTAGGAACAGCAGTTAGTCTAGCCGTAGCGGACCACTTTGCTGCTCAATCACCACCGGTGAATCTCGCAGGTATTATCTTGGTCGCGCCTTTTGTCGATGTAGGAACACTGGTTGCCACTTACCGCGTAGCGGGCCTCATTCCGATTCTCTCTCCGATTGCAAGGTTTCCCTCGTTATTCGGATATCTCAGGACGTTTATCCGGGATTCATGGTTGAGTAGGGATAGGATTGTCTCTTATATCAAGGCTGCTGAAAAGAGTAATGTGCCTTATCGAATCACGATCATTCATGCTGAGGATGATTATGATGTTCCTTGTTATCACTCGCAGACACTGTTTTGGCATGCGGTTAATGCTACACTGTCGGGTGGGATGGGTAAAGAAGGGTTTGAGATGAGGAAAGATGGGTTGAGGATGAGCTTGGGCTCTGCTGGGACTGTGGTGGAATGGCGAGCTGGGAATGGTGTTTTGAAGGAGGAGATTTTGAAGTATGGGCTTCATGATGTTGTTATGGGGAATACGGTTATTACGATGGCTGTTATGCGTATTATAAGTGGTGTGGATGTAACTTTGAGGAGGGGGCTGAAATGAAATTTTGGTTGGATATGTGTTAGGCGACAGAAGAGTTCATGGAGAACGCAAGTTTCAACGCTTTCTCATGAGATTGAAGAAGTGAAAGTATGGTGAAAGAAAGAAGAAAGAAATGAGAAAAAGCCCTAGGGACCAAACTCTGAAATGCTGAGAAAATTATACCCTACAATGTCTCCGCAAGAAGCGAGGGCAGAAATAAAAAGAACAGGGAATGTAGAAGACGAGGCGTTGGATTTGGGTTTTTGGAATTGGACCGGGTTTACATGTCTCTAGGGAAGCTGTTAGACTTGGAATGGAAATAGATACCAGTTCTCCCAGTTCGATGTCCTTGTAGGTTTGACTTCTCTCATCCTCCCTCCTGAACCAAATTAGTTCTCTGTCTTACTAAACAAAAGATTATACTCGCTCGAGCTTCTTTCTAAGTGTCTTGACCCTTGCTTCTATTTTCCTTGCAATTCCTCCCATTTCTTCTTCTCGTCGGTCCTTGCAGTCTTCACAGCTGTAATTGTATCAAAAATGTCCTCTCTACTTACAGTACCTTGATGAAGTGGTTTAAATGATTGATCTTCTGAATATGACATTGTCTTTTTGACAGCGAGCTTCCATTGGTCTAGACATACAGTATCCTGCAGTGGAACGTAGTAAGCTGCATATCCCGAAAATAAACCGACGACATTAACCGCTTTGCTTCTTTGAAGCTAACACTCAGCCTCGTTTGCTGCCAAATTTTATATCAGATTTGGAAGAGAACAAACGGATAATCCAGTCTCCAAATACCGAGTTATCACCAGAATAAATCGAAGAAAGTTTCCGTTGACCAAGAAGGATCGTTGCTTCGCTAGGCGCGACCAGAATCGAGAGCTAGCGTTTCCAGACTTGATTCTATGAACTGACTCGACTCATGACCTATTGCTTCAACTCTGTTACCATATCTAGCATTGTGACACTCGAAATGACCAGAATCAAGACCATGATGGAGCCAGCAGAGGCGCATGTCCGCCTGTCACTCATAGGTAAGCCGCGCTTCCAAACTGAATAATCTGCGTAGCAAAGCAGCTGTTAATCTGGTAGTAGACGAACAAACGAAGAAAACTGTCCCTTATCTCGAATATCCAGCTCTGGACAACATCACGATGGAGACCCGTAAAGCATGGATCAACTCCATCACCAAAGCTCTCATGAACACCACCAAAGCAGAAGCTGCGACCAACATCAGGAACTGGGACTTACACCTCAATACTAACGGTACGGTCGAAAACGTTGACCCTGAGCCTGGAGCGGAGAAAACACCACTCAAGATATATCCACCTCAATACCGCCTTCCAGGCGAGATTTTTGGCCGCCAAAATTCCATAAAGGAACAAATATTTCGGATGGAGTCTTTTGCTCTTGGCGGAGTTTTCTACGAGATGCTTATGGGAAAACCTGTTTTCGGGAGCGTCGATGATCTGGGTCCAATTCATGAACAGATTGCAGAGGGAAAATTTCCAGATATCTGGCAACAGACAATGGCGGAGAGAATCCTTGTGGCTTGGTGTCCACCATTTGGACAGGTTCTGCTCAATAGTAAGTAATCAGAGGCTCCATACTTAGAATATCACGTAATCTAACATTCTTTTCACTTCAGAACCAATTCTCCAGAAGTTTTCTGAGTATGCACACCGGAATCCATTTAAATTCGGTGCTACCGTCCTTGGGGGAGCTGCTGCTATTATAGGATTGGGTACTCCTCTAATCCTTGGTGCAGCTGGATTCGGAGCTGGGGGTGTAGCTGCTGGCTCAATTGCTGCTGGTCTACAATCAGGCATTGGGTTGGTACAAGCCGGCAGTGTCTTCGCTTGGTGCCAGAGTGTGGGAGCTGGAGGAGCTGCTGCGGCCGCGCTACTTGGAGTGGGTGGTGCCGGTACAGGCGTAGCACTTGGTGCTACTTTAGCAGGAGTACTTGATACCGAGAAGACGATTGAGGACGCCGAGGCTCTGAAGAGAAAGTTCCTTGAGACGTGGAAAAGGGACATGGAGGGAGAGGCTACCGAGAAGGCAATGACCAAATCAGAACTTTGATCAGGTCTCTACGATTTAGTCGACGGACGAGGAAGTGGAATGGGGTTGAGATGTTTGTTCGCTTAAACCAAATTGAATGGCATTGCTATTTTCTTTCCTTCTCAGATGTGGTGACGCTTTATTGTTTTGATACAAAGTACTGGTATGTAATTACGAAAAGAAAGACTTTGTTGCTGGGCATCTGGAATGGATCGTAGAAAAGCATAGTATTAAGGTAAATATAATAATTCAAGGTGGTGATAGTTCTTTGGAGGCTGCCAACGTCTTTCCAGAATCCACATTACCCCTTTTGACAATTGCCGGGGTTTCTCCGTTGAGGTGCTACCCCTGCAATGCCCCTCCCTCTAACCTCGGCCTCCTTGACCTGCAACTCTCTAACCGTCAACAATGTATTGACCATGACAACAACCAACATCCTCATTGTAGGCGCGGGAGCCATTGGGGCTTTTTGTGCTTCCCGTCTATCCTTTGCGCCCAATACCAAAGTCTCCTGCATCTGCCGCTCAAACTACAAAGCCGTATCAACCTCCGGCTTCTCAATCACCTCCCCAACCTTCGGTTCCTACGTATTCACACCCGCGCATACATTCGCAAACCCAGAAGAAGCTGCCGACTCCAAGATTGAATGGGACTATGTATTGGTTAGCACAAAAGCTTTGCCGGATGTAAGCGATGATTCGATGATTCTGGAGGGTTTATTAGAGGAAGGGCGAACGGCGATTGTGCTGGTACAGAATGGATTGGGCGTTGAGGAACCGTATACCAAAAGATTTCCGGGGGTTACGGTGTTGAGCGCTGTTACTATCATAAGTGCGGCGCAAGAAGAACCCGGTGTTATTAAACACAATCGTTGGACGAGAACGAATATCGGGCCTTACCTCCCTGGGACGACCGACGATACAAAGCTGGATGCGAAGCAACAATCAGCGGTGGACAGCAATACAAAGTTTGTGGAGTTGCTGAAAAAAGGTGGGATCAAAGATGCTGACGCATATTCTCATGCGAAATTACAGATGGTAAGGTGGCACAAGATTGCCATTAATGCTGCCATGAACCCATCCGCAGTTCTGTCTTCTGGAACCACGAACAACGCGATGTCATTGGATCCAGAATTATCTCGGCATTTGAAGGGGGTTATGGAAGAAGTATTGAGCACAGCTCCCAAGGTTCTGGGCACACCTTTACCCAAAGAATTTGCCACACCAGAAGCGATTATCAGAAGCACCCAAAAGAATACTAGTGGCAGCAAACCTAGCATGTTGCTTGATTGGGAGCAGGGGAAGAAAATGGAGTTAGAAGTCATTCTAGGAAATCCAATGAGGATTGCGAGAGAACATGGGCTCGAAATGCCGAGGCTACAGAGCTTGTATGCATTGTTGAGGATGGCCCAAGAGAATAGAGACGCAGCAAAGAAGGGAAGTAAGCTGTGAGTTTTCTTTGATCTTGTCTTTTCAGAGGGGTTGGAGATGCGGTGCCCAGAATATTGGTTTTTCTGAATGACATAGAGAGAATGGATCTGCAACCATCCTTGTAGTATACCTTAAATATTCGTTTACATTATTGTACTTTCTTCAGTCATGCTCTCCCCATTTCAATCGTCATGTTTAAGTACTTGAAACATTGTTTTGAAGTTTGCCGATAATTATTGCGAATCCCATTTGAGATAATTATAACCAAGCCTGGCTATATCATGAGTTCATGACACGGATTGTTTAAAAAATCGTGATAGTTTCCATAGTGCCACCTTCAAAAAAACTTGGAAATTTCAGCCATAGAAGATCTAAATCTCCCTTCTGTGCATCTTTTTCCAGGTTGAATCGACATAATTCGATCATACCTATGCGTTGATATGATGTGGATGTGGTTGACTTCTGAACCATCATAGCATATTCGCGACCAAATTCTTTCTCATCGCTTTCCAACCTCGACATTCGGATGCATTTGATGCTTCCACTCAATCCGGAAGTATCGTCGCAAGTGCGAATTGGGTACCTGCGGGAGTCAAAATATAGTTTGTCGTCGTTAGACTCGTAACGAATAAGCTCCAAAGTCCGGTTTTCTGATCCTACGATGAGAAATGCCTTTTTCCCAGATGTAGGATTTAGATCTATCATATGGACTTCAAAAATTGGTCCAGTGATAGTAAGTGAGCCGTTTTTCACTTGGCCAGTGGCGTCTTGTGTAGCCAGCCTAATATCCACGTTGTCTATGGTGAAAAGGGTGTGGGTTACATGCATGTTGAGCCAGACTTTAAAGCAAAGATTAACAAAATAACGTTTTATGTCAAGAATTACATACCTTGTGGGTAACGAATCTTTCCGTCAGTTGAAGCCCAAGACCAAGATGGTGCTCGATAAGCAGGTACCTGGTGGGAATAATCGTCGACATTGTCACCATAATCACGATGGCTCATTAGAACCACCCATAACAAATCAGTATACAAACTACCACTCCATAGCCCCGCACAATAATTCTCGTCCGGCCTCTTACTATGCATCTGCTTTGCAAGGCCGGAAAGGGCCGGGAGTTTATCAGAGGCATACGAAAGTTCAAGTGAGGAATACCCGACGACCATAGATTGCCATTGCGTGACTAAGCCCGTATTGTTATGTTTATTCATCGCTTCGTGGAATTCCTTCTTTTCCTCAATTCCTGGGCTGCTCCAGAGATGTTTCCCACACTCGCATTCAACCTTTTCTTGACATTCCCAAATAAGTTCCTCTGAGCCAAATTGGATGAATCGGGGTGACAATAGATGTTCCTGAAAGCCCCATGCCCTACCTAGCAATGGCCACTGTGCTGTGGTTTCTCTAAAGTTCGGATGGACACAAGAGCCACGCCGCTCGCGAGCTTCAAGGCTGAATTCCATACCAGCTGATGTCTTTCCTGAGATATTAACTCGCCGCCGCGGTTTGCCATTCTTCAAGAACAGACCTGTCGACGCATCGGGTGCTGATGTTGCGGCAATAGTTACAAATGAATTTTGATACACTTCACACATAGTTTGGGACTCTCTTATCCAATCATCCTCGTCATCCTGAACAATACACAATGAATCAATCCAGAGATAATCTATACCGAGTTGTCGAGCAACGCTTATGGCGTCTTGAAAGGTTTTGGGCAGATCATCCCATGGAATTGCCTCCTTATGTACGTCCAGATTATTAACGGTAGTCCGGAGTAAATCCTTTCGCCAACAACAATGGCTTAGACAGGCGTAAGAACCCATGATATTATTCGTCTGAAGCAAACGAACTTCAGCGGATTCTTTTCCAATAAAAAGAACTCGGTTGGGCAAATTCGTTTCAACTTTGATTTGGTAACTGAGGTGAGTCGAAGGACACTCTTTTGTCCACTGAGCAGCGATCTCCACAGATGAGAGACCATCTTGCTTATAATCACGGATGAAACGACTGTCGTCAGAGATCTGAGTAAACAGAGGCCACGGACTCGGTTGATCACAACGCCTATCAGCAAAGTTGCAAGATTGATCAAATGTACAGTACCTACTGCCTCTCGAAAACGTATAAAACCATAATTCCTCCTCAGTATGACCAATCGAAGAATCCCCTTTAACGTGAAGCAACACCTCTTTTGCATATAACATGCCGAATGGCTGTAATCCTTGGACCCTTCCTCCTTTTATCCCTTCTGCAGCCCGCAGGAATACTTGGCATATTCCACAATTCCCAACATCTAACGAGGATAAACGTAATTCGAATTCAACATAGTTGGACGGCTTGTCCTCCGGCAGTTGGCATTGCTTTTGCTGAAATTGCTGAAACCTAGAGCATCTTTTGCAGAGAGCATGAGAAAACGTTTCTAGCTTGTTCTCAGTCTTGTTACCATCGTTAATGTTATCCATGGCTTGTATCTTAAGAGCAGCTCTTCGTGCGTTTCGAGTTTGTGCTTGAGTGTTCTGTATGAATGGGAGCGGGGTTAGGTGAAGGCAGGTACTGTAATGCTGAATAAGCTGTACGGCGACAAGGGTTCAATTCCACTTGCATGAACCCCCCTCAATGCTAAGATAATCCAAAAATCCTCAAAATCTTTTACTTCTGCCATATCTTTGAAATCCAAAGAAACCCAAACCTAATGCGTGGTATTCGAGCAAAAAGACCGTTTTCTTAATCTATGCCCACATATTAGGCCACAGATGGATGGTAGATACAATTAAAGCACCTCATATTATCTCAAACAATATAAATTATCTCAACATCCGCTCCACGAATCCTCTCAAATACAGCTTCAGGCACTCTTATATGGTACGTCGAAAAGAATCCAACGCGCTCGAAGATTTTCGGGGAATTCTTCTCCGCTTTCTCGCTTAATGGCAAGACCAACCCCTGGATTTCTTTCTTCTTCTTCTTAGACACTAAGTCATGCTCTATTAAAATAAGAGGCAAGCAGAAAAGCTCGATTTCATCATATTTATCTGCTCTTTCTACGTCGGCAACAAATCTGATAACTTGGTGCCCATCTTCGTCTAGCTGCACAATGTGGATGGTTTGTGTAGGATCAGGCGCGACTTGGCACACTCTCGGTAACGGTCCTTTCAAGTTAATAAATCCCTGGCTACGTTTGTATTCGGAATGGTGCGCGTGTGGGTGCAATACTTGAGGTTTACTTGAGAGCGGTATTTGGGTTTCTTTTTATTGTGATTGTTGGGTGTGACCAACCTTTGACTGGGCTTGTTGAGGACAAACCAGAGTAAGTCTGTGACGAGGTGTTCTTTCCAAACCCCCGCAAGAAAAGTATATTCCGTCGACAGTTGAATTTCTTGCACGATAGCAGACAATGATACCAGATTTTCGCTTGATAGAGTCAATTTACCAGCAGTGAGTAAAGCTTCCTATGTCTGTTCTTTGAATAGGGTAATTGACCATAATATTTCTTTGCTGAATCAAGAGATCTAGGAAAGTAAGTTTCATTGTCGAGGACTTGTAGTGCAATGAATTTTCGAGGTGTACAGTACTCGGTACTCTGGTACTGTAAGAGGTATTTTAACTCTTCCTGAACAAGCAGCCTGCTGCCACGCTCATACTCACCAACGGCAAATTCATTGATGCATAAGAGCCACAAATAACGGTTCAAGTACACAAACCCGAGACAGATAAGAATATACTAGGATTTATACTATTTTGAAATCTCATTTAATTCCAAGATTAGTGGGGTAATGAACACTTGTAAAGTTCTGCAGAAGACTATACAATAACGGAACCAATTGCCGAGGCTTTTCACTTGCAAATATTTACAGTCATCTGTTCTACATGTAACAGCCTCCAAGAAAGTGACCTTGATTTTCATGCTCAAAGACTTCAGGTCATTATAAGAAACCAGAGCTGCCCTCTCGCTTCTCAAGCTATTTACCCAACATTGTACCCAGACCCTTTCACCGTCTATCCATATTTCTTTCTGGTCTATTAGTCCTCTCCCTTCGATGTTTGACGTCAAATAGTTCTTAACCACTTACCAGACAGAACCTTTTGTAGGTTTCCTCGTCTTTCATCCACACTTCCCAAACCCCTACTGTTGCCTTCTGGAAAGCTAAGTAGTACGTACACACCTCGGTCTCTGACCCCAAAAACTAAGACTACGCAATCCAATGAAACACAGACGATTCCAGTCCCAAAATAGAGTTGTTATAGGCAGATTGGTTTCTCCCATGAATGTGCCAATGGCTTGGAGATCTTACTAACTTCGAGACCAGGCGCCTCCTTTATCGTACTAATCAAGGTAAGGTACTCGTTCAGTAACTGAGGTAAGGGTCGTTATTAAGTCCAAGTAATGTATCTGAATCTCAATTCTTAATGCATGAAAAGAAACTCTTGCTCCGGCTTCCAACTTGCACCTACCTCTCAGCTCCCACTTCAAATTCCAACATCCCAGTTTCCAACACCACAGATCTCGACTATGCTACCACAGTACCATACAACTTATTCTCGTCATTCGGGTTTTACTATTCCGTCAACGATTCCTAATAGATCCCTACAAAGTGGCGTCGGTACTAGCAAGGGCACCTGTATTCTCGAATATTTAATTCACGTATTAATTTAATAGTAAATTTATAGGTAAACTTATAGAATTAAGGAATAGATAATAATAGTAAATCAGATTTCGTTCCTACTTCTATTTCTACTTCTGCTTTCTACTATACTAATCTAGAATAATACTACTAAAACTCTACTAAAATAACCTATAAAATAAAACTAACTAAAGTAAATAAAAGACTTGTAAACTAATAGACCTAAACTAAGTATTATATCTTATAAATCCTCTTATAAAACCCCCTACTCCTTTAGGAAAAGCTAATAAGCTATAGATAGTTTAGGTCTTAGTAGCTAGCTAATCTCTCTTATCTTTAAAAGCTTATCTATATTTATATTATTATTAAACTCTTACGAATCTAGTATCTCTTTATATTATATAATAGTTATACTAGCGTTTTTAGTATAATATTAAATGCTTTTAATAAAAGTAAGATTCTATTACTTATATCCTATTATTATTATAATATCTAAGTACTAACTAGTTATCTACTAATTTAATCCTACGCTCTTTAAATAACTTATAGATCATAATTAAGTAGTTATTTTAATTCCTTAGTTAATAATCCTTTATCTTTATAAGTCTTTTTAATCTTATATCTACGTTCCTTAACTTAAAAGATAATATTATTAATCTACGAGGCCAGAAGGGCTCGCAGGCTCGCCCTCGCCCTTTTATTACGTCTAACTTATATAACTTATATATATTATATAATTGGTTAATAGTTACTATAGATACTATATTAAGTGAATCGATATATAATTCACTTATATTAGGGCAGGGGCCCCGCAGGGGTCCCCTGCTAGCGCCGCACTAAAATTGTTAACGGAATAGGAGTACCCCGTCATTCAAGCACAATTCTAGCACGGTGAATCTATCCAAGGAGCCTGCGTCAAGTCTCAATTTCATATTCTCTAATCCGAAGCTCAACTTTCGAGACTTAGGTCACTATCCACCCAAGTCCACCCAAGTTCGCCCACCATCTTCAAATCAATGCTGCTGTATCTTCAAAGCCTGGGTTCATCTTTGTCGTCCAGGTACCAATCTAAGTTGTAGTACTAGACATCTCGAACCAGAAAATCCCACACAATCCATTTCCTGTTTCTCGCTCACACCCATACAAGCCCGTAATCCACCCTCAAAAACCCAACTACTCAACCCTCCACCTTCAACTTCTCAACTGCCAAGAATGAAAATGAAGCTATCCCCATCTCTCCTTCATATACACCACCCAATATATCCCCAACTCCCAGCCCCCAAACATGAAGCTATCCCGTCCCTCCGTGACCTACCAAATAACCCATCTCCAAGGCCCTGCAAAGCAAAACCCAATTTCACTCCATTCAACACAGTATCCACCACTAAAACCACCACGCTGTCAACTCCGAAGTTCGAACCTCCAACGTCAAAAAATGAAGCTATTCCCAGACACTCAACACGCACCACCCACCAGATATCCCAACCCCAAGACCGCATAGTTTCTAAAGCGTAGAGCCAACACTATTACCCCCCCATGCCCACACATTAAATAACTCGTTTACCATGTCACCGTCCTTTATTTCCTAACTTTCCAAGTTCCATTCCCTAGCTAAGAACCACAACACTCCCATCTCCTCATCGCATGAAGCCAGTTTTCTCTCGCACAATCCAAGACTTACCATCTACTAAACCCCTCATCTCAAGTGTGTATCACCCATCAAGATCCCAAAATGGCGCTATCCCCAAATCCCAATCACGCATCCGCCCTTCAATACCATTACCCCAGAAGCCTCAAGACACTCATACTCTCCCATCCACACACCTTTTAACAACCAAACCGCCATCTTCTCATTTCCCTCTCTTCACAAAGCTATCCCCATCACCCAAACAAGTAGTGCCCAGCCCCAAGCCCTCCAAAACCACAACTCATCCACATTCATCTCCCATCTCGGTCAGGTCGCCAAACCTGCCGTGAAGCCGTCAATTGAGTCCACACGGGCCTAAACACCCCAACACCCAAAATATGAAGCTATCACCGCCTCCTCTCTCCGTAGATTCCCCCATCTCATCAGGAAATTCAGCCTTTGAAGTACTCATCGCGCCTTTTTAAAGGTTCCCACTAGCTCCAATTCCCATCCCGACTTCTCATAGAGTAAGATCCCATACATCCATCCAGCTATTCCCAAGCAGTAATCACCAGCAGACCACCATTCAAACCAATTACGTCACAACCACCACGTAAGTCTCACGATACCTCCAAAATCACAATCACAGTCACAATCACATGCAGCGCAAAAAGGGAGACAAGTATTAGTTTTCCCCGAAGGGTTTTTTTATTTTCAAGTTTTTTTGTGCTTTTCTTAATGTATGTTTGTGGTATAGTTTCCTCCACAATCAAAATCAAGATGCTCGTACAATTCCCGAGCGTGAGCTCACAACGTTCTTCCTCAAATGACAAAACAAAAAGGAAAACCTTCCGTGACCGTGATCCCAAAGGATCTACAGAAGAAAAAAGGAGAAGGAAAAGTACAAGATAGACAAGTGCTGAAACCCCATTTTTGTAAGATCCACAACTTCCACCAGTCCAATTCATCATCAACCAATCAATCTCGGCTATCAAAGAAATGAGAAAAAGAAAACCTAGAAAAGAACAAAAGAAAGAAAGAAAAATGAACGCTTGGTTCGTAATGAAATGCCAACCCCGTTATTCAACAGTCCTTGATCCAATCAGTGGTTCTGACGGAATAGCAAATGAGAGATGGATGAAGATAGTGGTCCCTTGACTTCCGCAGGATCGTCAAGATCAACCAATTCTCCGAGATTCTCATTGTCAGCCATCGGCAGAAGTTTCTTTTGGCGCCGCATCTGAATGATATCTGCATCAATCGTCTCCGCGGTGACAAAATGGTAGACACGGACTACTTTCTTCTGTCCCCAGCGACGAGAACGGCCCACAGCTTGCGTCATGGTAGCATTCCACTTTTCTTGCGAGTTGGACCCCTTGACGAAGTAAGGAGTCAAGAAAATAATGTGGTTCGCAATGGTGAGGTTGCTGATACAAAGTTAGTGGTTTGTGACAAGGGAAATTTGGAATGGAAGCGATAACTTACCTGCCGGCTGCAGATTCATCATCGATGTTGAGAAGGAGCACCTGGGCGCTACCCTCTTGATAGTCAATTAGAGCCTGGGACTTCTTGTTGGCCTTGGTGTTTTTGAGATCAATGTATTTGATCTCGTTCGCATCCAAAGCCTTGCGTACTTCGTTATGGATGAGGTCAAATTGGACGAAGAGCAATACATGGTCATCCTTTGGAAGACTCTTAATGAGGCGCATACAGGAGTCAACCTTCTCACCGTACATGGGAGATGACTGCTCAACAGCAATAACTAGAGAGTTGTTGAACTTCTGTAATTGCCCTCCCGTAATCGCCTGGTGTGGTTCATATGGTGCGTGGCACTTTGGGCAAGTATGAGCCTTGTGTCCTTTGCATTTATCACAAATCTACTTAAAGTCAGTAAGGATATAGTTTCAATAAAACGCAAAAGAACTTACCACATGTCCACAACTCGTCAAGAGTGTAAAATTGTGTTCAATGCTTAAATGAGCGTTGCAATTGGCGCAGTTCTTGGTGCCCTCGTCAATGACGCAGCAAAGAGATTCGATGAATCGAATGGAAACAACCTGGCTACAGAGGCTTTCGGAAAGCCTTGTCAGTAATGCGACGAGGGTTCGGAGTGCAGCAGCCTTTTGAGTAAGATGTGCGTTGTTACCACTTAGAACATCTCCGGAGGGAATAACGGGCAAGAGTTTATTGTTGCGCTTTGCGGCAGCTCCTGCGACGCTCTTGTCGGTGCGTCGGTAAAAGTGGTGCCATTCATTGTGAGAAAGAGTGGCTTTAGCAATCAAGCTCATCAAATATTTGACGATTTCGGTGTCTTGACGTTCAACAGCTATGGAACATGTCAGGTTAGCGCCAAGCCCGAATGATGGAGCTGAATGTCAAGAACACTTACCTCGAGCCTTCCATCTTTGGAAAGATTGCTCATGCTTACCCTTAGGGTCGGTAGGAGCGTCTTGATTGTTTTGCAACCAGGTTGCCTTTCGCAATTGGAAAGTGAAATCGTTCAAGAGAGTGACGAGTTCTCCTTTCCGGAATTCGAGAACTCGTTTGCACATATCCTCTGCTGCCACAGCAGGTTTGATTACCTTGGGTGCCACGGATGTCTCGGCTTGCTTGCCTTTCTTGCCTTTGGTTTGTGTCACAGCTTCGGCAGAAACTTCATCATCTGAAGGAGCAACCCATTCAGGGTCATCCGGAGTGACTTCGACATCGCCTACATCGCTGATATCGTCATTTTCGGGGAGGGTCAGATCATTTTCTCTTGCAAACTCTGTTGCATTCTTCTTCTTCTCACGGAAGAGCCTAGCTCTCTTGGCTTGTTCCGCCAGGGTATAAACCTTTTGTATCGCGGCACTGCAACATATTAGCATGTGTCCCCCAACGCAAAATCTGCTGAGCATATTGGAAAGGGTCTCATACGATTCAATACCAGGCAGTGGCTGCGTGTGGGTGCTCCTAAAGATTAAAATTTCACGAGGATCCTCGCAACTCTGGGCGGATTCTTTGAAGATTTGCGACGAATGACCACCTACGGAGTTGAAGTGGATCTTATGGTCGAAGTCCAAGTTAGTGACGCGCTGCTCCGACTCCTTGTAGATGGCCCATTGGTAGAGCGTGAGATACATGATTCGGTACTCCTCGACCATGGAGATGCGATCGACATCAGCCTTGTCCTTCTGGATGTTAGCATAGTGGTAAAAAGAGAAGCATAGTGCAACATACCTTTCTTGCAAACATATTCAAGAACTCCTGAGCACGTTGTCTTTGCATATGAGAATAGGCGTCAGATTTGCGCGCCAGATGGGTTTGATAATCTTCGGCACCTAGAAAAAGATTAATATGAATGACCATGCAAACGGAGAGGGGAAGGGGGTTTGAATAGCTTACGAGTCATATCCCCAGATATCTTCTTCCAATGTTCAATGGTGGTCGTATCATAGTCATCTGTTCCAATATACGCACCAAGTAGTCTGCCTATCTTGTAAACTGTAGAGCAAGTTGCGAGATCTGGAGTACCAGACAAAATGAGTATACTGTGAGCTCTGATGAATTCAATCGCATCTTCTAGACCATTCAAGTAAGTATACTCGTCAATGATTAGTCTTGCGAACTCGAACATTTCCAGGATTGGCTTCCAATCCGCTAGTGGTTTGCCCTGAATAAACTTCCAATAATTATCTCGAGAAGTAAGCGTATCTTTCTTCGGCTCATTGATTTCATTGCATGTACGCTTGTCGCCGATCTTGGCCGCCTTCTGGGACATGTACTTGGAACCGACAACGCGCTTCGAAGGAATTGGAGCCTGATTTTGAGTACAAGCATCAACACTGGCGTCATAAGCTGCTCGCTGGGACTTGACAAAATCATCGATCTTGCCATTGAGAAGACTCGGCATACTGGCTTTGACACTATCGGCGGCCATCTGACGCCAAGATTTCTTTGCGCGGTTCTGCTTGCCGATAGTTTGATTATCAAGCTCAACGATAGCAGCAGCATTGGCGAGATCGCGAAGGTATGGACCACTATCAATTAAAGACATGTTCATGATAATGATATCAGCATCCATGAAAAGTTGAACCTTGGCCTGCAACGAATTAGTGTACATTTTTCACACTGAATAATAAAAGTTGCTTGGAATTGCAAACCTTGTTGTTCCAATCCTTGGTATCCTTGACAACAACTACTTTCATTGGTACTTTGATGAATTTCTTGATCTCAGCTGCCCACTGCAGAAGCAGGTGCACGGGAGCCAAAACGAGGGTTGCCTTTGAACGGATGGCGTCCCCCTTTGGTGTCTTTTCATTGGCCCAATCCTCGACTTCTTTCTTTCGTTGCTGGATAAGGCCCAACATTACAACGGTCTTTCCAAAACCCACATCGTAGGCACATAGACCTCCGCGGATTGGAGTTTCTGCGACAGCTCGAGCTTCCAGACGATATCCAATGGAGTCGATCCGAGCTTCTTCGACTGAAATTGCCTGCCATGGCTTTGGGTTCCTCTCCATGTTGATTGCCCATTGGATCGCGTCTGCCTGTTGAGAACGCAGTTCAAATTTTAGACAATGTCTGAGATTCTCGCTACCAGGGACATGTTCGTTGGATGGAATGGAAAATGGCACCTTCTTATGTCTGGAGATCAACTGCGTATTCTGTAATATGTTAGCATCATGTGGCTTGGAAGAAGGAAGAATAGAAATGAATTTACCGTAATCAATCTATATTGCATTGTGAGTTCATGTTCAGACTTCAAGACAGTCGTCAAGGAAGCCTGAGCTCTGTGAATAAGCCCAAATATATCACAAATAACCTTGAACGTGACAACATTATTCTCATTGCGCAGATACCATGCAGAGATTGGATCCGCACGACTCTTACAGGCTCTCTCAAAGTCCGCGGCTTCCACTGGGTCTTCGAAAGGGGTCAGTTTGCTGGTACTCTTGGTAACTTGTTTCTTCTCCCAAAATAAACGTGGAGGTTTGGGCGCGCATGCCTGACACCGAGTTTGCGATGCGTGGTTGAGAATGGTGTGCCATTCGCCACCTTCCTTGTGGCCGTCTTGGACCAAACCGCCTTGGACAAGATACTTGAGGTCCTGCAAGAAAGCAGGCTCATTAGACTTACTCAGTGGTATCCACTGGAGTAAATTAGCATAGAAATCAATGGCCAAGCGGAGAGTTCAAAGGAGAGGGAGAAGCTGAGGAGTTACTTACTTGATCATCGGGAAACATTTGGGTAATACCGGCAACGATGTTAGCACGGCATGCAAAAACGGCGTGTTGTGTGTTACACTGGGTGTCGGAAAATGAGGCTCCAGTAGGAAGATGATGGTACAATGTCGCATCGTTATCGGGCTTATTGAGACCAATTCCCTGGAAGTTTTCCCAGGTGCCATCGACGGATATCGTAGTTTCAACATCTTCAAAAACACACCCTGGCTTGAAGGATTTTCCATTATCAAGAGTATGACTGATGATACTTTGATCTTCGGGATTTCGGCGGGCTTTGACAATGGGGAATCGAAAGGGAGTTGCGAGTTTGCCCTTAGTTTCCCGATGCTCACCATGCCCAAGGCGTCTGGTGTTGTCAGCAATAACAACCGAGTGGGTCTCTACCGCACCATGGCGCAGGTGCGGCTCTAGGAACATGAACAACCGCTTATCGCTTTTCTTCGATTGCTGCTGTACGTACAAGCAATTGAAGGACTGGCCGCATATGGTCGAGAGCTCATATGGGCCTTCGATATCGACAGGAATCACCTTGGGATTGTAATTTTTGACATCCACAAAGATATTGGAGTATTGATTATCATCCTGCTTGGACACAATACCGACTTGATTCTCATAGGTGGGTATCATAGGCCCACTCATTGACAAGGTAGCCTTGAACTTATGGACTTTGGGGGCCCAAAGCTTGAAACTTCCTTGGGTGAGGTCATTATTGTCGTGGCAAAACATCTGAGCAATTGGAAACTGTCTAAGATATTTGCCCACTGGTGAGCTCAGAGGCTCATTGGGAACATTGGCGAATACTGTAACCAATTAGCATACGTTTTCTTTTGGCCTTGAGCAGTAAGAAGTGAACATCTCCACCATTGATAGTTGGATCTTTAGGGGAAAGGGAAATGGGAGAAGGAAAGTTTGCTTACGGTCCCATCTAGCCTCGGTGGCAGAAATGGACAATACCAATTTGGCGTTCTGACTCTCATAAGTCACCTCCCATCTGTCCGATCGACGCATGCCCTGCAAAGCTACCGTCGATATCAAAGCCATTCGGACCTTCGGTAAAATGAGTTGCCATGTCTCAAGATCAATCGAATGCTTGTTATCAATGAGGAATCCGTCGAGTGCCTTGTCAAGCTCAGCCTCTGTGAGATTGATCAACTTGGTGGCCATTGGCAAAGATTCTAGCAACAAATTCTCGAAGACACGGACATCCTTACGTCCCATAATTTTGATCGCCTTGTAATCGTGAATTGGCTTTTTACCACAGGATGTGCAACTCGTATGCAAGCATATCATGCACTGCTGGAATTGTCTATCAATGATGAGCTCTGTATGCTCACAATAGCATAGGCGAAGGGTGTTCCTGGAAAGAGCAAGGGCTTCAGACGTCAGCAATGCATTGTGTGCCCAAGTGCTCGAGTTTACAGCAAACAACTTCTCTTGGTGTGAGTCGCCGGGAATTCTAGCGGTGAAAGAAGTTGCCTTCGTTCGGTCTCCCTTGAGACCGAGGAAAGAGCTAAATGTGGTTAGAGCTGCCATCGTAACAATTCCGACAACAGTCGTCGTCATAGCATTTCCAGACAGGTTTTGCATTTCTGCCTGTGAAAGCCGGCTGATATCCAGGCCGTCAACAGGTAGACCCTGAAGATTCAGGGCCTCCTGACCGGAGATTCGGCTACCACGAACAGAGACAAACTGCTGGGCATTTGGAGTTTGACAGCTCACAACGCCTTGCTTGTTTTGCTCCTTATCACGGTAGACGTTCTGGCCTAGTTCAGTGACTCGACTGCATAACAATTAGCAAATTCTGAAATTGGTAATTTAGCGGAAAACTTACAAGAAATAACGATCATCGTAACCTCGCAACAGACCACGAAGATGAGAGATATCCAGGGTATCAAGCACTCGCTCAGTCATACCGAAGTTGTGCTTCCGTTGGTAAAAGTCTGGAAGTTGGAAATAGCCGTCGCTGCCCCAGCTGGTCACTGGGCGGCCCTCTCCAAGACCGAGGTTGTGGCGATAGCTCTTATAGTTAACCTGACAAGCATCCCATCGAGGTGGCTTTCTTGTCTTCTCAAGGTCATCGACCCAATGCGATCTGCAATAAATGAGGAGAGGATCGTCTGCTCGCTTTAGCCACATTTCCACTGGAGTACTTGCCGGACGTTTTGAGTCGTTTAGCACGAGGCATTCCCACTGCTTCAGCTTCTCATTCACGTCGGCACGGTCTTCGTCCGACATGTCTTTGACATCGACGGCTATCATGTAGCCTCTTGATCTCGTGTGAGGAATGTAATATTCCTTGGTATCAAGTAAAACGAATCCTATTTGGTAGTGAATTCTGGCGAATTCATGATCGAATCCGTAAGGTCCGTCCTTCTTTCTTTTGCTCCACTTTGCTTTTAGCCAAGGGGCACTTTGGACATTTTCCAAAATGATAATCTTTGGTCGATAATGCGTGGCATATGCAATCATCGAAAAAAAGGTATCTCCAGATTCGCCGCCGGCCTTGAGGGTTTTTTGTTTGCTGTTCATGATTGAAAAGTCCGTGCAGCAAGTACCTGCAAGCAGGATGTCAACATCGCCTGGGATGACAGCTTTCCCTCCATGGGCAGTCGTCCTAAAGATGAAAGTTAGTGACAAAAATGAAATCATACAAGTCCACACTTACATGGTCTCCTTGCCCACAATATCCTCTGAAGGCAGTTCAATGTAGTTTCCACGGTTGTCCATAATGAAACGAAGGAGTTCGCACACATTTTGAAAGAGCTGTTCTGGGTTGAAGTTCAAACGCAAGAATGCTTGTTTGAAAGGAACTATTTCCGCACTGAAGGAATGATGGATAGGAAAATTCAGGCCATCAAGCTCACATACTAAAAAAATGATTAGCCAACGCTGAAAACTGGTGTTTATCAAATGAAACTCACATCTTGCTATTTGATTGAGTGCAATTAGAGGGCTGTCCGTTCCGGAACACATTGTTCCGACCTTTATTGCACCGTTCTTCTGCTCTATGCGGTTGAGCAATGGTTTCATTGATGGTTTGACGTTTTTATAAATGTCCCGAAAGGCATCCTGGGGGGTGCGAATTGGCTTGAGAGTTTCATCAGGACCATTTTGATATTTATATCCGTCCGTGTATGCAGCAGCTGATCCAGCAGAATTGCCGCTAGAAGACTTGCCGCCAGCAGATGTGCCAGCATTTGCTTGATCAACGGTTTCTGTTGAGTAATATTAGCAATGGTGATTGAAGTGGATTGGTCCGACTTACGAGCTTCCTCACTTAGCTTATAGTACTCAAGGTGATCTAGTGATCATTTTAGTATTACACGTGTGCGATCGGATGTGGGCATATAGACTTACAAGCAAGATAAGACTCAATAAAGGCGTCTGTGGACATGGCTGGTGGTCATTTCAGCATTGCACTTTTGGATCGGGTGTCGATAGATGAACTTACGAGCTTCCGCGTTCTGATGAGAGTCGGTATCAGATTCATTTGCAGATTCATTTGCAGATTCATTTGCGGATTCATCTGGTGATTCATTTCAGTATTGCACTGTTCGTATGCGGTGTGGGTGGATAGACTTACAAGCATTGACAATAGGGGAAATTGGTTCTGCTAACGGACCTGGTAATCTTCTCAGCATGGTGTTTGTTCAACTGGGACAACGATACTTACCGACAGCCCGACTTGACTTGGCAATGGCAGTGGTGCTCTTAGCTCTCGATTTTCGGGCGACAGGCTTGCCCTTAATGACGGTTCGAGGAGCCTTGCGAGCAGCTCTGATCTTACCTTTAGAACCTACGTCGCATTTTAGAATATGGGGGATGACACGGGAGGGTGGTGGGAAGGCAACAAGATACCTAATTTTCTGCGCTTGGTAGGAGCTTCCTCGTCGCTACCAGACGATGGTGCTTCGTCGTCTTCAAAGTTTGTGTCAGACACATCGCCACCATCCTCGGCAAAGTAGTCTTCATCCTTGGGGTCCGAGGCAGACGTGGCATCAGGGACTTGGTCGTCGCCATAGTTCTGGTCGTCATCAGGGTTGGTTATGGAGGTGCCTTGATTCTGGCCAGTGGATGCTTTCTTAGCGGCGCTCTGGCGGTCGCGCGCCATTGCTACGAGATGTAAGTGTTAGTCTCGATGTGAAGCGAAAAGATGGTTCAAGGCATGTGCGGGATAGGTTTCAGTTGGAAATGAAAGGCGACAGCAGTCAGTTCAAAGCTGCAGAGCGAGCGAGTGGATCGGACACGTCGTCACAGGTGAACAGAGCGTTCGTTGCCCATATACTTGCAGATAGAAGCAATGAGTTGACAAACAAGCGTCTTTATGTACAGGGAAGAGAGAAGGGACGCGTGCAAAGCGTGAGAGGGTTGCTCAACTTGGTTGCGTCCAGCCTGGCCGACAACCCAGCACTCTAAGCAGCATGATGTAGCGATGGTGTTGAGGGTGGATTTGACTTACCGCTTGTGCTCGCTGAGCAATCAATCGCAAGCGTGTGTGAATGGGACCCGATGGTGCAGGGAATTCGATGTTATTTGGAAGGGAGAATGCGGAGCAAAGGTATCTGGAAACGGTATGCAAAATAGGTATCTGCGAAGAGCGTTGAAGGATTCTAAAAAGCTCAGGTGTTTATTGCGGTGTTGTGGGGTTGAGAAAAGGTTTGAAGAAAAGATGGTTGTGTGCAAGGAGCTCAGAGGAGGGGTGTTTATGGTCCGCGAGAAAATGGGAACCGGATAATCAGGCGGGGAACGGAGAACAATATCGCGTGGCTGGGAAGGCAATAAGGTATTTGAGGACGCGATTCAATGTCGGTGGTAGCTTTTCCATACAATGAACTATCAAAAAATAATAGTCCTCGCTTGTCATCGGTTGTCAGGGCAGCATGCTAAAGCAGCAGCGGCAACCACTTTGATGCACACAGCTCAACCCCGAGTACATCTAACCAAAGCCACTTGAACTCGACATTATACATCATATCAATGAGAGAAAGAGCCGTGGAAGTATTTTCCATATAATATAACTATGAAATGAGAACCCCAAAAATGAAATTTCCTTACCGTGACTCTTGCTTCGCCTTTCACTCCAAACACCAACACCAAAATTGGCGAGGCTATTTTTGCCGTAATCCGATCCAGTGAATTCACGACTCCTGAAGGCGCAAGGCTGACGAAAGTAAGGCCGCCGAGCCTGCAGTGGTTGTTCAATGACCACAGCAACATGGGCATCTTCTCGACCTACCCAAATTGGAGAGTTAGGATGCAACCATGGCAATTCTTCATGATAGCCTGGGACCTCTCCAAGTAGTGTATGACTGAAAAGATCATCGACGCCATCGTCAGCCTCAACACCAGAACCGAAACATTCAGATACGGCAGCTTGTGTCGCAACTAGGCCCTCAGGTCCGGATGAACGATAGCGGTTTTTGAACCGGCAATTTGTATCATAAGATACCCTTATGCTAGGTCCATCTCGTTTTTCTCCATGTCTAAGAAGTATCTTGTCTTTGACCAGTACTAACTCGTGGTTGAATAGAGACAAATCCTTCGAGTCCATTATCTTCAATTGGCAAGCATCCCCTCCAACTGCCACGCCTTGCATCGGAGATACAGCATCGTTGAAGACATCATGGCTATCCGGAATTGAGAGGTGTAGCGAGTCTGAGTCTGCAGGACTAAGTAGTTCCATGGTCCAGATTGGTGTCCCTATTTTCGGTCCAGTACATCGAACAGATAAGGGTTTGGCGTCAAGAGATTCTTTCCCGCAATAACAGCCAACAGAGCTTTCTCCGTTGGTATATTGGAGACTGCCAGCGTCTACATATAACGGTCGAGTTCAGGTCCTTCTGCTGGTGGTTCAGTGGTGTGTATAGCTGTGTCTGCACGACACCGAAGTTCCAATGGAGCTGGGTTGTTAGCTACCGAGATCTAGAAATTCTCAAGAGGAGCAGCGATGTGTATCGGCAAGTGGTGTTTGTGTGTGTCAAGAAGAACAATGAGAGCAAGTCTTTACAATCTGATGATTTTTGAACGGGTATATAAGCCAGTTTCAGAAAAGTGGAATCTACACAATCAGAAAACAAGCATCCCATACAGCTCCACAAGACAGTTGTGACGAATGGAGCAGTGTGAAGTAATGAAGTGGGCCGTTGGAAAGTCAGCTACCATTAAAAATCCAATTCTGGGGGCTTTTCGTTATGCGGCTCGATGCCTCAACATGACAAAACTCACCACAAATGGAAGCAATGGTGTGCCAAAACGAATAACAGATTGCTTGAAGATCTTTGAAGTATATAAAAAAGTCTCAATGTTATGAGGTTTGAGACCCGTACGTGAAACCAATGCATGAAAAGCTTGGCAAGGAACCGAGTACACGAAAGTTGCACTTGGAAATCGGCAAAATTTTCAAAAGCATCATTGGGTACTCCTCCCGTTTTTCGGGGGTGTGAAATAAACAGTATCCAAAGAGAATTTTCGAACTTTCGAACTTTCGAATTTTCGAGAGAAACTGCGAGTACACTGTCGTTCCGCAAAAAGGGGGTTAGCGATACAAACCAATCGTGCCTTTTTCCTGCAGTTGGCTTACCTTTTCGCAACAGCCCCTCTGGCCAAACCGGATGGTCTGGATTATACTCAAGGTTAGTTTGAACAATTGAGATAATCAAGCCAAGATTGATTGAGGTTATACAGACTCGTTGAAAATGGAGCGTGGTCTACGCCAAGTGGTGTACGTGACAGTGGCAGAGCTATGGTACTGCAATGGAGCTGTGAAATATTCAAGGCCAACAAGCAGTTGGTCCACTTGAACCGGGACTGTTTTGGAGAAAGGGTCTACCAACAAGCAATCAGTCGACAGCATGAAGAATTTGAAAGTGGTAGTGAGGTCAAGTAGTGGCTCAAGAAGGACAGGGGGTATGGGAGGGAGCTGACTCAGTTGACTTACTTTCAAGAGTCGAACGCCTGGAAAGTTCCAAGGTGACAAACATGTCAATCGACCAACAAGCCCCGGCGCAATATCAGCTCTTGGTCAACTCCAGCTTGAAAGGGTCGGATTTGAATCTTCTCAATGGAAGGTGGGTAGTGCCCAAACCCATGGAAAGAGCGAGGTGAGAAGGAAGGTTCGACGAAGATGACTGCTGAAATAAGAATTCTGGAATACATTCGTCAAGCCACCAAGATGGTTTGATCAAGGTATTAGATAACCAGTCGAAGCCCTAAGCAGAGAAGCTGAGGTCAGAAAACTGCAATGCAATATGGCAGAGAGAAACCTGAAATTGCTTACCTTGCCTTTGAGAATGCGGACCCATGTATATGCATACCTATGGGTTGAAGCTTGGCATGTGTAGTCCCGCAAAGAGAAACAGCACAAACGACAAATGGGGATGGGATGAGACAGGAAGGAGATGAGACACAATACCATGGTCATCAGCATTGGGACTGTACATCAGTACTATTCTGAGAAAGTGCGGATTGGATGCCTTTGATGGCTGCGGTAGCGCATCGTATGTGGCTGCAGCTCACTGTGACCTTTTGTGCTGCCGACGCGGGGTACTGCACTGCTTTCTTCAAAGCTAGTATCAGTATTGCGCGGTCGGCTTTGTTCTTGAAGGGTCGCCATTCTAAAACAAGCTGTGGAGATGGTCTCTAAAGCTCTAGCTTGAGGGTTCCAGAGAATGGACAGATGGAGCGGTGGTTAGTGGTTGATGGTTGATGGTTGATGGTCGATGGTTGATGGTTGATGGATGATGGTTGATGGATTTGGATGGTGGATGGTCGGAGCTGGTGGAGGGAAGCGTTTGTTGTTGAGGTGTGTGCCGACTTTGAGCCGCTTGACATGGCTGGGAAGCTCCTTCCTTGTCAATGGGCAATCGGATATACATTGATCCGACGTCCTCGCAAAAAAATATACAAGAGTAGGACCAGATATGAGTGGATTTTTAAAGTGTGAAATAGAGTTGTATTAGTTAGAGCTTATCGGAGCCCGGTGGTTTTACGCTCTAAAACTACAACTAATACCTAATAAAACTAACCCTATAATATTAACCCCTCTCTACTCCCTTAGAGGTACGCGAAGCCCCTACGAGCCTAGTATTTATACTCTAAAATATAAAAATAATAAATCGTATAATTAAGTAAAGTAAATATAATCCCTTTAAATAAGATATCTTATATCTAAACCTACTAAATCTCTTATAAATCCTACTATCCTATAATAAGTTTTAAGTATAAAAAGAGATTTCTAGAGTTTATTTTATAGTATAAATAATATTATTACTAATAAGCGAAAACAGAAGTAAGAAATATTTAGTATAGTCGAAGGATTCTAACTATATATATACCTATATAAGGTAAATAGAAGAATAAATAGTACCTAGAGTAAGTTAAGTCCTAAGACTATAATTAGGTATATTTTAGTTAAATAACTAGATATTTCGAAAGTAAAGTTAATATTAAGTTTTAAGGTAAAGGCTTTAGCTTTACTCTTAGGCTCTCTACTTAACCTAGTTTCTTTCTACTATTTTAACTTAACCTTCTATAACCTAACTTTTATCTTAATTATACTATAGATTTACTAACTTTCTACTATAAAAAAGATAGCTTTACTTATATATAGTAATAACTATTATAACGCTATAGCTTAATATAAAAAAGTATAATAACTATTTCCCTAAAGATAATAATAATCGAGCAAGAGATATTATTTATAAAGTATTTAATAAGTCTTCTAATTTAACTTAAAATAATAGAAGATATAATTTTACTATCGCTAACCTAGTTAATTATAGAATAGAAGATTTATTTAGTAAGTTTTATATCAACTTATTTTATAACTAACTTTATACTAATTACTTCTAGTGAAAGCTAAGTCTAAGAATAATTCTAGAATTAAACCTAAGTCTAGTAATAGAAGTAAAGATAATAAAGAGAACGATAGTAAAGAGGGTAATAATAAATTACGCGATAATAAATTAGAAGAAGTAGAATTCGTACTAATATTAGATAATAAAGTTAGTAATATTAAAGATACTAGCGATATTACTAAAGTATATAAAGTAATGTTGTGCTGGGTCTACTTTCTCTTTTGCTCCACTTCCTTATTTGATCCACTTATAGTTCTGCTGCCTAAATGCTTCATGTCTGCCTAAACCTTACACTCTTTATATAAACACCTTAGATAGCTACCTTTTACAATGCAATCAATTCTCCATGACCTTCAGTACCCAATACCCTTTCTGTGACGACACGTACGCAAGGCCCACGGTGTAGGTTGTGGAATCGTAGAATTGTCAATTAAACAAAGATTCTAAGCTGAGGAGAAGAGGAGAGCTCGAGAGAGCTTCGATCTAAATACTTGGTGTGGGTCGCTAAGCGAGACCACGTGATCCGAATGGTGGTGACGGTTAGAACCGTCACACTTTCAACCCAATAAGTAATATATAGAAAGATTCCTCGACCTATTACTAAGACCGGAAATCTTTATATTTAGGCTATAATTATTAGCTACTTAAAGTTTAATACTAACTAGTTTGTATTTGATTATAATAATCGAATAATTAAGAAACTTCGCCTTATATTATAAAAACCTAGCTATATATAGTACCTAGCGCTTTCTATTCCGACTCGCTTTAATATTAATAAGATTAAAGCGTTTATAGACTATAATCTAATAGTTCTACATAATATTAATCTTTATTATCTAATTAATATTACTAGTTAGAATAGTATATTACCTTTTATAAATCTTAATAATATAGTAGTTACTACCCTTAGAAGTCTTAGTCTAATAATAAAACTACTTTATTATACTTTCCTAACTATATTTAATATAAATAGTAATATTCTTAAGAGTTATAGATACTTTAGTCTTCCTACTCTATTAAGCGATAATCCTCTAGCGATTTTATTTATAGTAGATAATCTTTATAAATAATTTTATTATTATATCTTCTATAGCAACCTTGAGAAATTCGAATATAAAGAATCCTATAAGTAGAAGAATCTAAAGAATCTCTTTAAAGTTTTTACTACCCTTTACTAAAAGAAGTAATTAGTGTATAAGTCGAAAGAGCTATAAGTATTATATTAAATTTATTTCGAGGGCCCTATTATTAGTCCTTAGTTTATATTTAATCTTATAACTAATATTTAGAGCTTTATACTTCTAGATACCTCTTATATCGCTAAGTCTATTAAGAAGCGTAAATATAATAGTTAGGAGTCGGTTAACGATATTAAGATTTCTTTATTTGATAATTTTAAGGATATTTCTATATATTCTAGGTCGGAATCGGAGGATAAGGTAGTTAATGTGACGACACGTACGATATGTTGCTCAAGGAGCGTCCAAGGTGTAGGTTATGGAATCGTAGAACTGTCTATTCGAAGATTCTAAGCTAAGGAGAGAAGAGAAGGAAGGACAGAAGTGTAACGAATACTCAAACTGGCTAACTAAACTTGGCTGGGTGTTCGCTGGTTGGTATGCTATGATAAGAAGAAGACTATCGGGTTGTTCACTTGGAAGTGAACTCGTTACTTGTATCAAAGATGTCAAACTAATATGATAAGATTGATAACTAAGTTGAGCACGAAGCTCCTATCTAATGGCAGACGTGCCAGTCTTATATAGAACCTCTGTTCTCCACTGGATCATATGGATCATGGTAACAACTTACTGATCCTACTGATCCAATCACGTGATAACGAACTTAATGAAATCCTTGGATACTCAGCTAGCCTGAGTAACCATCCAATATGTTATAACTACTTCGAGGTGTGTTTGTTCTGTCAGGACTCCGCCTGGACTTGCTCTTCACGCGCTAGCACGTGATTCGTGACATATTAGTAGACTTATAGTAAGTAGTCTATAGGCTTATATTCTATTATTCGCTTTATTAAGCGATTCTAGATTTATATATTATTTATATTAGAATAGTAAGAATTATAATAAGTCATTTATTAATAGTAGAACTACTTTAGCTATTATCTGTTAAGTAAATACTCCTATTTTATTATTTTATACTATAATAATAGAGTCACTTTTAAGTTAAGCTCTTCCGATTTACTATTATAATTATTTAACGTCCTCTATTAAGTCTCCCGACTTATAATAACTATTAATTTCGTCTCTAGCTTCTTTAAAAACACCCAAAGACTTTAACTTCTTATTAAAGGAAACTAAAACTTAGTATCTAGCTTTACTAATAAACTTCTCTTAATCTAACTAGTTAGAAGTCGCTAGATTATAAGTATTAAGATTCTTTTTTAAGAGCGCTACTTATTTACTTTCCTTATAAGACTATATCCGAAGTTTAAGCTTATCTATATGTCACGAATCACGTTCTCACGTGATACTTGTCATAATAAAGAGGCGCAACCCTCGACAGGCACATCCAGGTTTCTTATAGCAAATAGGGATGCTTAGACTAGCTAAGCGATCCAAGGATTTCTCGTGTATATAGTCACGTGATCAATCGCATCGCCTGTATCGACAGTCGATGTTAGCGATAGGAGGTCGACTACATCGACAGGTGATGTAGGCGATGTAGAGAGAACGAAGGATCTATATAAGACTGGCACGTCTGCCTTTTGACATCTTTGATACAAGTAACGAGTTCACTTCCAAGTGAACAACCCGATAGTCTTCTTCTTATCATAGCATACCAACCAGCGAACACCCAGCCAAGTTTAGTTAGCCAGTTTGAGTATTCGTTACACAGAGGCTATTTAGCTACCGGCTATATATAATATATTACCTTACTCCTTAATCTAAAGACCTAAAAATTTAGAAAGTAAGATTATAGTTAATTCGTCCTTAGACTATAATTAAAAGTCGTAGTTAACTGAATAGCTAATAATATTATTTCCTTAGAGTTAGAACGTAAATTAGCTATAATATTAGTTCTTATTGTAGGACTTAGGTTAGTATTAGGTACTGTAGCTATTATAATTGAGATCATATAGAGCTTAGTAGTTATTTTATTAATACCTATAACGTTAAAATCCTAGGTAGCTAAAACTATAGCTTATATAGTATAATCTAATAACTAAAGTACTACTAAATATAAAAGCTTTTAAGTAAGCCTACTCTTATTTAGTTATAGAAAGGTTTCTATAGTAAGGTTTTATATATCTAAATCCTTTATAATTAAGATATATAGGGCTACTAATATCTATATTATAGTCCTTTAATCTATTAATTAAAGGATACTTTAATTAAAAATATAGTAGGCTATTTACTAGGTTTTCTTATAGAGTGTCCTTCGATCGCTTAATACTAGTAGTAGTCTTCTAGGGATTATAAATATATAGTTTCTAATATAGCGTATAGCTAGTATTAGTAATTAACTAATTTATATTTAGTTATTAACTCTAAGTCTAATTTTAAACCTAATTTTAATTATAATTTTAGCCTTAATTCTAGTTTTAGTATTATCTAGAACTTAGCCCTAAAAGTATATAAGCTATTATTAGCTTACTATTTACTAAGTATATAGCCTTTCTAGCCTTTAAATCCTTTAGGACTAAAGAGTATAGTTTACTATATTAGGATATATATAACTCCTTAAGTCTTTTAGTTTCCTTCTTCTTATTATAACGTTACTCGATCTCTTTAATAGTAGATAATATTAAGGACGTATCCTTAATTATTTCTATAGCTTTCTAAAGTAACTTATGAAATAGTACTCCTTGTTTTAGGATAGCTACTTATAGGTTATCTTTATAGAGTCTTTTAATGAAGGTAGTAATAATACTTAATAAAATAATAAGTTCTATAACTAATAAAGTCTTTAGACTACTTTATTAGATTAGTACATCCTTTCTACCTACTTATTAAAGTAAGAGTAACACTTTTTAATAATATATAATAAAAGCCTTATCCTTTATCTAAGAGAGATTTCTAATCTCGTATTAGATATTAGTATCTTTTTAATTAGATACCTTTATTAGGAACTTAGCTTTAAAAGTATTTTTAAAGTCTTTAACGTATAAGAATATAGCTATAGACAAGTTATTATATATAGCTCTAAATTTTAAAGAATTAAGCTATTTAGTGTGACGGAGCTGGATTTCATTTGACAGGATTTCATTCGCTTGGCCAAGCACGTGACGAGACTTGGCATTGGAACAACTTAAATAACTTCGCTCCTTTCAGATTCTCTTCTCTCTTTAGTTTGATTTCTTCGTACCTACGGTTTTAGTTCTAGCAATTGATTCAAAAGCTGTATACACTTTATCCTTTGTTGGCATCCGTGACACTATAGATGATAGTTACTTATATATATCGACTATAAAGAAGTAGTTACTTTTACTAATAGATATAAACCTATATACCAGGTAGGGTACTAATTATACTCTAAAAAAGGTAAGGAAGGTTATTTTAATACTAGTAAGGTTATAAAAATAATATTATAAAGGTTTATATTAGAGGGAATATACTATTTATAATTTAGGCTTAGAATAAGTATTACTAGAAGGGGAGTAAGAGAAGAGTAGTATTATAGTATTACGGTTTTTAGGTAGTATATATTAGTAGATAGTAATACTAATCGAGCTAGTAATTTACTAATTTATAGTAGCTTCTTAAGTTCTTTATATTTAGTAAAGAGACTAATTATAATAGTTATTTCTTTAAGCCTAGAAAATAACCTTTAGATAAAGAAAAGAAGGAAAAAGAATTAAATAATAATATAAGAGGAGATAAAGATTATAGAATTTTTAGTATATATTTAGAATTTATAGAAAGGAGGGTTTTTAGATAGTATATAAAATAAATAATTCATACTAAATAATATTTTTTATAATTTATTAACAACTTTAGATATTTTAGTAACTATTTATTAATAACTGTTTATAGATAAGGTATCGATAATTGTCGATAGGGTATCTATAACTAAGCGTATATAAAAATTTATATAAGGTATCGACAACCGGTTGTCGATACCTTATCTACGCCCGCTCCTACTAGGAGAGTATGAAAATTTCTCCATTCACTTCTTCTAAATGAGCACTCCCACTACAATCGGGCGTAGCCCTGAAATCCTGCAAGCCACCTAATATCAATTTGAACACCGTGTTCTGAAATTCACTATTTTTTGTTGACATCAACTCGGAGATGAGTCTTCCTGTTGTCGCGCGTCACCCCCTCCGATAATGAACCGCGATTCTCGGTGCGTGTTGTGCAGGAGTAGACTTTTCCTAATCGGGTAGTATTTCTGAGAGTGGGGTTAGAGGGACTGTAAAGCGGCGTGGTAAAGCGGCTTGCTGGATGGGAGGCGGTGAGGGGGATGCCGATGGTTGCCGTTGTGTGGAGGGGGCGAGGCTGCGAGGCTGAGAGACTGGAGGATAGGGGACTGGAGGGGATTGAGGAAAGGGGCATGGAGGGTTGGGTTCTGGGTACTGCAGGTTGATGTTTGTGTTTACTTTGTTGGATGATAGCAAGGACTTATGGATTTTGGGGTTTGGGGATCTTCTTTTGTTGTATTCTTTCAGGACTCGATATCTGATTACTAGAAGCATTCCGTGTAATGCACTCAATGCAAACATGCAAACTTATAGAGTGAGTACCTTAGTATTGGCACATACTCGTAACTCTTCTCTCAAATATCTTCAACTCACATCCCATTTAATGCATTCTATATCCATTACTTCCTTAATCCTATGTTCCTATAACAAGTTCACAGTATCAAAACCCATCAAGTATCTTTTTGTCCTCCAAAACGTGTATGTCCTTTCTTGATGTTGCATGTAGATATGCCAAGAAATATGTGTTTCGTTTCCTATGTTTGGGGGAAAAGGGGCTTCTCGCTAAATCTTGGTAGGAGGTTGAGCTTGGACGTTTGTGGGGAATATATGGGTTATGGGTACATTAATTGATTAGGCTGGTTGTATTAGAAGTATTACTGTTATTTGGAGTTGTGGAATTGAGGAGGGTTTGTTGGATGGGTTTCATGATGTATTTGTGGTTCTAGATGCTGACTATTTGCGGCCTTTTATGTGTGGAATAATGAGTGTAGGATAACTAATTCTGGTGCTGTACTGTAGCCCTCGATATTCCTCTGACTTCTACCTCCATACATATACTGAAATAGTTGACTGCCCCTTCTCAGACGTTCTATTTCTCCTTATGTCCTCTCATCATGACGACCTCAAAAGCCCTCCCCCATCATCACCGTCTCCCCACCTCCATACCACAACGTCCCCTTTCTAAAATCCAACTCCTTCTCCGTCCCAACAACCCACTCCTTCCCAACATCCCTCTCGCCCCCCTCTCTCGTCCAGAACTCCCTTTCTAACCACTCATTAATCCCATCAATCTTCCCCAACCAAGCCTCCGTCTTAGCCTTCTCATCATGATCCTCTTGCGTCAAGAACCTCGCAATGGTAATATGACTCGATGGAACCACATACCTGCTATCAATGCTCACCCCCGTCGCTTTCGCTAGATTGAACAGATCACGACGGAGATGATGATAGGTATATCTATCCTCCTGTTTTATCCTTGTGGTTTTAGTTGGGGAAGAGGGGGTTATTTGTGGGAGTGCTTCTCCGGCGGCGGGGAGGAAGGAGAGGGCGATTGCGGCGCCGTCGAAGGAGATGAGGGGGTTGATGAGGCGGGTTCGGTGGGTTGAGGGGTAGGATACCATTTTGGTGTAGGTTTGACTCCCAATGTGGGTGATGATGTTGTCAATTTGGGGCGCGGTGAGGGAGTGGGTTACTTCGAAGGCTGTGAGGTGGAGGTTTTGGATGGGCATGAGCCAGAGATCTGGAGTGTGTTAGTTTGTGTTTTTGAATTTGTGTTGGCGAGAGGGGGGCTTGGTATGAAAAAAGAACATTTCTTTCCTATTGGAGATGAGGAGATTCGTTGAGAAGCCATGGAGTTTGTTTTGAAAAGCTTACCAGGAGCTACACCCATGAGTTCCTTCTGAATTCTATCGACTAGAGAGCGGATATGGGTAGGCGGTCGAGCCCAGAAAACGAGACAATTTCGGGGATCAACATAACCAGGTTCAATGGTGGGATCTTCAAGTCGCTGAAGTATTGGATCCAAGATCAATCCTGAGAAGTCCGGGGCAAGTAGCTTTTCTCGTTGCTGGGCATTACGTGTGGTGCGATGGATAGCATAGCGTGCCTGAATTTCCGCCTGTGGAGATTATCAGTATGAGTATGGCTTTGAGTGTCATAGAGTTTGAGTAGGTACGGTACATACTGGGTTGTTGTGGCATGCTTGGATCAAGGCATCGTAGGGATTCTCAAAAGCAGAGATATCTACACCTGAGAGATCCTCAAAGTTATTTCTGGAGTCTGCTGTTTCCAGCTTGGCCATTTTGGGAGAATTCAGTCTTGGTGTTGCTGATTTTGAATGTATTGCTGTGCAGCAAGGAAGACAGATGTCATCGCAGAGTGGAGTACAATATAGGACGGAGGATCTCATACAAGAAACGCAATCTTTTATGTAATTGCTTTTGGAGAGTTTGAATGTGAGCTAGCTGGAGAGGAAACAGTATTTCATGATGACAAGAGCTATCTATTGGTGTGGGATAAAATAAAGACAGCGGCAATGAGGATGTCAAATGTGATCTTTGATCTTTGTACCATTTAAGGCCAAGGCTGTGTGGTATTTGCTAGCCTTCTCAGTTCAATGCTGCCTTTACACCATTCTCTGATGTCGTTGAAGTTCCGCATCCGATTATAAGCCGATTGGCTGCAGCTGGAGGGTCCAGAGAGGGGTTGATGTCACGGGGTTGGTTTTGTCAGGCATTAGTCATAGTTTTAGAGCGTAAAACCACCGGGCTCCGATAAGTCCGCTCTAACTAATATAACTCTATTTTGCACTTTTAAAATCTACTTATTTCTAGAAGACCTATAGTAGGGAGACTTCGAAAAAGACCTCGTATAAATAGTACTAAGTCTCACGATTAGATAGATTATTCGAAGTACCTTTAATCTAGATACTTTAACTTAAAGTATTAAAACCCTATTCTTAAAGTTAGACTCTTAGTATTATAGTAAATAGAACTCTAACTATCTTAATAATACTATAATAATTTAACTACTTCTAAGATTAGAAATATAGTACTATAATTAATAGAAGAAAACCTTTAGTATTAAAGAAAACTTATACCTTTAACTTTAAATTATTATAAACTTAAAATCCTACGAAATCGAATATTATCCGATTCTAGAAGAGTGTATATAACTACCTTACTAAAGGAAAGAATACTCTTATAAACTGTCACGGATGCCAACAAAGGATAAAGTGTATACAGCTTTTGAATCAATTGCTAGAACTAAAACCGTAGGTACGAAGAAATCAAACTAAAGAGAGAAGAGAATCTGAAAGGAGCGAAGTTATTTAAGTTGTTCCAATGCCAAGTCTCGTCACGTGCTTGGCCAAGCGAATGAAATCCTGTCAAATGAAATCCAGCTCCGTCACATAAACTAACTTTTAGATCTAATATTATCTAAAACTAGTATAACTAGTTATAAAGTAGTTAAAGTAGGTACGAATATTTAGGTCTTAACCTAGAATCTAATAAGCTAGATTTAAGTAAGTCTTTAAATAATAGCCTTTGAACCTCTAATTATTAGATGTTCGATAAAGAATCGGATTTATTATTCTAGTGTAGTACCTTACTTAAAAGATAAATAAACTAAATTATTAGAAGTATAAATACTTATCCCTTAATACTACGTAGTCTAGTACGTCTAGAGCTAGCTCTTATTATTAGAAACCCTTATCTAAACTATCGACTCTTCTGTCACAAATCACGTGCTAGCACGTGAGGAGTTAGTCCAGACGGGGTTCTGACAGGACAAACACATCATGGCTCTTATAGCAAAAAGGGATCGCTTAGGTTAGTTAAGCGATCCAGGAATTTCTTTGTATACAAGTCACGTGATATATGCAGGTCGACTTCTCGCCTGGTCGAGAAGTCGATTATCGACTATGTCGACAGTCGACATTGTCGACTTCAGGAACACGAAGGTTCTATATAAGACTGGCACGTCTGCCATTAGATAGGAGCTTCGTGCTCAACTTAGTTATCAATCTTATCATATTAGTTTGACATCTTTGATACAAGTAACGAGTTCACTTCCAAGTGAACAACCCGATAGTCTTCTTCTTATCATAGCATACCAACCAGCGAACACCCAGCCAAGTTTAGTTAGCCAGTTTGAGTATTCGTTACAGTTAATTCTAAGTAAGAAAAAGTAGGTAAGTAATCGTAAGCGAAGCGATTTAAAGGGGTAAGGTAGCGTAGGAAAATTATAAATTCTTAATAGAATAAGTATTTTTAATAATTTATAAGCTTACGAAGGTATATATTTAGGTATTCTACTTAATTAAAGCGAGTTTAAAGATCATCGATTTTTTTAATTTTTTAACATTCTATAAATTCTTTTAGTTGTTAATATAGTATCGACCGGGTATATATAAGGTATCGACTAGGAGTCGATAAGGTATTGACTTTTCTGCTCCCACTAGGTCTGCCTAGACACTGGTGATTCACATGTAAAAGACAATCTTGGAGGCTGGATACTCAGACTTGACACCGAGTACTGTGAGAATTCTTGGGAGCTGGGGCTCGAGCAGGGGTATGTGAATAGATACAAACTCAGGGTAGACCAAATAGGCTGCAGCTTCTGTGGTGCTTTGGCAGACCTGTCAATAGAAATGAATCAACTCCCGCAAGTTCCAGGAGGGAAGAAGTGAATAGACGCGAATAGAGGATACAGTGTTCATTTCATTTCCTGGTGAGGGGTTCGGTGGAGGAGGATGCGAGAATGGGGTATATGGTAATTCCAGATGAGGGGAATTCACTTTTGAGATGCGGTGGTGCTTATGGAGGTACTGCTCAGGGAGGTTGGAGGGTTGAAGCTGGAAGTGGGGAGGAGTGAGGTATGGGATTCTGGGGTTTGTGGGACGGTTTGAGGGGGTTAAGCTGGAGGGAGAGGGAGAGGTTGAGATAGCAGGAGTTTTTGGTAGGAGACTGATAGAGTAGAATAGTCGGAATAAGTCATACAAGCTCTTTCTCAAGATATTTCTGGAAGATCACTGATGCTAGAGTTACACGTACGATTCACATTAGAACGAAAGCAATTTCCAGTTTCTCCATATGACAAAAGCTGAAGTTAGAGAAGTCTTCAGAGCATCCTGTTCTGGAGCATAGCTCCAGAACACTGGCAAGAGCAAGACCTTCAATTGATAGTAATATGATCTTCGGAATGAGATAATTCTAACAATTGCTTGTCTTGGAATCATTCTTGCCTTTCTCTACCAACAAACCAGAATCATCCCGAGTCTCAGGAGCTCAGTCACTTGAGCCTTCTTTGCCAGCCAAAGAAATACAGGTAACGAATGCTGAATTATAATCCCGACGACCTACCTTCCTCGAGAGAAGGAGAGGTAAGTTAGGATCCTTTTCCATATCGTTCCGTCATTCTTTCGCCTTTCATGAATTCTTTTTGAAGATGCCAATGATTGTGTTTAAGCGAGGCGAGTTCCACCGACGCACCTCGAGTCCCTTCTTCGCGAATATCATTGTGAAATGTACGAGCAGAAGCAGGCAGTTCTCCCTCCTTCCTTCCCTTGTTGTAGCCTTCAATGACTGCGTATCCCATTCTTTCCGAAACACCACAGAACCTGAATATATCCTCCCGCTTAGCGCGCTTTTCAAATGGCTTGGAATCCTCCCACTCAACAATAGATAGTACACGTGCTTTGAGGGGCGTCTCGTGGTAATCATGATGCTCGTTTTTGCGGTTCCTTGAATTATGCCCTTGAAAGGATCTTTGCTTTCAGGGGCTGTAGGGGGGTTCCTAGGGCCAGTATGTTGATTTCCACCCCTTTTGGCTGATGCTTCTTTTGGACGTGGATTTGGAGGCATTGTGGGCTTGTAATCTGCCCTGCGAATGACTTTGAATAGAGTAATAGAAGGATTGTTGTACGTACAAGTTTAGTAGATTTGTTTACATTATTATCCTATGACGTACTCAATAATGAGTGGATGATGAAATTAGGTCAAAACTCACTGACGAAAAACTGTCGCTTATTTTGTCCGAGATCTTAAATGTCTTAATCTTGCTAGGTCTAAATCTACACCTATGGAACTCATGGATATCCTAATTTGCCTTCTTTCCGTGGGGTACTATAAAACAACATCATAGTAGAATTAAGATACAACGCAAGGGTCATAAATCTAACATGACGTGAATATTATATATTCACTACGGTACCACCTTAAAAATTTTTACACCTCTACCTATCTCGCTCTCTCCCTCGCCCTCGCTCCCCAACCCCACATCTCCGTCTCCGTCCCCCCCCCACCCCCCCAAAAAAAACAACGTCCTAGCAAAACCAAACACCCCCCTAAAAAGCTCCCAAAAAGAAATCAAAAAAGCCCTCACCCTCAAAGAGGGCGGTCTCGGACAATAAACCAGACGAACTAGGTTTTTTGCGGTTTGACTAGTCCCAGTAAAGCTCTCACCAATGTTTCCATTAAGCTACGCAGGCATGTACCGGACGACTCGGTAGAAGAGATGTCACTTGAGGTTATGAGTGTGAAGGGGAGAAAACCGAGATGCTTTTAGCCATGGAAGGTCTTGCCTTGGACTTCAAAGCATATAGATACTCCTGCTTGTATTTTGACACCTCACAGGAGGTTGCTAGATATCTTCCAATCTATGAAACAAAGTACTTCTCCAACTTGGATTTGAGGTGACGTTCCCCACCAAGAAACCACTACTACTAAGTATCCCGGAACATAGAGAGCAGCTTCAGACTCGAACCTTGAACCTCGCAGTCCCATCATTCAAGTTTTTGATATTGCACCATGTACACTTTGACAACGATATCTTAATATCATCACCACATATCCAATTGAAACACCCATCAAATACACTTCAAAAACTCCATCTCTCCAAAACTCCAAAGTTCTATTCCCATAAATCCCATGCTAGCTCCTATATCCGTATCCCAATCCAATCAACTCCATGAAAACTCCATTAAAACCCCACGAGGCTCAGATATAAACCAGTCACAGGCGATAATCTACAAGCCCCCTCTTTACACCACAACATCTACTCCGTATAGCAATCGATCCCAAAAAGAGTAAAGAAAGACTACAGGAACCAAGCACGATTAAAAAAAAAAACTGTACTCTATATTTAATCTCAGTAAAAATGATACTACTAAGCCGCCTGACCCCAATCTCGTACATGTATTTTGCGGAAACACCATATTTTACCACATCTCAACCCCCAACCCAAAATCTACAAAAGCCCATCCATCCATCCCAAACCATTCTCTCCTCTCCTCTCTAATCCTCTCCTTAAGCCCAACCCTTTCCCTGTCCCTTCCACCAAAGCACCACACCACACCCATCACAAGTTATTATTATTATTATTATTATTATTCCTTTTAACGTGCTGTGTGAGTCTGAGACTATAGTAGCACGGCTGGGGGTTTCCCCACCCATCACAAGTTCACAACCACCCCGTACCCAAAAAGTCCCCAAAAGCCTCGAACAACCCAGTACTGTACATTCCCAGCATTCCCATTCCAAAGAACAATGCTTCCCAACCTCGCAGCTCGCAGAGAAGTAAACATCCTCATCCCAGCTTAATCAGATCAAGATTCTGACAATCCCGTAGAAAAAGATAGGTAATCTTACACAGGTATACAGTATTACAGACCCGGATCAAGTAGACTGAATTATTTAATTTGGGAGAAAGGAGAAGGGAAATGAAATTGAATGATGGTGGTATGTAAGCACTGGATAGGATACGGTAGGATATAGTAGGACGCATCCCTTACCTTTGTTGTTTTAAAAGTTCAAAGTTGTAGAACGAGATGAGATGGGTGATTATACATTGGAGATGTGACGAGTTCTTTTCAGATTCCCGAAGATACATGGAAGTGATTTCAGCGTCCATACCAACGATCGAACGATCTCCCGACTCAGACCAAATAAATCCCCCTCACCAGGAACACAGAAACCATACGTCACAACATGTCAAAATATTACGATTCATAAATGCTAGATACAACACACCATCATATTATCATATAATCATAACCCACCCACCCCTCTTACTCAAACAACCCCCCAAACCTCTCCTCCCCCCTCCTCACCAGCCTAACAGGCACATACCCCGGCCCCTGAATCTTCAGCGTAATAAGCGGACTCGCCCCCCTCAACGTCTCCTTCGCCTTCTTCTGCGCCTTCCCATACACCACCCTCCTCTCCTCCTCCGTCATCTCTGCAACTTCCTCGTCAGTAGCCCACTCATCAGCCGCAAGTTCAATCGAGTACTTTTGAAAAATAGTCGCGAGGATAGCCATGATCTTAACCTGCGCCAGTCTCCTCCCTACACAGGAACGTGGGCCGTCGGAAAAGGGAAGGTATGAACCACGAACAGGGTGGAAGAGTTTGGAGTGCGAGGAGGAACCGGTGTAGCCACCGAATTCATCTGCTTCCGCGTCTGCATCCGAGGATGACGGAGTATCAACTTGTGGTTTGGAAGAGTCCGAAGATAAGGAAGAGGAACGGGAATCACTGTCGATGAACCATCTCTCAGGTTTAAAATCATCCAGATCATCTTCACGGCCTGTTTCCTTGCTGGGCTGGGTAGGCCAATACCTCGGCGATCGTTGGACACCAATCGTATTAAGCATCAGCCTCGCGCCCGCGGGCAGTGTGTATTTCTTCCCTTCAACAACAATATCTTGATCCGAATTATCCGTCACAGACTTAGGAATCGAGATGACAGGCGGCATCCTTCTCAACTCCTCATTCAAAACAGCCCCCGTCATCCCACCAAGTAGTAGATTGATACTAGATTCATAGTCCCAAGTAGAGGGGTCCGAATCCCCGAATATACCATCGATTTCTTCCTGCACCAGACGCTGCGGTCTTGGATTGATGGCTAGTTCGATGAGGGAGAAATGGATAGAGTTAGCGGTCGTTTCATGGCCCGCGACGATCATGACAAAGGCATTTCCAAGGATGTCGGAATCTGAGAGTTTAATTTTCCCAGATTTATTATTAGGCGACGAGTCGTTGTCTTGACCGTAGGAGCTTTTGACGAGCGAGCCCATAATGTCCATTCCTTCGCTGCGTTTTTCTCCTGCACGTGCTTGTGCGACCTTTTGGGCAAAAAGTTCGTCCATGTATTGGACCCAATTGACATATGATTCATATGCTTCTCTGGCGGCGTGAAATGGGAGACGTTCTGTTGATCATAATTAATTAAAGTTTTTCCAGAGGCAAGGTGACTACTACTTACTCAAAATCCATTTTGGCATCAATAACACCATCAACATACGCTCAAGTAGTACACTTAGCGAGTCCGAGAAACTCATTGTGTGATTTCCTGATGGGGTATTACTGCTGTACACTGCATCCTGCGCACTTGTTTTCTCCTTGGGTGGCTCTCCATCCCATAGTAATTGCACACCGAAACCAATTCTAGAAATAATATGCAACGTCAACCTCATGGTATCCGCTGGAACCTCAGTAATGGTTTTATTGCCCCTCCCATCCGGACCTAGCCATTTCCTCAGCATTCCCTGAGCTTGCGCGCAAGACTCGGAGAAGACCAATACATTGTTCTTCTCGTTGAAGCCCGGCGACGTTATCTTTCTGTGTCTTTTCCAATCCGGTCCCTCCAATGATATTATATTCCTTCCAAATATCTCCATTATTTTATAAGATTCGAGTGGCTTCGGAAATGCCTCGCGGCGGGTGGTAATCTGGTGGATAGCTTCCGCATTCGTAATCCATATGTATGTTCCCCCCGGCGCAACAATCAACTTTATCTCACCTTCCTTTTTGACGGGTTCGTAGAGCATGGTCCACACCCAGTTCATATGGTGCAGTCTGATTAGATGTTAGCATCTGCTTTCTATGAGCGAAATAGGAAGGTGGAGTTGGCATACGTCAACCAGCCTTCGGTCCATGCTGTGGGAAGTAATTTGAACAATGGGATCCAAAACTCAGATGTGACCATCCAAAAGACATTGTACGGCGTGATAGCTACAGACTAGTCAGTGGGAATTGGGTCGCATTGAGGAAGAATTGGAAACCTACGGGCAACGGCATATGGTAGACCAGATCGTTTTGCCTGTGCAATGTGTTTTCTCAACCCAGTGGCGTTCGTGTATACCAACCACAATGCGATGCCAATGGTAGTAATCGCAATCATCGAGGTCATTGTGGCAAGCGTTGTGAGATACAGGAGGAAAGAGAAAGAAGGATTGGAAGAACGAATGGTGAAGAGTACAGGAGACAGCCAAGATAGCTTACATATGCATTAAGATATCCCGTGCAATACCGTACGTTTGCGCCATGGAAATTGTGGTCTTCGCACCATACGAGTAAACTTGGTGAAATGTGGTGACCAGCGTCACCAGCAGAGCAGCTAAGGTTAGTTACCGGGTAGCTGAGACGAGGGGTCAATGAAATGTGGGGATGCCATTGGCGAAGTGTGTATGCTTCAGCTTGTCCCAAACAGACCAAACCAATCCGTCTGCAGCGTGGTGGCACATCTTTTGGTGTTGATGTGCCTGTGTCCTGTTCCAAGCGGATCCTCCTTGCTCACGTACCGGTACTTGGAGACGTCCACATGTGTATCACAAAATCCGGAATTTTCATGTGTGGACTCGGATGGGACGGAGCGAGGATTTTGGTACGACCGCCCAACAGCCGAGCTCCTCTGCTTCAGAACAACAAATGGCATTTGAAGTAATGCCCAAAGACCTGAAAATGGTTCTGGAGACCATTCTCGACTTGCAAACCACGTCTCGTTCTTCTGTTGAGTCCGCAGAGGAACTGCAGTCGTATGCGGGAAGTCGGTTGGAGAATGTTAGACAATGCCAGGCTGCCGGAAATCCATACGAAGTCTCTTCCAAAGGCTGTGTATTCTGGGAGACGTGAAAGATGAGGTTGAAGACTGGCCAGGTTGAGGCATTCTGTTGGATACATGTTGGTTGAATCCTTGTGCCTGCTGGCCCTACCAATCAGGAATGTAGTACAGCATAATCCAGTTATGCTGCCTTTGATTCTGGTATTGTCTTACCAAACAGCTTGGCCAATCCATTGAATCCATTCAGTGAGAAAAGTATATAGTACTTGGTTTGGAAAAGATTAATCGATGTTGGGTGGAATTTAGCAAATGGATTTATATCCCAAGCCCTCACCGCTGGAAGGCCGTGGCGTGGTGGTCCGGCAGATGTATCTCTTAAGAAAACTGGGAATCTGATTTGGAAATTGGACACGCAGTGGGTGGTCTTCGCATAGAAACGTTCCTGATTGCTTCAAAATGTGACAACCCAGAAGTCTTTCGATATTGCAAAAGTGCCTGAGACCGGGACAAATTTTGGCCGGGTGCAAAATGACCTCAATCCTTGACATATATGATATAGCAAGTTGAAAAAGAACAATTTGGTATAACTCAAACGATCACGGAAGCAGAAGACAACGAGAAGAAACAGACATAGGCTCAAAGGTACACGAAGGATAGAAATTTATGTAGGTTGTTCGCCCTTTCCATTGACTCGCTCTTTCAAATCCCTCTTGGGCGACCCACTTTAAGTTGCACGTGACTTGAAAGTCACCTGCACGGATACTTCGCTTAGAGCGCACATCGCCAAATTCTCTGGAAATTCGATACCTTGACGCCCGTTCACGAAACTTTTAACGACAAACGACCACACGGCAGAAAATCAGTCAAAATGGTAGGCGCATTTTTTCTTTGGAAGCTTGTCGATGATGGGAGATGATGGATTGTTGCGATCAGAGTTGCGACTGGAAAGAGGGGCATCGAATTGGAGGATCGCGACATTGGCCCATCGGCATCAACCACCACTCGAATTCTGCGTGTCAACCCACCGATTGAGACTCTCACGAATTCGCGAGTTCTCCGCTTTCGAACAAACATACGCCGGTCAAGGGAGACTCTCCGAAGCTCGCGGATCGAGACGATGGAATATACTGAGAGTCTGGATGAAGGCTAACATTCATACCCCTCACAGGTCAACGTACCCAAGACCAGACGAACCTACTGCAAGGGCAAGGACTGCAGAAAGCACACACAACACAAAGTCACCCAATACAAGGCAGGAAAGGTACTTGGAATTCCCGTCTCCATCGATTAATTCACGAACCCCCCTCTGACTCGAATTTTGTGTTTCCCAGGCTTCCCTCTTCGCACAAGGAAAGCGTCGTTATGATCGTAAACAATCCGGTTATGGTGGTCAGACAAAACCCGTTTTCCACAAGAAGGCAAAGACAACGAAGAAGGTCGTGTTAAGATTGGAGTGCACATCATGCAAGACTAAGGCACAATTGGCGTTGAAGAGATGCAAGCATTTCGAACTTGGGTATGTTTCTCCTCATAAATGGTGGCTGTGGTTGGAATACAGGACTGATTATTTCACAGTGGTGACAAGAAGACCAAGGGTGCTGCGCTGGTTTTCTAGATGTTCTCTGCAACGATTCTTCTTCATCTGGGCATGTGGCGTGGGAAGGGTGGATTTTGCTTGCGTTGTTGGTCTGGAATGGCTGAGATGATGAATAGGCAAGGAGTAGCATCGGATATGGGTCCTTGTATCCTATTCTATATCGCCGAAGAGACATAGCAAAAAAACTGCTAACACCAATTTTTTGCTTTCCCCCAAATATGCCATGCGATTGTAGGTTGAGACGAGACAGCCCTTCGATCACAAATTCCCTCGTGGGCTCCGAAATGAAAATTGGGATGGCATCTAGTGGGAAGGTCTGGTTTCGACAGGTCTTCGACGGTGTGAATATGCTGCTGAGAAGTTGGGTGACTTGGTATGGATATCAACCAAACCTCAATTTACGTACTCGTACATGACGCATTTCCAAACCTACTGCCCGACAACGTCGATCAAATCCCATGATACTCAAAACTTCCTATTTACAAGATATATCTTTCTATTCCCTGAAACCATTCATCCTGTCAATCACTACCCAATACACATCGACGTCATTGATAAGCCAGCCATCTCACGAATCCCTCATCCCTTCCATACTCTAGCTCTCTGAAAATCTCGACCTCACATCATCATCCCGACGTCTCCCTTCTGCGCCCTACAGTATTTACTGGATTCCGAGTATAAATGAAGAAACATAGCCACTTACATACGCGTCACAAAACCTTCTGTGTCGGTATATTCATGCCCCCCCTTTCTCTTGCTCTTGATCTTTCCTGCTCTGGGATTACTTCGTAGTATCGTGGTTTTGATGATATCAAGCTATTGTATTTCACAGCCGACTTTTAGATATGCCGGATTTGATTGGCTGTACCTACTGTAGGTATATATGGGTGAAATTGACCTTTTCGTATATTTAAGTTACTCCTTTTTTATTTCTAGAAAGCCTATGAGGAGATCATCATTTCCAGGCTTGGGGGTACGTTTGAAGGTTCTGAGTCTGTGGTTTGTGAGTTGTGGGTTGTGGGTTGTGGGTTGTGGTCCTGTTTTGGGGGTGTGTAATGCGGTGTTTCTTAGAGTGAGAGGGTTCATATAGACGAGGGTGGGTGATGATGTTGAATCTTTTCGGTGATATGATACTGTAGTAAGGGATTTCGAGGACCGAGTTAGGTAGTGGCACTCTTTCTTGATTCAGATTTCTTGTTCTGGACTCCTATGTCATTTTACAGTATCAGAGTATTCCCTTGATCTCTTCTTTCTGCGTGTTGAAATCATAAAGAGATTTTTAACCCCCCTTACCTTATGAATGATAATCGTTCATCATGCGAATAACCCCATTATCACTTCCCATCAGCTAGATAAACAACCTCAATCTTGATATCCTTCCCTTCTCATTTCATCCCTCAATACCTCTCGAATCCCACCCATATAAGTACCCAAAGCAGGGTTCTACAACTGCGAGTCTTGCAATTCATGCTTCATCCAAAATTGGAAGAGCCTTAGGTGTTTACAAATGGCACCTTCCTAGTCCCGGATCCGTATTTGAGGGGAGCCGCATAGTGGAGACCTGAACTACTGCTAAACACAATCGAGATTTTGCTCATGGAATCCGGCTTTTGATGATGGGAAGAGCGTTGTTTTCTAGAATTCTGTGTGAGTGCAAAGGATTAAAGACTAAGAACTCCCAGAGCTTGTGGTTCTTGGGGAAGGGATTTAGTTTGATGTCTTTGTTAAGGTTACCTGAGGGGGTTGAGGAAGGAGATTGTGGGGTTGTATTATTATATATAGATATTCATCATGGGACTCGGTGCTATATTTAGGGGTTAGAAAAATGTAACTTGAAACTTGTTCTTGATTGTTTGATTATTCAGTTGACGATCTTGGAGATTGGTATCATAGCTTTTTAATCTATATTGAACATAAGATACTCGAGTAACAGATGAGGAGCTTAGTGTAATGGTGGTTTACATGTAAGTACCGTTTTCTCAATCATAACAGGTCGTAACTACTTTGGATCTTTCGTAGACTTGTAACTGCGGTTCCCATGACCGTATTCCATAAGCACCCATGCAAGGTACGAGGAAGCTCAAATACAGTTTGAAAGGTCATCCTTCCGTGCCATCTCTACTCTTCATCTGCTTTGGCATATAACTCCTGCGATATGAAATATTCCAGACCATCACTAAGATTCCTCGAAGATACGTTTTGTGAATACATTATACTGTACTGTAGTCATGAAGATACCTATCTATGCCTCTGAGAGATTCTAGAGATATCACGGGGATTCATTAAATAGACGTTTTCCAGTCATTCGTGGTAATAATTTCGGTGTTAAAGTACATTACCCCGGTTCCATGATTCTAGAAGTTATAAGCGGGGGTATCATATATATCATCCAAAATGAAGAATCGGATTCGCAGATATAGGCTAGCGATTTTTCCACGATAATGCAAAGTTTCCATACAACATTCTATCTCCGCAATAACTACTTAACTTAAAGACTGTGTTTAATTTGTAGAGAGAATAAAAGGAAGGATTCCCCGAGGGGGACGTTATGGTGTTTGTGAATTATTAGCTAGTGGCCGTTTTGGATAAGCCTTATTGCTCGTACGTGTAACGTGTTTGTATACTGTTTTCCATAATTTCTTGATAATGTTAAGAGGTGGGTTTTGGTATTTTCAGTGCAGATAACAAGAGCTATTGCCAAAAAATACAGTATTTATTCCCTCTCTGATTTGACTTTGACTTTTAAATTGACTTGTAAGTTGGCAGTTTCATTCTCCCAAATTCCTACCCACACTATCAAAAACTCAATTACTATCCCAACGTCATTACAAAGCCTCAATAGATAGGTACAATATTGCCCGTTCTCGCCTGTAAGTTATCACAACTTAATCTCAACATCATCCCGCTTTTGTGACACTTAATACCCTATCCATTGCTCTCAATTCGACCTTGCCAACCCAGCCCTCAATATTCCACTTCAAGCGTAATGATAATGATTCTCTTCATTCGTTGATCTACTAACCCAAGTCTGGACTTAGATCCTTACTTGGAGAAGGTATCTACAACAATATATATATGCGTACAAACTCGTATCTCACTAGTCTGAAGAATTACCAGTATCCAGAATCCAGAATCTCTCTCTCTCTATGTACTTTTGGAGCAAGCACTGAAACAACGATAAAACTGTTGTCTTATAACTATATACATTCAAGAAACCAACCTATCAAAGAAACAACACAAATCAATAACAACTCCTAGCAAAAGCCTTTGTACATAGTACTCTGACTTCAACCCCTAAAGTGAAAACCCTTCTCAGTATCCTACACAGGTAAACATACACAAATCATCATCTATTCTCAAATTAAAACGATCTCTTGAGTAATACAAAGTATCAACACCTCTTCCTCCCCCTCCCATCTCCCCTCTCCTCTCCCATCAACGGCTAAATAACGGCTCATATAACCCTCATTCTCCCCACCCCCAAATACACAGTCCCTAAACAAACCCCCCTCATCCAAACACATAAGCAAACAAAAAAAGAGGGCGTGGCGCAGTGGTAGCGTATCTGATTCCAGCAAACAAACAGTGTCCTAGTACTGTAGGTATCCAGATGGTCGCCCGTTCGAATCGGGTCGTCCTCATTTTCTTTTTTCCAGTTTGTTTATTTCATTTTTTGTTTTAGCTTTTTTGATACCCCTTTCCCGGTTGCCGTATTCCCTCTTTCCTCGTTTATTTTTTGTCTTATTGTGATCTATTATTTTCTGATTGAGTGAAAAGGGGCGAGGGTTGTAGCTTCAAAATACGAATCATTATCAATTGGGGAGATTCCCGTCCTAGCCGTACCACACGACATTGTGCTTATTTCCCTTTGGTCTGAGAGATCGCTGGTTTAAGTATTATGGTGGTATGATAAGACTGTATGTGAGATTTCAGTTACCATGACGCCACTGAATATATAATGCAACCTTCCTTCACAGTACATAGAAGGGCAATAGAAAGCAATGAGATGAAGTTTTGCTACTAGTCAAGCTGTCTATTTAGCATTAAGCGGCTGGTTTTCAAAGAGAACGGAGACATCTTGGCTTCTTTCAAGGCCAATCACAAAGAAACCAGCAGAGATAGACTCCGAAGTAAGCAAAACTAAGCAAGCTTAACGACCCCAGCATGAAACCCTCTGACTCCATTACTAATCCAGCACTCCTCGCCCTCCAGTAGACTATCAACCTTCAACACCCCCTCCTTACAAAGCCCCTTCTCTAGAGCCCATCGTCTTGTCGTTCCTATCTGCCCACCACTCGAAACAGCAGGCGTAACCCAAGACCCCTCTCTCCAAAAGAAAAGAGTTGTCAAGGTCCCCTCCATAATTTCACCATCCTTAGTGCTCAGGAGTAGGACTTCACGACGCTCAGTCCATTCTTTGATTCCGAGACGGGAGCGTGCTCCATCGTACATGTCTCGAGCTGTTGTTTTGTAGGATGTGTAAGAAGATGGAGGAGTACGGATTGTATCTGGGCAGATGATGAAGGGGTTTGTTAGAGGTGGATCTCCGTAAAGCTTTCCGCCTGGTGAAGTGAGAGCTCCACCTGTCAAGGGTGAGACCGAGGGAACAGCTTCACGAATCGAAGCTGGTGGTGGAATACGACTTGGGAATAAGTTCTCTAGCTCAACTGGGGGCGTTGGTGAGGTTTCGATGGTCATTGTGCCCTCTTTTGTGAGAACTACTCGAACCCGTAGGGGAGTTGTTGAGGTGCTATCAATTGAAGTCTCGAGTCTTGAGAGGAGGTTCTTAAAACCTGCGGGTCCTGAGACGGCAGCAACAGCGAGAGGCCAATCAAAGTGTTCAGCAGCCTGGACTAGACGGTCTCGGTGGAGAGGTAGCATGTAGTATGGTGATGGGGCTGTGGCAGGAGGCTCCCAGTCTTGAGTATTGGGAGCATGGGTGAGGAGGATTGGGTCGTAGCGAAGAGACGTGAAAAGTGCAAAGGCCGGTTCTGACATTTTTAAAAGGACTGAGGGGCTGAATTCTGAGGCAAGCTTAGCATATAAATGGATGAAAGGCCGATAATGAACTAGAAACTTTGAGAAGTGTATTGGAAGCGCATATATCTTGAAGTGATTCACCAAGATAATATCGTGATGTGAAGCCTTGTCCTTCACTTCCCACAACCTTGCGAAATTGAAGGCATTATTTTCGCAAACCAAGAGGGAAAGGAAGTGAGGGTAGAGAGCTGTTTCGAAAATAGGCAGGCTTGATATGAAAGAAATCTCTAGCTTGCTATTGAGCAAGTATATGGGAGGGTTGTAAGGGTTCAAGGGATGTGGATGTCTTCAGACAGCTGAGGAGAAGCAGGAAAAATAGACTAACAGTTATAAAACCAAAGTAGAAACACCCTTTTCATGAAGATGCTGAGTTTATTGACCTCTAGTCAACGCTCCTGAATCCGGCCGTACCTTCTTGATATAAAATCCACGGAGATGTGACAATTTGGCGGGGTACCGATTTCTAACCGCCCGTTCAGTGTGGGCCGTCAATAAAGCAAGGAAGCTGAAGCACGGCAGATCTGGGATTTCATGGGAAATTCGAAGTACAATTCGCAAGATAGCTCTTGTTATTACCGTATGGAATGGTCTAACTTGACATTGTGTCACGTCCCTCAAAGGCCTCATCTTGAGTCACCCAGAAATGAAGCGGGATAAGCAATATGATCACGTGACTCCTAGTAGTGGCGGGGACCTGCCTTACAATATCTGAAATTGAGGTTGATTACCTGCCAAAGCCGTGCAATAATGATGGTCTATTGACATTAGGAATAATAAAGCTAACCGAGTGAATCATGTCTTGTCTTCCGCCTCGCTTGTGATTATGAGATCATGGATTAATATTGCTTGTTGCGGCTTAGCGTATGCCAGCAACCTTGCTGAGCTTCAATTGGCCCCGACACAGGTTTCCCGTCCGTATCGCGAAAAAGATTCTGAGCTCCCATCACTCGAGTCCATCATCGAATTTGTTCCTGCCGTCTATCGACGTGCGTATTTGTTTCATTACTTCTTCCACGCATCCATTTACCTAAAATCTCCTAATACATCGCTCCCTCTATGTCATCTCCCAAACCAATCCCGACTGGGAGCAACCCCCCAGTTTTCGCGGCATCAACACCCCCTTCCTCCGTCTGGGATCGCATAACAACATGGGCATCAGAAAATAAGGCTGTTGTATCTACAATCGCCGGTGTGGCAGTGGTGGTAACTGGTGCCGGCGTTGCATACTATCTGGTTGATTCCGTATGATGATAAAACCCGTTTCGTTGTGGTCGCTTTTATGCTAACATGAATCTGCAGCCGCCATCGTCAAACCGAGACGCTCCCAAAAAGTCGAGTAAAGAGAAGAAGCGGAGGAAGAAGGAAGATGGCAGAAAGACGGCAGATCTGGAAAAGGGCACAACAGAACCCAAAACTACCCCCCCAAAAACCCCAACTATCGAAGTCGAGGATGAGCTACCTGAGGTAGATGAAGCGACCGTGGAAACTCTTTCCCAGCAGACACGAAAAGAATATGCCCAGAAGTTGAAGGCTGCCGGGAATACTGCATATGGTCTAAAGGACTTTGAAAAGGCCATTGATCTATACGGAAAGGCTATTCTTTGCAAACCAGACCCTATCTTTTATTCCAACCGAGCTGCATGTTATAACGCCCAAGGAGAGTGGGAAAAGGTTGTCGATGACACCACAGCAGCCATCAACCTAGATAATGAATACGTAAAGGCTTTGAACCGTCGCGCGAACGCATACGAACACCTCGAGAAGTATAGTGAAGCTTTGTTGGACTTTACTGCAAGCTGCATTATTGACGGCTTCAAGATCCCGACCAGTGCTGAAGCTGTCGAGAGACTGCTCAAAAAGGTGGCAGAAGCCAAAGCCAAAGTTTTCCTTGCCAACAAAGATCGAAAACTGCCAAGCGCTTCATTCGTCACAAACTACCTACATAGTTTCCGTCCTCGCGATCCACCAGCAGGTTTGGAAGATTCAATTGAGCTATCTGAAGATACAGGATTAGGCCAATTGCAGTTGGGGTTACGTTCAGTGGCCAAAAAGAATGGTGACGCGTATGAGGAAGCAGCAGTTGCCTTTGACAAGGCCTTGTCCCTAGGTGAACTTGGCGAGCACGAAGCGTTCGCCTACAACATGCGCGGAACATTCAAATATCTTCGCGGAGACAATATAGATGCGCTGCAGGACTTGACAAAGAGCATTGAATTGCAGCCATCGATGACCCAGAGTTATATTAAACGTGCTAGCATGCACTTGGAACTCGGTTGGTACCGTCACTACATGTATAAAAACTAGCTAACCAAGTTGTAGGAGACAAGGATGCAGCAGCAGGTGATTTCGCCAAGGCAATCGAACACAATGACGACGATCCTGATATTTACTACCACCGTGCACAACTCCACTTCATCCTCGGGGAATTTGCAGAAGCTGCAAAAGACTATCAAAAGTCTATTGACCTGGACCGCGACTTTATTTTCTCTCACATCCAGCTTGGTGTGACGCAATATAAGATGGGATCAATCGCTTCGTCGATGGCAACCTTTCGAAGATGTATCAAGAATTTCCATGAGGTCCCAGACGTTTACAACTACTATGGTGAGCTGCTGTTGGATCAACAGAAATTTCAAGAGGCAATCGAGAAATTCGATACTGCGATCGAAATGGAGAAGCAGACCAAACCTCTAGGCATGAACGTTCTTCCTCTCATCAACAAGGCCTTGGCTCTTTTCACGTGGAAGAAGGAATTTGAAGAGGCCGAGACCCTTTGCCAAAAGGCTCTAATCAGTAAGTTTTCCAATTTAATATATCGGTTCTTAATGTTAACAAGGAATAGTCGATCCCGAATGTGACATTGCAGTCGCAACCATGGCTCAGTTATTACTACAACAGGGCAAGGTTATACAGGCTCTGAAATACTTTGAGCGTGCTGCTGAGCTTTCACGAACCGAGGGAGAAATTATCAACGCCCTCTCATACGCCGAGGCTACGCGTACGCAACTTGAAGTGCAAGAGAAATATCCTCAGCTGGCAAGCCGATTGCAAGGGATGGGTGCGGGAGGGGTTATGCGATGAAAGACGACGACTAATTAGTAAAGACCCGACCGATGTAGCGGTGTCCAAGCTAGGGATTTTGATGGCGATGTTTTCTCGGGAAGGATGGTAGGGTATCCGGTATGATTCTACCGACTTTTTAAATGGGAGGATGATTATGATGTCGAGATGTGCACCGCATGAAATGAAAAGGGGTGGTGGGGTGGGGGTTTGACCGGACTGACTAGCGGGGGAAGGGGGTGTTGGGTTGGACTCTGAGGAGAAAACAAAACATGGACTCCCTTTTTGTTTGTTTGTAACTAATACTCCGCTTCACTCTGGGACTGAGTGTGTATAACAAAATGAACGAATATGCACTTTTTCTTCTTTTTTGATCTTTTATCTTTTGATCTTTTTGTGTACATCATTCTGATGATAGTGTGTATACCCTTGAATTTTGAGATGGGTATCTTAATCACTATAGTAGTGGAAATGCTTGTTGTGCTGTATAGCCAGTAATAAGTTGAATACCACTTTCATGGATATCACCGACTACCCCATCCCTACCTCCCTTCTCTCCTGTTCTTCATGTTTTTCAAGGCTACTATAGATGCATACAAGCATCGTGAGGCTTATCCTGGTGATAAGAGCTGATTTTGGCCAGTTGAATTCGAGTCTCGGGTTGGATTTCGTCTTCTTTTCTTTTCCCCTTTCTGGTTCTGATTCTGATTCTGATTCTGATTCTGGGGAAGTTTGTGAGTACGGTGGTGTTGATTGTGAAAGCTGGACCTGTGCTGATGCTGTACTCGGGATTGGGGTTTTGGTTCTGGGTATCTGATGTATATTGGGTGGAGGTGAGGTGAGGTGTGTGGCTCTTGAGGTGGAATAGGATATGGATGGGCTTTTGGGGGAGGGG